CGATTTGTTTGAACCTCGACTAAGTTTTATTCAATCTATATTTCATAATTATAGCAATAATGCATATTTGACAAGTCAATCTCATCCTCGGCCACTTGTTAAATATGGACGCCACCCTTGGAGAATTCAAATTTTGAGTGGTTTATAGATAGTGCTATGTAACTAATTTCGTCTTGCACCATGTCTTTTAAATTGTTAATAGTCCATAAAATTCGGATATACGTCCTCTTTCATTTTGCAAACTTTATTTTGTTAATATAAATTTTATGGCCATGGATATTATCTTGAATGGAATGTTAACCGAAACTGTCCAGCGCGTGTCACCATTTCGCCATCTTCAGTGCTTATTTTAAATAGAAAAAGAACCTACGATCTGAAAGACTGATCAGAACTATAAAAAAAAAATTCAGACCTAATTCACCAAAGCCCTCCGCTCACGAAATTATAAAAAAGGCTTGACTTCACAGAAATCACACGTAATCATTGAAGATGACGAAATGCCAAAACTCGTCTGACAGACCAGCCCAGCAAAGATAGACAGACAAGATTATCCTTACCGCTCAAATCCCAAGTTGAGCACTCCGCAGGCCAAAAAAAGAAATCTCACAATTAATACTGCTTGTAAATACCAAATCCAATCCGTTAACACAATTGATTTATGTGCACAAAAGGCCGAGAGATGTGTATTTGAAATTATTACAGCATTGCTTTTTCCCCCGTATTGACGCTTTTTCATGGTCAACTCTCAATTTATTCAGTAAATAATCTCCGCATTTTTATTATGTGCAGCTGGTTACACAACGAAAATAATTTTTCAAAAGTTTTGAGTTATTTTTCTTTAAAAGTTGTGCATTGTTCAATCACGATAATCTCAAATAAGTCAGGACCGTGTGTTTAAAATTCTACATCATTTACCAATTATTGATGTTCACGATCTCGACACTAGTTTAAGTTAATGTAGCAATTTAATGAACACTAGAAAATAAAACTTTTGTAATGAAACCCCTTACTCTTGCAACCTGAGACCCCCCCCCTTACAGCAAAACTCTTACCTTTTGCGTTTTATTTGCAAGGCAATGCTTGGTCTAGAGATATAGGATAGAGATGAAAACGAGATCGCTTTAGTGGTATTCTCGACCGCGATTACAGGCCATCAAGATTTGTCGAATGGCAAAATGGGGATTACTGTTCATGTTGCACAGTACGCAATCCTTCTTTTGACTTTGCTTCCCAGTCCAATTTCTTTAGCAATCTTTGCCCAAACTTGTCAGCAAGGATGGTCCTTTACACTCACCAATAATTAATCTAGCATCGACTAATTCGTTAGCCGAATATTTAGGGGCAATTTTTAAAAAATCTGTATAGATCAGACATAACAGAGACGAAATGGTAGCAAATATATAGTCAATACAATTCGGAATTATTACAAAAGAACAAAAAATGCCAAAAATAAGTAAGAAACATTTCTAGACAATTCAAGGAATAAATGTAAACAGGGAAACTTAGGAAATCACCCAAAGCAAGTTTCATACAGTAAGACAAGTTTATGACCAGGTGGCCTGATTTATTATAAACTTTAAGCTCTCTACTTGTTCTGCTTAAAACTTTTTTATTCCTTTTGATATAAACTCTTCGTAATTTGTGAGCTATTTGATCGAATAATTATCATAACGTTGCTTTGTCTATTCTACGGCGCGCAAGACCAACGCTTCTGCAACACTCACAAGTATTGCGGGTTTAGTATATATTTCATTGTATATGCTTTACACGTTCCTCGCAATATTTTTTTAAAATTTAATTTGGACGTATTATTAAGTATCATCCTTTCTTCCCATTTTTATCAAAAGGTTAAATTTCACGAATGAGATGTGCAGAACAGCCAAATTGTAAAAGCTTTGTTAAAATTCAATACGTAACAAAAACAATGTCGTAAAAACTCCAAAATATTCTTTGTAAATATTCAAACGCCGAAATTTGTACATTTAGAGCAATGTGAAAAAGCATTGATAAATTGTATAATGGGAATTGGGAAAACAAAGTGCTTAAAGGGAAGCCATCATAAAGGTACTCTTCTGTAATTACCAAAGTGTTTGATAGGGGCAATTTAGTAATTGTGGTTCCACCTGTTCTCAAATAATTAACTGAACAGTCGACTGGTCCGTTGTTTACTTGTAATTCCAAAAGAGGACAACGTGCCCGAGCTGGCCCAGTGTGCTGTTTGCTTTTGCTCGTCACTAAACTATTTGCTACAATTTGCCTGCTGTACTAAGAACTAAATCCGCCACAAAATTTACTTCATTATGAACCAAGATAATTTGAAAGAATATTTCAAAAGTCTATCGATCAACAATTTTTTTATTTGAAATATTCATCAAACAAGATAAACGTATTAAATCAATTAAATCGACACCCAAACCATTTTTTCTAATAATAATAAAAAAGTAAATTTATTAAATTTTAGGCGTTTTTGTTTTACACAATGAAATTTACAACCGACAATGGACCATAGTCCGTCTGCCAGGTTGGTTTCATCAAACAAATGCACATAAATGGTAAATAAATAACAGAAAAAATTGATAAATTTATACTGTTATATAAAATTTGTAGATATACTTTATTTTTGACTTACAGACAAAATCGACAAAATTTTAATGTAATAACAAATTCTTTCTTCCAAACAAACTAATTTTCATTTTTTCTAACAATCTTCTAACAAAATAGTAAGAAAAAGAAATAATAGTATCTTCTATGCCATCGACCAGCGCTTACTCTTTAATAGTTTCGTGGATTAGGGTTGTGGTTAGAAAAACAAGTAGTTTTTGTTACAACGCCGAACTTTGGACTACGTATTTCTTGTCTTTCAGAGTCCGCAGAGTACAATCTTAATTAATTATACATTCATATAAACATATCAGTCATCCTTGACAACTCACAGGAGGGTAGTCAAAATATAAAACGTTTCACATGTTGAATAACAAAAACCTCCATCTTTAATACTAGTTAACTATATGTAACTTAACTCTAATAATAAATAAATACTAAAAATACATGTAATAGATACGTAATCATTATATATATATAATATATATATATATATCACGGGAGATGAGTAGAACATAATTAAGGTTTTTCCGTATGGAAGGTTACTGCCACCCCGGATTCACCTCTCTTTTTTTTTCTTTTATTAATACTAATGTGTGGTGATTAGTGACCGTTAGTCTATGATTATTCGGAAATCGTGAGATGCGATCTGGTGTGACGTATCTTTTAGAAAAACATTTTCTTTATCGTGCCAACGTTTCGATCTTTATTGAGATCATCTTCAGAGCTTGGGACTGTAAATGTAAAGGCCCTGAAGATGATCCCAATAAAGGTCGAAACGTTGGCACGATAAAGAAAATGTTTTTCTAAAACCTACGTCACACCAGACCGCATCTCACGATATCCGAATAATTTAATACTACTGTTCTTTCGCAGCCTGTTTTTTTTTTTTTTTTTGTAATAAATAAATCACGTTTCGATCTTTATTGAGACCATCTTCAGGGCTTAGGATTGTAAATGTAAAAGCCCTGAAGATGATCCCAAAAAAGATCGAAAAGTTGGCACGATAAAGAAAATGTTTTTCTAAAACCTACGTCACACCAGACCGCATCTCACGTTTTCCGAATAATTTAATACTACTGTTCTTTCGCAGCCTGTTTTTTTTTTTTTTTTTTTTTTTTTTTTTTTTTAAATAAATAAATAGATCAATAATTTCCACTTTACTTTATTTTGTATTGTTCAGATTTTAGAAGGGGTCTTGTTCTAAAATCTACGAAACTATCACTAACAAGGGTAATTGTTCTTCTTATTATTTCTATTATTTATATGTAGTTGAATTCTGTTACGAAAAATTTGTTGTATTTTAATGCATTCACCAGATATTTAAACAGTTGTTTCCAATCTTTACCATTCAAAATATTAATTATACTTTCGCGGGATAATTGTTTCAAGCCGTATATATGAACCTTAAACACCTCCAACGCCTTACAAGGTAAAACTAAGCAAAAGAGGGCTGGCGATGACCATTGTGGTTTGCCGGCCGTAAAAGTTAAGTAAGGTCCGTAATACCTTTTCTCTAAAAATCGCTGGTTTTACTGCTTTAGAACACCAGGTTTTTTATGTCTTTGTCTGTAGCATAGAATTTCCTTGGGAGTGGTTAGGGCGTCAGACTTTACCCTAGCGGTCCTGGATTCAAATCTCATCATGGCCCATAAATGTGAAGTGACCATAATACGACAGAGATATTGTAAAATGGTTTGACCCTCGTCCACGACACCAATGGACAGTTAGAAATTAAGTCCTCTTTAATTGGATGGACAAAAGGATTAAGTTCTCTTGTACGACAGGAATTTCATTACTTTACATACTTACATATTAAGTACTAGTGGCGCACAGTAAACCTACGTTTAAGTAATTATAAAGCACCGTAGTGTGTAATGTTATAATTCACTATTATACTAACAAGAGTAATGTTCCTTACATTCTTTTCGGATTAAAAACTTGATAAAAAGTCAACCTTAAATTAAAATTATCATAGGTTGTGGCCTGCAAAGGAAATGGCATTCCTAAATTTAGATTTAATGATGTAAGTTTACATGATGGAAATATAAAATGAAGATCATTATTATTTTTATGTAAGGTATTAGTTGAAATGAAAAGACTAGTGTCACGAGCGGGATTCGAACCCACGACCTTCGGTTCAATACGCCGCTGCTCTAACCACTTGAGCCATCGTGACTTCACGACTTCACGAGAAGCGGCGTATTGAACCGAAGGTCTTGGGTTCGAATCCCGCTCGTGACACTAGCTTTTTCTATTCAATAATACCTTACATAAAAGAATAATTAATTGAAAGAAGTTATTTGGTCAATCCGACCACCATAATGGATCATTATTATTGTTGAAAAAAATATCAGCTCAATCTTTAGAAAAAAACTAACTTAGTAACTTTTTTCCAGACCGCCGATGAGTATAAAGAAGAATACGATTCGAGAAGAGGAAACGAGTATTCAAGGTTCCACGGCTACACCTATGACGGCGTTTGGGCGGTGGCTCTTGCGATTCAGCATGTGGCACACAGGGTGCGGCACGTCAAAAAGAACCAGACTGTCGTCGACTTTCAGTACAGGGATCCTGAATGGGAACATTTGTTCTTAGAGGCGCTCAGAAACACTAGCTTCGAAGGTGTCACAGTAAGTAAAACTTTAAATGAAAATTCTCACCTATCTGGGGCAAGATTAACAGAGGGGAAACACTGGCGAAGTGTCAAAACGTGGGAATCAATTTGTGATAAATCATCAACAGGAATGATTGGGGGATTAAGAATTTACGGACAAACAGTACACTCCCAGAGGAAATCCATTATTGCTTATACACTTTACAACGTTCATTCTCTCTCTGATTAAACACACACTGTACGTTTATTTACAAAATAATAAAACTTTATTTTTATATTTTTACTACAGCTTTAGTTTCGAATTATGGAACTGCTATGAAAATACAAGTTGTTAAATATTTATATAAAATATTGCGCTGTACTAATTGATGAATTCCACCCTTAAAAAGCATAAGCCCCACCCCTATTTCTCTTTACACGTTCAAAGCAGAAATCGACAAATCAGGGTTGTTCATGGGGGTGGCTGTTGATAGGTAGAACATAGGTAGAAACCAGAAAATTAGGCACCGTTACAAATCTGAAAAGAAGGCATAATTCTTTTGACTAATGGCATTCTTACACATCGGATCATTTTTCGAGGTTCCGTTATTTGTTGTCATTGTCATAAAATAAAGAAAGAAAAAACGGAAATTCGTATTTTGTTGTTTATTTCAAACTATATGAATTTTATCGTTACATTAACTATAACATACTTATTTGAAAGTAAACCAAATTAAATGACATCTGAAATTCATGCATTTTTATAAAAATTATTTACATATGTGTGGTGTTTAGTGACCGTTAGTCGTGAAATGCGGTCTGGTGTGATGTAGGTTTTAGAAAACCATTTTCTTTATCGTGCTAACGTTTCTATCTTTATTGAAAACATCTTCAGGGCCTGGGATTTATAAACATTGTTTAAATTTTACAAATACAGTAGCATTGAATAAATTCATTTTTTTCACATCCTTCATACCGCATCTCACGATCTCTATATAATCATTATTTACTTATAATGGTTTGAAAGAAAATTCACCAAAACGCCGGAAAAACATTTAGGAATGAAATAAATTTAACTAATAATTTATTAGCTTGTTTTGCTCTTAATGATGTATTATTTATATAGAGATATTTACAAGATAAAGTAAATTCCCGATGACATGTGGTTTGACTCGCTCCACTAATTGGGAGAATTTTGTAATGCAACATTTCAACAAGATTCGCGTTGGCTTCCTTCTAGGTTATTCAATGGGTTCGTTGAGTCAAGTAGTTTACAATCATGACATTCCAAATTTTTGGTATTCTTCGGTTTCGAAACATTGACAGCATAACCCCTAGTATGGCAAATACGATTGTTACGCTCTAACCACTCAGTCACTGCGGTTCTCTGTGGAGCAGGTTTCTTGTGGTTCTACGACACCCTTTTGTTTTCGTAGTTCCAAGAACTACTTGCTTGTTTATATGGGGACTTGTGTTGATTTAAGATCTTAGAATCATTTTAAGTTTATGAATTTTGTTAATCTCGTCAGACTTCATCGAAAGGTTGGATTGCATTAATTAAATTGATGTTCATACTGTATCATAAATATTGACAAGTAATAAGAATTATCTCAAATATAATCAATTATCAACCGTCAATATTAATTTTATACAATAATCAGCCTTGAGATGGCTTATCCTTCCTTTTTAATATAAAATTTAACAAGCACTGTTAATAAATGTTAGCAAATTAACATAAGAACTTCTTGACATTTCAGGTAGGTGATTCGAATATCAAACTCATTATGTTTTTTATTCTGATTAAACAATAATGAAAAATGAAAGTTTAAAATACATTTTCGTGAAAATGGCTTATTGCTTTTATAAAAAATAAAAAATCTTTGTGTGCATGGAAAATTACATTCGAAACGTTCCCCTTTATAAATATAATTTGTTACTGTCTTGGCATAAATTTGTAATGAAATGTAAGTTTAATTATTATTTATATTTTTTGTTTGAAAGTCATATTGTTTTCTTTGCGTCCTTCGTTTTTAACGAAATTTGAAGCTGTGTTTGTTGTTTAAAAAAGCGTCCAGGCCATCTGTCAGAGGGGGAAGAACGCGAAATGCAGAATTTTCCTGCTTGATTTTCATTTATATGCTAATGTGGACAGAAGACTGGGCAACGCTGTGATTGAAATAAATCGAGTATAATTTAAGAGGGCTCCTACCCTCTAAATGAGCCACCACTTGGTCAGATTGTTGGGAGTCCTAACTCACTGAGGTGCGACAATCAATCCAAATTCGATCCCATTACATAATATTCAATAATTTCTTTCTTTCAACTGGCCGGAATAGGTTTAAAACTTGTATATATTAAAATTAAACAAATCAGAAATGAAAATTAAATGTATTTAATCTTGTAAAATCTTTCTCACTCTTTAAAGTCAAAAACAAATAAGAAGTTTGATGACGTTAACTTGATGAAATCCTTTCGTTTGATCAAAACCCAATGATTAGAATGTGTGAGACAAATATTCTGAAACTTATTGCTTTTACTTAAAACAGAAAAAACAAAACGCGCAAAACAAAAAATACAGAGAATTCCGGGAAAGGGATATTAGTCGGCCAGTACAGTCGAAAAGTACTACAAAGTTGCTAGAAAAGTATTAATACATAAAAACAGTTCTATTAAAAAAATAATTAATTAAATGTATTTTACGTTTACCTATTGTATAGCCATTAAAGAAGACTCTTCTGTTTTGAACCATGACACCTCTCATAACCTAATGGTACACTCTCTAAGTGTTTTTAAAAAATATTTCACAGATTGGTATAAATCATAGTTAAATGAAGTGACGTCTGGTTATAAGTAGGGTGAGGCAAGACGATGACTCCTTCCATATCTTCCATATCCAAACCTCCGTATAGTTTTTCGAGAAGTTTGTGCATAGCCCAGAGTCGATAGATCTTCGTTTATATCAAACCGCAAAACATCTTCATAATTCTGCCAAATGCATCGACCAATGACAAATCATGACCTGATCTTGGCCGGATATTCGAGACTCCGTGTTGTGCAAAGTGGTGGCTTACAGTGACATTTGAAAGCCCGAATTGTCACTGATAATCTACGAGTGGTAGAATACGAATCCTGACTTACACTCTCGTATTTCAGCATCATCGACCGCATCGTCGAGGCTCACCTTTAAAACTGGTTTACTAAACATTGAAACATCAAAAGTAAAATATTTCAGGATTAAGGGCCCCCTAAACGTCCATTGTTCAAATTTCATAAATTGCCTACTTTCAACCTAGTCTTTTTAAATGGATATGTTTTAGGGCTGGATACAGAAAAAACCAATTCGCGTCATTTTGCGTGGACGCAACTTTTTGGTTATATCAACCCCCGGGGTTTTAAAAAAAGCCCATTTGGTAGAAAGATTTTGGATTCGAATTTAGGGCCGCTCAGTTTCGAACCCGGAATTTCCAGTGCTAGTTTCCGCTAACAAGGCGCTTGAATAGATTAAAACCCCGCATAACAGATTCGTTGTGCAGGTTTAACATAACGCAGCGCCGTATTTTTCTTTCTGTTCTCTCAGAAAACCACGATTCATAATTTCCTTTCTTCAGCAATTCTGTTTATATTAGCAAATTTTATGCAACGACGGCTAGCTAGATACAGTAGGTTAATAAATTATTACAAATAAACAAAAGAGTCGTGTAAGGAGATTTACTTTTGACCCTACTTTTGTAACTACCTAATATTTTAAAAATTATTATTAAACTAATATTACTCAAATAGTCTTCACCATTGCTAACACATTACACACACTTGTACTTTCAGCAAACTAAAATAAAGAAATAAATCAAAAATAATATATGGTATATAAAAGAGAGGTTTTCGTAGTATATAAAAGACAGTAAAGAAAAACACAATAAAATATAAATATAAATATAATTTGTAAAAAATAATATTATTACAATTATTGTTTATCAGACACACATTACAGAATGAAAAAATAACCATTTTATTAACAGGCTTGACGTTTCGTACATTTGCATTTGAGCAGTTTGATAAATGGATTATATGAAAGGTGTTCAATTTTTCAATATGATGAATGAAAAACTGAAACTGGTATCAAAAAATGCTTTGTTCAATAAAAATGAAACGAGAATATTAAATCTGTGAAAGTATTTATTGATTTGCTTGACAACGTCAAAATGAATAAGGTCGCAATAAGTGACAAGCAGCAAGCGAACTCCCAATAAAAGTGCCTCAGGACACAAATTTTTTCATTCACTTTACAGTTCATTAATTTCAACCTTCATAAAATTACACCCCGAACTGTGAAAGTCATAGCAAAGTTTTCTAATTAGTGAAGAGAAGGTTTTATCAAATGATATTCTGACTGTGTCTTCAAGAACAGAACAGAATCCTCATTAATTGAGATGCAAATAGCAAGGTATTTTATAAAGCTAAAAGTGCCTGTTTTCACATTGTAGTTCTTAAAACTTTCCTTATATACATATTAAAACAACTTTCCTTATACAACATATTCAGTGTCTATAAAAATAATTACACAAACAAGTTGAAATATTCCATAATCTGTGTAGATTGTTTTTTTGTAGGGTTATAAACATTTTACTCTTTTCAAACTTTCCAATAAAATTTGAACATTACTTTTGAATGTTGTGTGAAAACAAAATTATTGTTCTTTTTAAATTCATCGAATATGTATATTATATTTTCACCTTATACGCAGGATCAAAATTTACTTTAAAAAATTATAAAGTTATAAACTTATTATTTTATCAATATCAAGTAAATTAAGATTAATTTTGTCAACCAACTTTTTATTTTTCTGACTTAACAGTATGAAATAAAACCCCTAAGTTAAGTGTTTGTTTGTTTTGTTTTTTCCCAGGGACCAGTGAGGTTCTACGACAATGAGAGAAAAGCGAGTATCCTCCTCAAACAATTTCAAAGTAAGTAAAAGCATGCGAAGGGTATTTGTTCATCCAGTAACTTCCTTTCTAATCTATTTCCAGAAGGGGATTACGCTTTGAGAAAACAAATAATCAAATGAATCTATTGCGTTATGTTTTATTATTTCATTTTGGAATTTGTTGTTATTCATTTCAGAAAATAACGAATAGGTTGATTAAATTAATGTTTTAAATATGTTACAATTAATTAAGGTTTTTAGTTGAGATGAAAAAAAGTCAATGGCACGAGCGAGATTCGAACCCACGATCTTCGGCTAGATACGCCGCTGCTCTACCACTTGAGCTATCGTGACCTCGATCCACTCAGACACCAACTTCCTATCTCAACCCCACCTTATGAGTTTTCCCTCCTTTTTGCCATTTTTCAAATGTCGTGTAATCGGATGAAATTGAAATAATTGAAAAATGGCAAAAAGGATGGAAAACTCATAAGGTGGGGTTGAGATAGGAAGTTGATGTCCGAGTGGATCGAGGTCACGATAGCTCAAGTGGTAGAGCAGCGGCGTATCTAGCCGAAGATCGTGGGTTCGAATCCCGCTCGTGCCATTGACTTTCTTTCATCTCAACTAAAAACCTTAATTAATTGTAATGAATTAATTGGTCAAGCGGACTACAAAATTAGTGAATTTAAGTTTGAAATATGGTTGACATGTAAAAATAAAAAATATAAATTTTCTTTGTTGTTTCAACTTCTTATGTTTAAATGTCTAATAGGTGGTTTTCAGGACATTTTTTCTCAAACATGAACATAATATTAATTTCCATGTGTTACAATTTTAATTAAACCTCCTTGATAATTTTTTTCAAGTTTTAATAATTAAATGAATACCATAATTTTAATAATTCATGTGTATGAACTAGAGTGAAAATTTGAGAATTTACTTATTTTCAAATTAATTTACTTAAAGGGTGCGCGAATGCAAACAATGCTTGGCACCTTCAGAAGATCCATGAAGAAAGTAACTTTTATAGTGAAATTAGCTCAGTGAAACCAGCAACTTCAAGTATTGAAGAGAATGAAATTGAATTGAAAATTACAGGCTTGCTTCTTATTATATCAAAAAATATAGAAAGTAAATGAACATAAGCACAATGACTACATACCGGAACTTTAACAAATACAAAAAATACAAACTTACTAAAGAATACCCAAACTTGAAATGCCACTCAGAAATACTTTCTTATCCATTTTTTTTCTCCACCATAGTCATTTCTAAAACCTTAAATTTTTGTAAAATCAACTTTGTAAAGTAAATGAGATTGCCAAAATTACTTTAATAAAATTATATAAATATGATTTGTTAAGTTTTGATTATTTATGTGTTCAATTGCTCATTACAATAAATTGTTTTGGCATCGGTATAAAATAAACAAATTAGTCACAATCACTTGCAATTTAATCAATAACATATCTAATTAAGATTAACTAAAAGTCAATATAGATAAATATTCCAATTCAGTATGCCTAAAGTAGTAACCTGTAAATTTATTTCATTTTTATGTGACTTTTTTTCATAAAGTTTTTTATTGATAGGTTGAAAAATTCCAAGATATCCGTGGTTGAAAACTTTTATTCAATTTAGTAAATTACATGGACCTTTCAAACTCCTGGCCCATCATCAGAAAGTAAACATAGAGAAACATTATACCATGAGATTTCTCTGGTTGATACGGAGATCATGAGAAATTTCATGGTATAATGTTTCTCTATGTTTAGTTTCTAATGATGGGCCTGGAGCCCGAACGTCCATGTAATTTACTAAATTGAATAAAAGTTTTCAACCAAGGAGATCTTGGAATTTTTCAACCTATCCATAGAGAAGATATGAACTGTGGAGTTGGTAATATATAAAATAAGAAAAGTTTTTTACCTAAATAGACAAAATTGAATTTGTTATTGAATTTAATAGTTTATAATTATAACATTAATTTGCTTAAATTTTTTATTGTATATAAACCTAATTCATTATCTACTATATACAAAACTTGAAGCGTTAAAACACATTTGTGCAAATAGATTTAAATTAGATAAATTTAATGTTTTAAGATGGAAGTGAGGCAAAAGTTGGCGAGTTCAACGGAGTGACTCATGAATTAGACCTTAGTAGAGGTCAAGGAATTAGATGGGCAAATGGAAGAGGACCGCCAAAGGATAGAACACATCAAATCCTCGAACATTCTCACGTTAATGTCGCCATATATTCATCGCTCGCCGTTGTGGCATCGTTAGGCATAGTGCTAGCCACAGTATTTCTATGTATCAACATTAAATACAGAAATCAAAGGTTTTTGTTTTTATGTTTTACATTTAACTTTTGAAGAAATCAGTAAATTTAAACAGAATTTTTATTTTCAGGTATATAAAAATGTCCAGCCCATATTTAAATAATGTGATAATTATCGGGAGTATCCTTACATATTCGAGTGTAATATTTCTTGGGTTGGATTCAAGACTGACTAGCATTGAGGCATTCCCGTACATTTGTACCGCAAGAGCATGGCTCTTGATGGCTGGTTTTTCCCTTGCCTTTGGGGCAATGTTCTCCAAAACATGGAGAGTGCATTCAATATTTACTGATGTCAAGTTAAATAAAAAAGTAATTAATTCAAAAGTAATCTGAGTTGAAGATAAGTAATTTTAAATGTATCTAATTAGGTAATTAAAGACTACCAGCTCTATATGGTAGTTGGAGTTCTTCTTGCGATAGACCTAATCATTATGACTACATGGCAGGTAACTGATCCATTTTTCCGATCGACCAAACGCATGGAGCCATATGTAAGTTTATCAGTTAGTTAAGTGATTTTTTACTTTATTTTGTTCAAGTGATTTTGTTTTTTAAATAAATAATGTAATTTCTATTTTGAAGCCTCATCCAAGAAGTGAAGATATCATAATATATCCAGAAAATGAATATTGTAGAAGTAACTACATGAACATATTTGTAGGAATTATTTATGCTTACAAAGGATTATTAATGGTAAGGTGTAAAGTTTCAACTTTCTTCTAATAAAAACACTGCTATGTTTATTCTTATGCATGACTTTTTTCAGATATTTGGTGCCTTCTTGGCATGGGAAACAAGACATGTTAGCATACCTGCTCTCAACGATTCCAAGTATGTCGGTATGAGTGTATACAATGTGGTACTGATGTGTATCATGGGAGCAGCGGTATCTTTTGTTCTATCTGATGAACAGAATGCAGCATTCGTCCTAATATCTGTATTTATACTTTTCTGCGCTACAATCACACTTTGTTTGGTTTTTGTACCGAAGGTAATATCACCTCAATTAAGAGTCAAATTTGTAATATCAGCTTTATTAAATTCATGTAATGCCATTTCATTTTTCCTCATCTTCCTGTTTTGTTTATTATTTTTTCTTCAATGTATATTTTCCACTTTTTTTTACTTACATTAACCTAAAATTGACTATGAATGAAATCTTCAAACTGTTCTAGGATTTTATTTATTTTTAAAAAATGTTAAAACAAATAAACACACACCAATTTTATAATTAAATAACATAAAAACTTAATTATGACAAATAAGTCAACATTTTAAGTTAGTTGTTTTCAGAAACTTTATTTTGAAAACTATTCTTAGCTATATCAAAAAACTTTATTTATATTTGCTAATATAAACAAAAAATTATCCAATTTACCAAAATCCAGCATGTGGCTATCAATGAAATTTAGTTATAAACCAAAAAACCTTACAAAACAGGAATCATCAAGCTATACGATGTGCATTTCAATTTCACCATGATTTTATTGTACATTATATTATTATAATTAATCAATCGCTTGGAAGTTGAAAACAAGTCAGGTATTGTTAATTTCAAATAATAGCACAAAATAGATATTAGTTAAAATTAGTTTCTAGAATATAAAGCTTTTCTTATTTACCTAAGGTTTGTTTGGTAGTGTTCCTGTTTGAACGCCGCCCTTCAAAAAATAATTCAATAATCAAGATGTAAGTTTGTCGATGCCTTTTTGCGATTTAAGATACAACACTATTAATCCATCTGTTTTAATTAGTATTAAAGGCTTAAAAAAATGATACTTAATGGGTAAACTGGCTGCCAGTATTATTGGTCCTATTCAGAACATTCGCAGAACATTACCGAACAAGCCATGAATTTCATGCTTGGGCATCACCATCAATTCAAAATGCGTTTTAATGCAATGCTAGCCGATTTTAGTATTTTGAGAAATGCTTTGTAGATTTTTATTATAAAATAAAGCAAAATGTTTTGTGTCTTGTTTTATGTGAATAACAATGTTATGATTATTGTTTTAATTGATAGATTAACTTTTACAAGACCATCGTCTCTTCTCGCCTTCCACATGGATCTCAGTGTCGGTTTTGTTCTCTGTATCAGTGTCAAATTTTAATTAATCCAGTTAATTTGTCGATGTTTTCAATCTAGAAAATGGCTAGATGTTTTGGAACTTTTATTTAATACTCAAGCATAGATTACATGATTATTCAAACAATCATTTTGCGCCTGATAAAAAAAAATATATTTTTGCTTTAATATTTTAGTTCAACCAAAACAAAGTGTCATTAAAATACACATAATAAGCTTTGAATGCAAATGAAGTCCTAAGTAAGAAGATAATTACAAACTAATGTGGGCGAACATCTAATGTATACAATACTATGATTTAAATGTTAAAAAAAGCTTTTAGCTGTGTATTCTCAAAATCCATGATTGAAATTGACAATTACCACCACATTGAATATTACTGCTTTGATAAACATGGAATAGCTTAGAGAAAACAAGTCTTACACAAAGAAATTTAATTAAATATGATTTTACAGACATATGGCACAAATTGGCTTCACACAGTAATCCTCATATACATTTGTTTTAAAAAACCACTTCATACTTGTTAGCACACAGTACAAAAGTTTTTTTTATTTTTCAAATTGAATGTGCTTTTGTTTAATCATTGTTAGTCAAATTGTGTTTAAAATATTTCTAATTTTTGTACCCAAGAATGATTTGATCAGTGTCAGAGGCATGTTTCAACATTCAAGTCAGATGGAAGTGCGTTGTGAACTGCTTAAAGCAACAAATCTTAATTTTTTCACTTCTACCTGACTTATTTTACTTTTGCCAGTACACTTTGGCCCTGCAATAAAAGTGCACTAAATGTTCCCACTCGCTTTACATCCACTGTTTTGCTATCAAACAAAAAAACAATTTAGTTTCTAATGAAGCTGATAAATTAATTAAAGTAAATAAAAGACAAAAATAATTTTATTTAAATAATCATTTTTCTAAAAATACACATATTCTATTACAATTTAAACACAGAAAAGATCGTGTCAATTAAATAATTATTTAGATATATTAAAAGGGCACTATGTAATTTCTACATGAACAAATCACATTTGTTGCTGATACTTTCAACTAATACATTATAAATTTTAAAAAAATTTAAATCTTCAGAAGTCCAAGAAGACCTATTTCATATAAATATAACAAAAATGTAATAAAAACCAATATTTACAATTGTTCAAACAGCAATTTTACAAATCAAAATTTGTAAGAAGCAATAAATCATAAAAATCATCAATAATCATTCCAAACCAAATTAAATATCACCAAATACAACACATAAGTCAATTACATTATTTCTAGCAGGTCACAAAACATTAAAAGAAATTAATTATTGGCATAGGAAGATGGGAGAAAAAGTTCAAATTCCTATTCAGTATCGCCAATAGGAAACGAGGGCACCTGAGACTACGGTAATTTTTCTAATTTTACAGCTAGTCGAATTAAGGAGAAATCCACAGGGTGTGATAGATAAGAGAATAAGGGCGACGCTAAGACCCATGTCTAAGACGAGAAGGGATTCATCGGAGTTGGAAGAGAAGTTTAAAGATGCCAAAACGTCAAACCAGAGATGGAGGAAGTTGTTACTCGAGAGGGACAACGAACTCCAGGCACTCCTGAGGTTGTTAGGACAAGAAGAGAAAGTCGTTTCCAATCCACCTGTACCTCAAGAAGTCACTCAACTTAAAAAAGAACGTTAGTAACTGATTTGAATTTTTATTAACAAAACTAAATCAACATTTGAATTAGATCAATGAGCAAGTAAGTCTTAGAAGTGATAATGTCAGTTGCATGATCTTTAGAAACTGAGCATTATGATAGATACCCGACTGGGTTGATCCAGTCATTTAAACAATATAATATGCCTACATTGCTTGTTCAATTTATGACAACATAGCAGGTAGGTGTATGTAAACAAATAATTCAATAATAATTCAATTTAGAAAAAAAATTATTTTCTGATATTTTTATTTATACAAAGGGCCTTTACACTTTTAATTATATTTGACATTTATTGTAAATACATTTAATTCATTGTACATAATATACTTGATACATTACAGCACCATCTGCTACTGAAACTACAGAAGTAAGTTCGGTGTGTTCAAATAACTCATCACATGAGGGAGGAGAATATGGAGCCCTCATTGATACCCCTGCTCAAAAGTAAGAAAAAACTAAAATAACAAATTCTGTAATTGATTTTTTTGTTTTAATATAATTATTGTAAAAAAAAAAGAAAAAAGACTAGTTTCTGCAATAGCAAGAATGTGCCAGCAGCTGCTTTAGAAGAAATGACTGGAGGAAGCAGTCTTTCAGTTATAACAGAAGCTAGACATTCTGTTAAAACAGCTCAGCATTCCCCTTCAAGCCAGCAATCCAGTAAGGTATGTTACAGTGCTGTCCAATAAAAAAATGATTTAAACTTTATTTTATACCTTTGACTAAATTATACTGTTATTTTTCTAAAGGCTGTGTCTTGGGAAGAATGTCCAAGAGGGAGTAGTAACTCACTTAGAAGAAGATCGAGCGGAGCAAAAATCAGCCATACACCTCCCCCTCAAAGGCGAACTTCGATGCCAGGAAGGCGGACACCCACATTTGTTCACCAAGATGAACTCTGGCTGACTCAGAGACATTGTAGAACCCGTTGCAGCAATCCAGCAACTAATGAAGGTACAAATGAAAATTATGGTAAGGATTAACATCATAAAGTAATTTGTAGATTTTTTTTCTTGTTATTAATCTCTGACTGTTACTGGCTATTACTCTTTATCTTGTATTAAGAGTGAATGTATTTATTAGTATGAATGTGTCATGTGAGAGGGGTCAATGGAAGAATATCGAGTACCCATCGATTCTTAATTAGGTTAGTTGTATAATATGTGTAAAAGTTGTGTTGAGAGTGAATGTATTTATTAGCATGAATGTGTGATGTGAGAGGGGTCGATGGCAAAATATCGAGTTCCCATCAATTCTCAATTAAGTTAGTTGTATAATATGTGTAAAGTTGTGTTGAGAGTGAATGTATTTATTAGCATGAAAGTGTCATGTGAGAGGGGTTGATGGCAGAATATTGAGTACCCATCAACCCTCAAATAGGTTAGTTGTATAATATGTGTAAAGGTTGTGTTGAGAGTAAATGTATTTATTAGCATGAATGTGTGATGTGAGAGGGTGGGTGGTGAATTGACCTAGCTGTTGAGCTCAACCTCAACAACATAACAACAACCTCAAAATAACAACATAACCTCAAAACATACGAACATTTGCAGATTTGAGCCTAAATAAATCCAAATCCAACAATACATAAAACAACTGTCAGAACAATTAATACTGGACGATTTTTTGTTTTTCTATTTTCTAAATTTAACTACTTGTAATTTACACGTTTGTCTGAAGCGGAAAATAATTTTTGAAAAATAGAAAACGTGATAGTTTCAGATGAGGACGTGTCTGTGATACAAAGGTCGGTATCAGAAAGAAGAGACAAATGCTGTCATGGCAGTTCAGGTGCCATCCAACAGACAGGAGTAAGGATGACTAGTAGTTTAAAAAAGCCGACTCCAGCCCATGTACAGAGCACACCTAATGTGCTAGGAGGAGCGCTGAGCGAAGGAGAGTTACTCGATCTTTCGATCCTCCCTATATTCCAAAAACTCCTTACTGAGAGAAAAGGAGCCGCCATCGCATCCTGCCCAAACATCGCCATCAAATGTGACATCGTTGAATATCTATAACACATCTTCCATCATTCCTGTTCCAAAAATTTACCTAGAACTTTTTCTCAAATTTCGACTGCCATGTGCACTACCTTTGTGATAAGTATAATTATTTTATTTATATTCTGTGTACACTCAGAAAAAAATGAAAAGGGAAATTATTGTGTAAACCCTGTAGCAGTCAGTACTCTCTTTACCAAATATAATCACTGATGTATTGAAACCTGGGCTAGTTCAATTTAAAAATCCCTTGGAAAAAAGGCTATGACTGGGTTAATTGATATTGATTTCATCAGGGGCACAAAGCAATAATAATTGTACAATCTCATTTATAGTGAGATGAAATGACTGAAATTTTACTTTTTTACCTAATAGATTAATAATAAATAATAAATTTATTATCATAACTTAACTAGGACATATTTTTGTTTACATTAAAAAAAAAAAACAATCGACTTCCAAATTCGACCGAATCTTCATTATATTTTTGTTTTGCTTTCTAGAAAAAAAAAAGTGTAGAATAAAATGACAATCAATAAACTAGAGTATAATTTCAATAAGCTGTTGTGTTCCTGATGGCTGCATTAATATACAAACTCAAATTATTTAATAGTTAATTTCACTTTATTGTTTTAATAATGATCTTGGTCCACAGTATTATTAAATGGATACCACAGAATGTTTGGGACTGGAAAATTTGTGTTTTATACAAAATGAAAATATATTTAAAATATATATACAAATGTGGAGTGGTAAATTAAAAGGCCAAACGGTGGATAAGCAGGAGTGATTGTGGAATTCAAATAAAATTTACTAAAAATGAACATAGATAGCCTAATATAATTTGCTCAAAATGTCAATTACTTAAGCTTCTTTACCTTCTACTGCAAACATTGAAATCAGCACAACGAGAATAAAAGGCAGTTGCTATATTTTAAGAAAAATTGTTTGTTTCTCTGTTTGTTTGTTGTGTTGACAAGTGTTCTTTTTATTTATCGATTTTTGTTTCCTTATTTTGTATTTTTTTTTTTTTTTTTTTTTTTTCAATGCCAACATCCATATTTAGGACCTATCTTTAGCCTCTAAATTAAAAATGTAAAAATAAAAAAATGGGGCAGTGTTTATACCTATTGAATGTTATGCATTCAATCTTGAATAATTTAGCTCAATAAATGTGTTAAATAAATAGAAAAACTAAAACATGAGGGAAAAAAACATTTAATGAAGTTCATAAGAACGTTATAGTTCTTTAAATATAAATTTGTTGAATTTGTCTGTAAAAATAAAAGCATTTCACAAAAAAAAATTTAGTTGACATGTATGTAAATGAATGTTGTTCTACAGAATTTAATGTTGTTCTGTGTAGTGGCATCAGTAAATGACAATTCACTGGTTCCTGCCTAGAAATCTTTCAGACCTCTTTTGTAATTAATTTTCAGGTAAAATTTTGTTGAATTGAACAATATATTACTGTAAAAAATGTGATAGAAGTTGATAGCAATTATTGCATTTTTATTGTATATCTAATGTTAATTATTCTTTCCGAATATATTCCATATGCTTTAGCCTATATTTAATTAGAAATGTAATATTTTATATAATGTTAATAGTGTATATAGAAACCAATTTATATGTTTTGTCATAAAACCTTGTACATATAATTAAATATAATAATGTATAATTGTTTTATTACAACGTTAAAGATTTGAAGGAAAATATTTAAAAATAGATGTTTCAAATGGTTGTGTGAAGTTGTCACTGTGCTTTCAATTACTTTTATTTAGTATGGGTTTGACTTTTAAATGAAAAAAGTTCAATTCATTTGCAAATAAATTCCTTTTTTTTAATTAACACTTGCTATTTTATTTTTGTCTGCTTATAATTTTGGGTAACTGTTCTAAAGTTGTTAAGTAAATAATTTTATACTACATTACAAATTATTCCAAAATATTTCTGTGGAGTAATAAAGTGATAACTTTTTATGAGGTATTCCATTCCTTAAATAAAATCTCAGGCAAAATAATGAATCATACTATCTCTGAGGAAATAAGACGTTATGGGCAGTCATGAATATTATAGAAAACCGATTTACTTTAGTTCATAATCAAACCGTATTAATGTCTCGTTTAAAAGTTAATCAAAATAATAATTTTTTAACTTACCCAAGTTTAAGTTAAAGCTAATTCTTTTAAGACGAAAAAGTTTAGCACAAGTTACTTCTAGCCAAAATGTTGTGTACATACCTGTTAGTTCCTTTATGTAAATAAGAACGTTAGAGCTATGTATATGATGTGTGTACTGTGCAGACACATGTTCCTGCCCAAAAAAAGAATTAAATGGATAGCCTGTTGTTAAATTTTGTTTTATCAATAGATTGCAAATGTTTTATTAGAAGTAGCTATATGTATAGAAAATCAAGAGTCTAATAAAAACCCTCCCTGAAATTGTGGTACAAAACTTGTAAATGCATTGCAGTATAATCTGGACAATTGTTTACAGTAGGATGAATTAAAAAAAAATGGAAATTTTAATTATCACAAACAGTGTTATATTTAACTCTGGAAAGTATGTTTAAATTTTAATTAAACTAGACTTCTCCTTTAATGGATGTGATCAATTTACTTACATAATAGCTGTAACCTTGCCAATGTTTTTTATTGAAGTACTCTTGTCTAATATTGTTATGTATTATATTAAAATTAAATATTTTCCTTTTTATGAGAACTTAAGAAATCAAAGATTTGTTCAGTTTCCACCTCCTTCAAGAGTTTGTGATTTTTCTTAGACAAATAAATTAATAATAATATCTGGCTAGTTTTTCACCCTTTTACTCCATTTGTTACTACTTTTACAGCAAAAGGTAGTATGTTTTGTGATATTTGAAAATATTCTACTTAACATAAAAGCAATATTTCATCAATTAAAAAACATATACAGTATTGGTTGCCATTAGAAATCAAAGATATTACATAAATTTAAACAAATAATTATGGGTTAATGACATAACTACTCAAACTAACCAAGAACCATCAAGTATCACTTGTACATTGAAGAGACTGATAACTTATTTTATTAAAAAGTTAATAATTTTACTTTCTAAAGACAGAAACTACTTATGTATTGTTTTTACAGCCGGTAGGAATTAAACAAAATAGGTTGATTTTTCAATTTTTCAAATTTAGAAGACACAACTTCGAAAGTCATTTTAAACCGCAGTGGCCAAGTGGTTAGGGCATCTCCTCGTATTTTCCACAGTTCTGGGTTCAAATTTTTTTTATATAGTCCTTGGAATTTTATTTGAGATTAATTTGTAAAAACTACAGTAGAGATGCTTGGCCCTTTCTTTGCTACATGTTCAGTATGGCTGACCTTCCAGGAAGTCAAAGTTCCAACCCATTAATAATGTATAAGAATAAGAAAGTAATAATGCATAATAACTAAGTAGAAAGTAATTTTCCCCAGTAGGGTGAAAATTGAACTTTCAGGCAGCATGATGAAAACAAATTGGTCTTCAAATGATGTATGATCATTGCAAAAATTGATGGGGGTCCACTTAGGCTTGTGTTTGGAAATAAAGCCACTATGCATTTTATACAATCATCAGTATCCAGGTATGGTCAAATTGGGTAGAAAAAAAATTATGTTTTATTCCATTTAATATAAGCATTCCTTGACTGTTGGTGACATGGATTGTATGTTCAAAGGAAAGAAGTTCTAAAATCTTTCTATTCAAGCAAATTTTATTATTTGGAAATTATATTTTATCGTTAATATAATTAAGCCGAAGATCATGGGTTAGAATCCCGCTTGTGGTATTAGCTTTTTCATTTCAACCAAGACCTTACACAAAAGGAATAATTAATTGAAAAAAGTAATTTGGTCAATCAGACCACTAAAAATAATAGATTTAATATAATTCATATTGAATTTTATTATAATTAATAATTGATAATCATATAGTTTTAATAAATATTTCGAATTGTTTCAATTCATTCTAATTATTTGTTTGTTTTATTCTTTTTTATTATTATAAATATTTGTACATTTATGTACACTTATTACCTTAATACTTTTTAAATTCATTAGTTTTGTGGACTGCTTGACCAATTAATATCTTACAATTAATTAAGGTTTTCAGTTGAGATAAAAAAGTCAATGGCACGAGCGGGATTCAAACCCACAATCTTTGACTTGATACGCCGCTGCTCAACCACTTGAGCTATCGTGACCTTGATCCACTTGGACACCAACTTCCCGAAGATCGTGGGTTCGAATCCCGCTCATGCCATTGACTTTTTTATCTCAGCTGAAAACCTTAATTAATTGTAAGAACTTAATACTTTTATTGTACACATTCGTAATTGGGAAACCATAAATAAATAAATATTTAACCCCCTCCCTCCCATTGTCTATTCTTTTATCTACTTCAAATAATGCATTTTAGGTCTAACTACATTTAGTTTTCTGAAATTAATTAAGCTTTAGTAAATTCTAATTATTTAATCATTATCTGTTTATTATTATTTCCAATTTTTTATGCAAAGATGGTTGAGAAGAAAAATTAATGTCATGAGTGGGATTCGAACCCATGCCCTAAAGTAAATTCTATTCGCCAGAATGTAAATACAAATCCTAGATAATCTGTAATCAATTTGAAAGTTATTTTTGAACATTACAAGCTAAGAAATATACATTTTAACAGTAATGGTCCAAAAAGTGAAGCTAAGATACACAGTTTATAATTTGCTTGTTTGTTTTTTTCTTTCATAGAAACAATTCAATGTTTTTCTTTCAATAAAAAAGTTGATATTAGCAATAACGAAGACAGTGGCCCTGAAAATTGGAAAGTAAGTTAGTAAGAGCTTTATCTTAAATATTATCAAGTCTGATTTTTTTTAGTATTATTATTCTTTTAAAACAGGACATCATAGTCAAATAAATTTACAAAAACACATTCATTTTGAACTTTTATCATTGGAAAGCAAGTTTACATTAACATTAAATAAATAAGAAGAGAATATCAAAGGAAATTGGGAAAACTAATAGTAACAAAAAGAATTGTTTGTAAAGGAAACCATTATGAATTTCATCTGATAAAGGAGTTTGACGGTAGATATTTCAGGATCTATGTACTATTAGTTACACACCCTTTCCAGTACAATTTCGAACATGGTATGTTTTATATTAACAATATAAAATGCGCGCCTCCTACTCTTTAATTTAACTTCACGACAATTTCAACCTATGTTCAGCTATTTAAACCTCAGTTTGTTTAATTGAATACTAATTTGGTTTTGCTTTTGTTTAAAAAAAAGTCCAATCTACAGTTTATATTTTACCCTTAATGAATTATTTGCTATAAATATATTACACGGTTTTTCTTATTCCAGAGTTTTTTTGGATTTGGACAAAGTGTAGATGTAGAGATGATGTTAGACAGTGCCAATACTATAACTCAGACAGAAGAAAAGACTGAAGAAAGAAAGAAAGAACGACTTTTGTTGTACTATGATGGAGAAACTGTTTCTGGGAAGGTAAAAAAAATTCACAACTATTTCCATTTAGTGAATCTCTCTTTAAAGATCCTTCTCAATCACTGATCATAATAGTAAATTCATATTATAATTTATATAAACAGCCCTCAATTAGCTTATAATATGAATAAAGAGCGATGGATTTAGGCATATTGAGTACTCCACCACTCTGAGTTAATGGTACATAAATAGGAAAGAATGTATTTATGAATAAGTGAAAGTGTGAATGGGTTTGGGTCAAGGAACTACAGTGTTGGATGTTGAATTGACCTAGCTGTATACAGCACTTGAAGCCCAACTTCGGTGGATGGTCGGATAAGACCAATTTCTGATTGTGTACTGCCAACACCCGAGGTGGATCATCCTGACCATGATGACAAAAATTAGAATTTCCGGTGAACTGCTAGAAGTTTTAGGTTCCTCTCTGCACATGTGTATATGTTCATATGGGCAGATTTGAGCTTATACAAATCCAAAATATAAATAATCCAAACATGTTACATTAAGCAATTACAGATAACCATACATTAAACGGTTAATTTAAATGCAATCTAAGAAATTAAAGTTGTAATTAATTGTACTACTACAATATTGGGTTATGTCACTAAAGGAAAAGACATGGTGAGTTGTTTTGTTCAATTTTTTCTCAAAGAAAGTAAGAGAGAATAATATTTTGGAATACCACCAGCTAGGAAATGTATATTTAAAAACACTACAGACCAAAAGTAGAGCTAAGATATACAGTTTATAATTTGCTAATTATTTTATAGAAACAATTCAATATTTTTCTTTAAATGAACAAGCTACTATTAATAACAGCAATAAATAACAGTCAGTGGCCATGAAAACTGGAAAGTAAGCTAACTTATCTTTAATTTATTGTTAAGCCTGAACTATTTGATTAAAAAGATTCTTTTTAAACAGGATTTTACAGGCAAATTAAAAAAATTATTATTATTTTAAAAAATACTTTTAAAAACATGTTAGTTTTGAATATTGTTCATTGGAAATCAAGTTGAAATTTACTTACAATAAAGAAGAGAATGACAAAAAATCTGGCAAAATGAACTTGTAACAAACAAAAATTTTTCTTTCACCTGAACTATTTTTTGGTATATTTTTAAACTTGTTTTTGGTTTTTATGAAACCAATTGTCCATAGAAAGCCATTCCATAATTTTTTTCTCAATTTTAAATTATTCTAACAATAAACAAAAGGAAGATTTTTACCAAAAAATGAACTAGTAGCTTTAGAAAATTTTAATTAAATTTGTTTAATATATTTTATTAATTAAAACAGAAAACCAAAACTTTTTTTAAATTGCCCATTTGACACTTAACTAAAAGAGAATGTTGATAATGTTCAGGCAAGATAAAAAATTTATTTGTTACTAGTTCATTTTGCCAATTTTCTTTGACATTCTCCTTAAATAAGGACAATGAGATAAGCCTTCATTTCTAACAATACTACTATATAAAAGCTTATCTCGTTGGCCAAATAAAATAAAAAAGTGAATGTTAAAGTACACTGGAAAAATCAACCTCCTTCAAAAGTTAAATAGTTAAGCAATTAAAAAAGAAGAGTATGTCAAAGAAAATGGGAAAAAATGAACTAGTAACAAGGAAAATAATCATTTAGAAAACCTGTTTTTTGATTCTTATGAAACCTATTTTGCTCAGTTTCAACTTTCTTTGGTGAGTTTATAAGTTTTTTAGACAAATGAAAACAAAAATATGTTCATTTTGAAAATTATTCACATGAAATCAAGTTTAAACAATAAATAAAGAAAAGTATGACAATGAAAACTAGATCTTCTATGCAATTGACTAGCCTTTCTAATAGTAACTTAGGATTAGGGTTGTGGGAAGAAAAAATTTCTCAGAAAAAATCATTGAAAGTTCAGTGTTAGTGCAAAAATAAGGAATTTTTTCTAAACACAACCCTAATCATAACAGACAAAAATCAAATAGCATTTTTAGTTAATGTTAAATTGGACTTTGGGTTTTATGATACCAATTAGCCCTAGAAAGCTAATATTGTTTAGATTAGGGAAGTTAGTGCCACAATAGCTCAAGTGGTAGAGTTGCGGCGTATCAAGCCGAAGGTCGTGGGTTCGAATCCCGTTTGTGACACTGACTTTTTTATCTCAACTTAAAACCTTAATTAATTGAATATTGCTTAGTTTCAACCTCCTTCAAAATGTATACAAATTATTAAAGAAGATTGTCAAATAAAAGTGTAAAAACATATTCATTTTGATCATTCTGTTGAAAATGAAGGTTAAACAATAAATAAAAAAAATAATGAGTGAAAACTGGAAAAAATGAGCAAGTAACAAGTAAAGACAAATCAGCATTTTTAATTTATGTTAAATTTCATTTTGGTTTTTATTATACCAATTGGCAAAAAAAAACAAATATTTTTTAATTTCATCCTCCTTCAAAGTTATACAGCTAATAAAGAAGAATATCTTATTTTATATATTACCAACTCCACGGTTCATATCTTCTCTATTGCTAGGTTAAAAAATTCCAAGATCTCCGTGTTCGAAAACTTTTATTCAATTTAGTAAATTACATGGACAGGGTGGAAAAATAATATATTGTATCATTAGCATGGTTCAGGTATAAATACTTTTATTTAACAAATTGGAAATTATTGATGGGTGTGCCTTCAGATTGTGAATTATACCATGAGATTTCTCTATGTTTAGTTTCTGATGATGGGCCAGGAGCCCGAAATGTCCATGTAATTTATTAAATTGAATAAAAGTTTTCAACCAAGGAGATCTTGAAATTTTTCAACCTATCAATACAGAAGAAGAGTATCTAAAAGAAAAGTGTACATTTTGATTATTACATTGGAAATCAAGTTTAAATGATAAATAAAAAAAGTATGACAATGAAAAATGCAAAAAATTTGCAAGTAAAAGGTAAAAATCAATAAATATTTTTATTTTATGTATGGTGATTAGTGACTGTTAGTCGATGATTATTCGAAGATAGTGAGATGTGGTCTGGTGTGACGTAGGAAAAACATTTTCTTTATTGTGCCACGTTTCAGCCTTTATTGAGATCATCTTCAGGGCCTAGGATTTACATTGTTTAAATTTAATAAATACATGTAGGATGTGGAAACAAATTGAATTTATACAATCCAAAAAAATATATATTTTTTTTATATTCAATCAAAGTATTTCTTTTCATTCAAAGTATTTCTACTCAAGAGGACAAACACTTTGAATGAAAAGAAATACTTTGATTGAATATTAAAAAAAAAAATTTTTTTTTTTTGGATTGTATATTAAGTATATAAAGTATAAAAGATTGTATATAAACATTGGCACAATAAAGAAAATGTTTTTCTAAAACCTACGTCACCACATCTCACTATCTTCGAATAATCATTTTTATTTTATGTTAAATTTGATTTTGGTTTTGATAAAATCAATAGAAAGCCAATAATTTTTACTTTCAACCTCTTTCAAAACTTTATAAGTATTTTTATTCAAATGAAAACAAAACATGGTAAATCTGATTTTTTAAACTCATAAATTTGTTTTTTTTCACAATTTTAAATTATTGTAACAATAAATAAAGCGAATATTTGAACTTGAACAATTAGCGATCAAATGAGTGTTTGATATTTTTATAAAATGAATTTTTTTGAGTATTTATGAGATTTTTTTGGCTGTGATTGAAATTGAACTCAATGACGCATTTGTGTCATCAAAATGATTCTTCGTCTCCCTCTTCATCGTTCTTCAAGGCGACGTGCACTTACGCCAGCACTTCTCGCCTCCGCGATTATTTTTACACTTAGCTCGCAAAGGTTAAATCTCGTTTTAAATATCGTAATTTGAAGTTTTACCAGCCTGGAAAAATTTAATTTCCACTCGAGTTTACTCGGTCGGGAAAGCTAGTTTCCAAAGCAAAAGGTATCAAGGAGGCGTGACTTTGTGACGTAACCTAAACTAAGTTGTTAGATTAATAATTTTTATATCGGCCTCAGGATGTAATAACAACTTTAATTGGAAAGGAAACCATTATGAATTTCATCTGATAAAGGGGTTTGACGGCAGATATTTCAGGATCTATGTACTATTAGTTACCCACCCCTTCCAATACAATTTCGAACATGGTATGTTTTGTATTAACTAATATAAAATGCATGCCTTCTACTCTTTAATTTAACTTCCTGACAATTTCAACCCGTATTCAGCTATTTAAATCTCTGCTTGTTCAATTGACTACCTATTAGGTTTTGCTTTTGCCATTAAAAAAAAATCCGATATACAATTTATATCTTAGTTCGTACTTAATGAACTATTTCCCATGAATATAATAAACGGTTTTTCTTATTCCAGAGCTTTTTTGGATTTGGACAAAGTGCAGACGTAGAGATAGTGTTAGACGGTGCTGATACTAGAACGCAGGCAGAAATAAAGACTGAAGATGGAAAGAAAGAGCGACATTTGTTGTACTACGATGGAGAGACTGTTTCTGGGAAGGTAAGATAAATTCTCAACTCTTTACATTAGTAAGATCTACCATTAAAGATCCTTCACGATCACAGATCTGAAAATTAAATTCATATTAGAGGACCGGGTGTCAAGACTCTTAGCTAGTAGATTCCACGGTCATGGGTTTGATTCCCACTGTCGCCTCTGGACTTTTTTTTCTGATGCTTATGAGGTGCGGTGGTCACAATGCATGTTTACACTGAGAGTCTGGGGTGGTCCATGGTCCTGACCCCCACCCGTTGAAAATGAGTTTCTTATGTGGAATGTTGCAAGCTACAAAAATGGAGCTAAGGAGTACAATAAGCTCTAAAGCTGCTCAGGGGGAACTTCGCTAATTTGTTCTATCCACAATAAAAAATACATATTTTACTTCAAGCCATTAAATTAGTAGTTTATATGCAGTCTGAGAAATTAAAATTGTAATTGTGATTCTACGTTATTGGATTGTCACTAAAGGAAAAACAAATGGTTTGTTCATAAGAGGTGAGTTGATTTATTCATTTATTACTCAGAGAAATAATAATAAACTTATTATTGGGGGTAGAGGTGCTCGGTGGGTCGTCGGATGTGCACATCTGTCTGTATATATTTAAGTCTCATATCGTTCACATCAACCAATGAAATTTTAACAGATTAAGCAGAAGAAGTAATCAGGAAAAAATCATAGCTGCTTATGTTTAAAATAAATATTTTAAAAAAAATTTAATTGTTTGGAAAACAACACCCTAAGCCTGTACAGTTTTAAAGGAGGAATAATTAGAAAATACTGACGAATGTTATGGTTAAAAGATGATTTCTAGTTTTAATAATGTTTAATGGAACTGTTCAGATCAAATTCATATTTGGGGACTGGGTGTGAGACTCAGCTAATAGATCCCACAGTCATGTTTCCACTGTCGCCTCTGAACTTTTTTTTTTCTGATGTTTTGGGGGAGTGGTGGCCACAATGGAAGTTTACACAGAAAGTCTGGACTAGATCGAATCTCAGGTGAAATCGGTCCTGACCCCCTTTGAAAATGAATTTCTTCTGTGGAGTTGTTGCAAGTTCCAGAAATAGAGCCAGGAAGTAGTACAATAAGCTGTAAAGCTGCGACAAGGGGAATTCTTCCAGTTCATTGTATCCGCTATGAAAAAAAATACATATTTTACTTTAAGCAATTACAGGTTAGCCTCCACATTAAATTTCAAATTCAAGAAATTAAAAAAAAAAGATGATGGGCAGGAAATGAATTGTTTTTTCCATAATAGGCATTTATTTCATCAGACGTATTTCATTCTAATCTAGACCATCTGCAGTGACTTTTTTTATGTAGTGGTTTGATAGTTTTTGTACATTCTTATAAGTTCAGAAGTAGATGGCCAAACGACTATGGACTTGGCATCTGTCAAGCCTTGGGGAGCTTTTTCACTCTAGGGTTGGTCTAGTTGAGCTGTGAATCAGGTAAAACAACAAAATGTTTGCATTGTTCGACACTGAGTACAGAACACTTCTGGTCCATGCTCAACTCACTGGGCACATACTGTACGACATACCCCCCCCCCCCAGACAAATGGGCAGGATCTTGAAACTATTGCCAAGGCTGTTATTTTAAGCTACTTGGCAGCTCAGAAGTTGTCCTTCCATGTTTTCCCATATCCTTGTATGCAAAATGAGAAGCTTCTTATGCAGTTTGTCCAATCTAATGAGTCCTCTGTTCTTTGACGATGTAACCTGGCAGACTTCAATGATTTGCACACTGTGCTTACATTAGAAGTCACCAATGACCAGATCTTTGTTGGAGGTGAGTGGGTTGACCCCCAATAGCAGCATACATCCCTGGAACTGACGCCTGAACATGGCATTCTTCTTCATGCAAACTCTTTGAGATTGACTCAGAACACTTTGAGCTGCTTGGTCATCTAGTCGAGTTTTGAATCACAAATTTTGGTGAGATATGGAGGAAAAAGTGGGAACCATTTGTATGAAACATACATTTTGTTATCATATTGATATTCTCATTTAACCTTGTACTACATATTGAAATATGCAAAAAACATGACTCATTTTTAAATAATCAAAGATGATCAGACCAGAATTATTATCTAATGTTATCATTGTTTCTTCTTTTTTAATTTAGTGTTTATAGTTTGAAATTTTTGTTTTAACTATTTAATGTATTTTATTGGTAGACATATACAGTATTTCAATAAAGTGTTTACCAAAAATACGCAAGGCATGGATTGAATCCATCTGCCAGAATTTTTAATATATGACAATGGTTAGTAATTTAAAATGCAAAAATACTATGACTTTTTTAAATAATAATAATAAAACAGATGCTCAGTTTTAGAGTAATTAGTATTAATGGGAATGAAAGGATTGGTGGTATAAAAGATGCAAATTATTTTATTTAATTATTTTAATAAGCCAAGTGTTAATACATACAACAATTTTATAATTATTAAATTCACTAATTTCGTGGTTTGCTTGACCAATTAATATATTGCAGTTAATTAAGGTTTTTAGTTCAGATAAAAAAGTCAATGGCACGAGCGGGATTCAAATCCATGATCTTCGGCTAGATACGCCACTGCTCTACCACTTGAGCTATCGTGACCTCGATCCACTCGGACACTAACTTCCCATCTCAACCTCACCTTTTGAATTTTCCCTCCCTTGTTCGAATTCCGCTCGTGCCATTGACTTTTTTATCTCAACTAAAAACCTTAATTAATTATTTATAATTATTGTTGATACCTCTAAAAAAATAAAGTTTTATATTATTATGCTGATCGATATTTGTGGTTTTCTTAAAAGGTCAATATAAGATTAAAGAAGCCAGGCAGTAAGTTAGAACATCAGGGTATTAAAATAGAATTTATCGGCCAAATTGAATTGTACTACGATCGTGGGAATCATTACGATTTTACATCCCTTGTAAAAGAATTGGTGAGACCTGGGGAACTGCTTCAAAACACGACGTATAATTTTGAGTTCCTGAATGTAGAAAAACCTTTTGAGTCTTATACAGGCTCAAATGTCAGACTCAGGTGAGACATTTTTTATTGTATGGTATTATTGAAACGTAGGCAAAAAAATAAGCTTGTTACTTTATTTAGGTACCTTTTGAGAGTCACTATAGTTCGCCGAATATCAGATATTACTAGAGAAAAAGAAATAGTAGTGCATACATTATCTTCATATCCAGAAATGAACAATAGTATTAAAATGGAAGTGGGAATAGAGGATTGCCTGCATATTGAATTTGAATACAATAAAAGCAAGTAAGTATAATACAGTCGAAAATAATAAATGTTTTATTTCAAAATTTAATGGTGGTTTTTTCCAATTTTTTTTATTCCAATCGTGACGCTTTTTTTTTTTTTTTTTTTTTTTTTTTTTTTTTTTTTTTTTTTTTTTTTTTTAATTACATTTTTTCTTTCATAGGTACCATTTGAAAGATGTGATCGTTGGAAAGATTTATTTCCTTTTAGTACGAATAAAGTTAAAACACATGGAAATCTCGATAATCAAAAAGGAAACCACAGGTTCTGGTGAGCTTTCTTTAACCTAGTTTTAGTTATGTTTGTCCTTTATATCCAATTAGATTTGTTGTTTTGTTTTTCTATTTGCTTCGCTATCTATTGACTTGGAGTATAGAAGACAAACATTTTGGTGTTCCAAAGATGTTTTTTGCATTCCTATGTACATATTTGATTTTTTCTTCCGCTTCCTTTCTTTACTATATTACACTTTGGAAACACCACACTAACAAATTGGTGATTGAAATATAAATGAATACCATCAAAATTCAGTCATTCTTCTCTTAATAAGGGAAATCACATATCATGAGAAGTGTCTTTCTTTCTGCTTGAAAATTCATTTATATTGGGGCTTTTTTTCATAACAATTTTATTTTAAAGTACAGTAAAATTAATTAGGTGTACAATAAATTAATTAATTGTGCCTTTTATATATATAAATATAATAAATACTAAAAAAAATAAAACCCTATTAGATTTTGAATTCATATTAGCATGTTTATGTTAGTATTTGCTCTACATATTATATTGAGTTTTTTATATTTTTACTATTATTGAGTTGTAAAATAAATCTGTAGCATTTGTGTGAATTCAATAAAAAGTTCAGGTATGGTAAACAGATTTAATCAACACTATACTGACTAATTATTCAGAAATCGTGAGATGCGGTCTGGTGTGATGTAGGTTTCAGAAAAACATTTTCTTTTATCGTGCCAACATTTCGATCTTTATTGAGATCATCTTCAGGGCCTGGGATTTACAAACAATGTTTACATTTAACAAATACATTTAGGATGTGAAAAAGTGAATTTATACAATGCAAAATATATTTTTTTATATTCAATCAAAGTATTTCTACTTACTCAAAGTGTTTCTCTTCTGTGTAATTGTGCCATTCTTGCATGTTGTGTTTAGAATGCCAGTGAGATATTGCTGTTTTATGTTTATATATGTTGGATTTTGAAGGGGTGGGGAGGGATGTCGGTATAGAAAAGACATTTTTGTATAAGGCGTCGGCTTCTTTGAGGTGAAAAGAGCCGACGAAGGGAAAAAATGTGTTGGTAATGGTTTGGCCAGATTATCCTTTCAGGATTACATAGAAAGGGATAAATAGGAAAAGGAAAGCTAAATTGTTGGACAATTAGACTATGTGAAAAATATTTGATGTGTGGAATGTAATGTGATGATATATGTATGTTATCTATATTGAATTTGATTAATAATATTGGCGTAGCTGCGACTGCGTTTACATGTATCTGTTCTGTAATTGATGCTGTGTTTATCTCTGTTGATATAAACCATTTCTAAGAAATTACGTTTATATTTGTTTTGTTCTGTATGTAATATTTTTGGATTTTTGAAGTCGAAATTGTGTTGGTGTTCAAAATGGCCCTGAAGATGATCTCAATAAAGATCGAAAATGTTTTTCTGAAACCTCAACACACCAGACCGCATTTCACGATTTCTGAATAATTATCGATTAACGGTCATTAATCACCACACACTATACTGACTGTTTTGTTCCACTATCTGATACCATATTCCATGTAATTTTTTAAATCTCTCCGCCCAGAACTTCTTAGGTGTTTGAGTGATGAATTCCTTGAAGTCTTTTCTGCAGTCTTCAAGTGACGTAAAGGTTTCCATATTAATAAAGCTTTACAGAACCCGGAATAAGTGAAATCTGAAGAGGGTGTCAGGCAAATAAAGTAGCACATCCCAACCAGGCTACAATTTCTGGTGCTTCTGTGAGGGGGAATCTTTATCCTGGTGTAAAAATCCGGATTAACCAATATTGGTCATTTTTAGTCAATTGATGTCTTAAATCGCTTCGTGTATAGTATGCATTAGAATTATCGGTTTGGTTGGGCAGAAGAAGCGCGTAATAAATAAACCCCCTTCCAATCCCACCAAATGCACCTTCTTGGGATGTAATCTGGCTTTTGGAGTTGTTAACAATGGGTCGCTGCATTTTCTCCGAGATTTTTCCATCTGATATCATTTAAAGGACCCACATCTCCAGTTATCAACCTTTTTAAAAATTTACATTGCATCGAAATAAATTCTTCTAAGTCAAGGTGTGCATACATTGCTCCTGCAAACACATTCAGCTGCTCTAAGACGCATTGAAACATTTATATGAAAGTTGGTGTTGTTGAGTGACAGTTGTTTGTGACTAAAGCTTAAATTTGGTCATCATCAGCAGTTGAAGGAAGACAAGATCGCTGTGCGTCTTTTAAATCAAAATTTCCACTTTTGAGCCAAATAAACCATCCCGGCCTCAGACTATCCTAAAGTGTAATCATCATAACATCACAAATTTTCCTAGCAGACTTGAGCTGTGGTTTTCTTTGTTGTAGAAATAAAATAAATAAATAAAAAATAAACATTAAATGATCAAAATTCACTATTTTTCTCTCCATTTTAAATTTGCAAAACACTTGTAAAACATCCAAGATTTCAAACAAGCTGATGAATAAAAAACATCACTAATCTCTTTTTATAGTGTGTAAACATTAGTGACTAAATAAACATTGCTTCAAAACACAAAAGGGGTAAAAACTGACTTGTTGAAAAACGCTACAGATTTATTAAACATACTTAGTCGAACTTCCCCAAACAGCAGATATACTTATAATAAAGCAAACATCCTTCATAGTCAGACAATTTTATTTTCCCCACCATTATTCCATTTATTTGTTATTTATTTATTATCCAGTAATGAAAAAGTCTGTTATAAGTAGACATCAGAAAGAAAAACTCAGAATCAACAAATTACACATCCCTCTTGAATACCTTTGGCAATTCAACATTCTCACCCCACCCTCATCATTTCTATTCAATTATTTTTCTTTTTTTCCTTTAATATACCTATTTTTTTCTGTTTTCTTCTAATAAGCAAAGTCCCATTTTCAAATGCTGTCTGCTTAAGGGAAGTTTGACTGTACATAAATGTATGCATTATAAGTGTGTTTTAGTTGTTATTTTATTTCTGAAATATCTCTGAATAAAAAAATAAACAAACTTATATTAATTTTTTTTTGTGGAATGTCTTTTTAGGTCCAAACACTTTTGTTGAAAATGACCAAATAGTAAAATATGAAATAATGGATGGTGCACCTGTAAGAGGAGAAAGTATTCCTATACGATTATTTCTTAGCTGTTATGATCTTACACCAACCATGAAAGACATAAATAAGAAATTTAGCGTTAAGTACTTTTTGAATTTAGTGCTGATGGATGAAGAAGATAGGCGTTACTTTAAACAACAGGTGGTTAATCATTCTAAAGCACTGTTTGTGATTAATTGATAACATATTTGAATTTGATTTTTTTCCCCTAGGAAATAACTTTATGGCGTAAAGGAGAAAAATCTCTTAAGGGTCATAGTTCATCTCCACATGTACCGAACCATTTGGTCTCTGGAGAAGGTGGTCCAAAAGCGGCTGAACCGCCTCGAGCCACACCCACAACACCTGAAGCCAGTACATTTGAAGATTTTCAGCGTGAAGAGGATTCCCCGACTGCAGCAGAGGGGACTAATGATGCTGCCCCACAGGCAAACACTGTAATTAAAACAGAGTCCGACGAGGCAGAAGAAAAACCACCGCTTACCACCGAATTAAATCAAGAGGAGGGAGGAGGTAAAGAGGCAAAAGACAAGACAGAAGAATGATGTCTCTAGTCAGCTATACCTCTTCAAAAAAAAAAAAAAGTAGTAAGAGTATTACTCGTTATTTGTGTGACGCTGCAGTGTTCATAAGAAGAGTGTTGTTGATCATGAAGCTTTTAAAACAGAAAATTTTCTAAACAATAACCTGAGAATGTACCTGTCAATGTAATCCTGACAATTTCAAGGTTTTCAAATATAATTTCCCTATGATTCTTCCTTGAAATTTTTGTATCTCGAACAATATACATATTACTGTCAATTAATTTAAAAACCCAGCATTACCTTTTTTTAAGAAGGTAAAAATTCTTTTTGTTAATTTTTTATCTCTTGTCACCTTGTCCGGTTCCCAATAATACATCCAAAATAATTAATATTATTATACATTCAGTTATAACTTGATTTTCAAATGTATTGAAAGTTCTTGATTGAATTTTGATGATGACATTTCAGAACAAGAACCATTTTTTAATGCAATGTAAGAGTCATGGCAATAATAGCGATACCTTGATCACAGTTTCGTTATAAAATTAGTAATATTTTGAAATGTCTTAATTGTAAAGACAACAGATAAATGTATATAATATATAATAAAAATAATATATTGTATATAATCAATTGTTTAATACAAATTATATTGTTTATTTGGGCTAAGCCTAAAATTGTTTAATGTACGTATTTATGGAGAAAGAAAATTGTGTAATAAATTAATTTCTTGGTAGTTTGAAATATTATCTTTTTTTATATATTGTACTGGTCTTGCATTTGAAAATTCCATACAAAAGCAAAACATGTAAACTATATGTATATTTGAAATATGTCCTTTCATTCAATAATATAAAATGCCATTGTCAAGTCCTTTAACTGAATTTATGCTGACTTGTTTATCATTCCATTTACTTTTATTTTAACATATTTGCTACTATTTATTCAATACATAGTTTATGCAGTTTGTAGAATATGAAATATCCCTATATTTTGTTTATTACATAAATATTTTGTTCAAAATAAATATTATCAATTGCTAAAATTGCTTTTCTTGTAACCTAACTACTTTTAAATAATGATTTGACAAAACGTCAGTTACCATGATTTTTAAGGTAACGTGTTTTTGATGTTACACAGTACATTGATGTAGAAACAATTTCTACTTTCTTCAATATGTTAAATTAAGAAAGTTTGTGATTAGTTATCCTCATAAACCACAAGATATATTTTAATATTCTGTACATTCTCACATATTTCTATAGATTGTTCCTTTCCATCCTGATCTACAGTCAGACAAGTTTTCTCTGTCATCTTCATTAGTAAAATAAAACCCATACTAAGTGAAATACATAAGAAGAAACCTTGATGAGCTGTGATCATAGAATACTTCACGGACTTCAACGCAGTGTCATAAATACATTCCTACTTTAATAATGATAGATTTCTCAATAATAGATAACTAGAATAAAACATTTAATATATTTATGAAAAATAAATTTTTCTCAGTGTAAGAATTGCCTTTCAGAAACAGCTACACCAAAAACAGGCCTATTGCCTCATATTCATAAACAATACATGCTGTTTATGGTTTTTCTTGGCAGAATTATCATGTTCCTGTTTGTCCATATTCTTTAGGTGGAAGTTAAGAGGGCAAAGGCTGATATAGAGGCCTGCAATTTTCCTAAAATTTTGTCCACCGAGTCCTTTTTAAAAAGTCCTTCGCCTAATTTTTAAAAGGAAAAAATCCCCATACCCTGTACTTTTGTCCAGAGCTTTGAGTTTTTCTTCTCAATCCATTTTTCCAGCTCCAACCTTAGCCCACTATCAGGGGCACCTAGTTACGGTTGTACACCATGAGTCAGTGGGCCCCTTTGGCTTGCTAATTATCGTGTTAATTTCCTTCTGTTACTTTCCTGTCCCGGTACCCACCTCGATGTAACTGTCTTGCTTTTCTAGAGCCATTAAGCAATCCCAGACTAGTTTGGAGCTAAAAACAACGTTCACATTTAGTGTCTTTAATACTTTAGAACCCCAAAATATGACAATCATTGATGACAGTATTGGTATAGTTAAATCAAATATTAAAAATAAATAAAATCAGTAGATGTGTGCTTCTTTAGCAGATACAAATCCATTTTAAGACCCTATCGTCACCGTTTCAATTTTCAGTTTTGAAAATAGCAGGTCATTCCCAATCATTTAAAAAAATTAAATTAGATCAATTTTTTTATGTTTGTTATTTGAAAAATGTTCTTTTAATATCAATTTTATATTGTTTTTCTCATTTATTCTCCAATTTTATATTACATGTTTTAGTAAAAACAAATACATATTTATCAAAAATAAAAACAAAATTTGATTTTTTATTAGATAAAAATCTGCTTTGTGATCTGCTTGATGATATTGCCATTTCCTTTTAATTCCCTGAGTTTTTTTTATCTGTGACTTTTTTTTATATTATTTGTAACTAATTTACCATTAACCATACATTTAGCCATTTTATTTTTTAAAATTTAAATGTCATCAATCATTATAAAGAGAAAAACTAACAATGAGTACATATTTATCCAAAATGAAAACATTTTGATTTTTACTACATAAAAATCTGCTTTATATTGGCAACATTACCATTTTCTTTTTCTTCCCTGAGTTTTTTTTTCAATTTTTTTATTTTATATTGTTTGTAACTAATTTACCATTAGCTCTGAATTTTGCCATTTTATTTTGAAAATTTAAATGTAATTCTCAACCATTTTAAAGAATGAAATTAATTTCAATTTTGTTTTGTTTGTTATGTAAAAGATTTTCTTTTAATATCATTTATATTGTTTTTCTCATTTTTTCTCATTTTATATTACATATTTTACTAAAAAAAAATTCAATTTATCCAAAATAAAAACATATTTAGTCATTTTTTTACCATTACCATTTTTTTTATTGTGTATGTAATACATCACCAGAAGGGGCCACCAGTTGTATGTTGTATGAGATAATAAATTTACTGTTTTTGGAACAGTAAGGATTGTTCATCCTTCAAGAAGACTTTTATTTGTTGCAAAAAGAAAAAATTATGATACAATATTACAAATACTGCAAGCCAATTTTAATTAATTACTGTTCCTTTTTTCATAACAAAAAAAGTTTTATTTTACAAATTTCTGTGAAAACTTATCAAACAGAGAAAAAATATATACATTTTCTTCAATTTTGAAAAATTATTTGCATTTTCGGTTGGATATTGTTGTTGCAAAGTTAAAAATATATTGTTTCCAACAGTTTAAATTAATGATGTCGATTAGATCAGAATGACATCATTTTCTGTCATCTGAAACGAAACCTTCTAGAACGCACCATCACACAACCTCATTGACGCACGTTCTTCCAACCAACTTTGTTAGTTTAATTACGTTTATGTAAATCGTTAACTTTGAGTTCGTCTTCTCGTTAATGTAGACAGAATAACTTGAAGAAAATGATCGTGTAAACTTTTTTTGTGTCAAAGTTCGTCATGACTTCAGTTGAGTCAAACGGTAAAGAGGAGCTGCGCGATTTATTTGAATTGGATAAGTGTGTTAATTGGATAAAAAAGAACAATTATACAAAGGTAGGCATAATAATATAAAACAGTTATATTGAAAAGAGTGTTTTAATAATTATTCTGGACTGTGTTTGGTGTAGGTTTGTCTCCAATTCCCCGATTCTCTGCTGTCTTACTCAGTCGACATCGCCTTGTACATTGACAAAGAGACAAATAACAAAACCTTCATTCTTGGAGACACTTCATATGGAAGGTAGGCAACACAAGCAACATGAGTAAAAATAATAATATTGTTGATAAGGCGAAAGAGATAGTGGCGAAGGTCGATGATGTGGTGTTCAAACAGCCCAAAATCCCTGACAGAGTGTTTAAAAAGAGAAAACACAAAGTCTTAGACGAAGAAACTTACCTGGAAGAAATGGGCAAAATAATACAAAGAGACTTTTTCCCCGATCTTGAAAAAGTAAAAGCTCAAAATGAATATCTCGATGCGCTGAACAAGAACGATATTATCAAGCTGCGTGAGATTCATGCGAAATACACACCAGGCTCGCGGGTGAACACCGAGAGGGTTTTCAGCCCGGCAACCTTTGAAACGCCGATCGACACACGACCCAGGGAAGACGATGTAATGAGCACAGCTGGAAACGAAACAAAAAGAGATGAAAGTGGCTCGCAACAGTCTAAAGAGAACATGTCTTTAGATCACTACTTGGCATCTCATACCAGTGAAGATAATCAAAGTTTTGAAGACATCATTGAAGAGGCTGAAAGAAACCATAGAAAAAAATATTCATGGCTTTACAAAGAAGACGGCATAGATAAAAATGAGCAAAACAAAGCATTAGCGTTGCCTTCCATAGAACAGCAGGCTGACGGTATACCTAGAAAAATGCTGCTCGACTCCTGGACCTACAAAGACAAAAATTACATCATGTACGTTCCTGATGGAGTGGATTTGACTCCTGAAGAAAAAATTGAAATGGCAAAACGTAAACAAGCCATTAGTCATTCCAATACGAGGTTTAAGTCTAATCCGTTCGACGAAGCTGAAAATCAAGAGAGAATACAGGATTTAGCTCACAACCAGGCGAAAGTTTTGGACGGGAAAATCGGTGTTGACGGTAAAGAACTAGTCAGCGAAACCCCAAAAGTTAACGGTTTTAGCTTTGTGAAGACACCGTCTCCAGCCCCAGGAGTTAGCGAGTCCCCATTCATGACTTGGGGAGAGATTGAAGGCACTCCGTTTCGCCTTGACGGAGGAGATACTCCGTTAAGATCTACTCCTGGTCCATCTTACTTTTTACCTGAACCACCGAACAGGGAGAAAATTGCATTGAGGCTAGCTGATAAAGTCAACGAAAGACACAGGGATAAGAAGAAAAAAGCAATAGAAGCCGCTCGGCGACAGTTGTCTTCTCCTCTAAATAGGCCCGGTTCTCTTGACAGGCTACAAATGTTATCACCGGCGGCTAAAAAATTTGCGACGACTCATATAAGTAGGATGGGGAGTGACAAAAGTCTTTCATCATTTTATAGCCCTGTCCATAGGCCAGCAACAGGAAGTATTACGCCAAAAACTCCTAAAATTGGAACACCGATTTCACAAGCTCCGGCAACTATCACAACAGATAATCTCCTAAATCTAAATGTGAAGAGAAGACCACGTGCATCTGACTTTTTTAAATAATGACCTTATATAATTTTAAATTAAACCCAGTATAACATTGTATATTAATTTGTAATAAAAAAATTGAAAATATAATTTGAACTTTTATATATCAAATTTCCAAGGCTGTCATAAATCTCTTTTGGAAGAAGTATGTTATTCACCTTTTTTGTTCTATTTTTTGTTATAATCGTTAATCATTATCAATTTTCAGTTGCTGTGTAGACGAAGTCGCATCGAGGCATGTTCAAGGAGATGCAATCATACATTTCGGCCATGCCTGCCTAACAAATAATAACAGTATACCTGTTTTGTATATCCTTACTAAAAAATGTCTCAATGTGTTAGAATGTATTGATAAAATTAAACCCGTCCTTGAAAATGGAGACACATTAATACTTTATGATTCAGGATATTCACATTTAAGAAGTAATTATTATTGCAGTTTTCTAGTTGCTAATGATTATGTAGATATTAATAATTATGTTAATGTTTTAGATGAAATAGTACAATCTATCCCTGAAAGGTTTAAAGATTCTGTTGTTGTATCTGAGCTAGTGGACGGATCAGCTTCTAAACAATTTTGCGGGAAAAATTGTTGTTTACACGACAACAAAGATAGCCATTCTTCTTTGAGATTTTCTCGAGGATTTTGTGGTGATAGCTTTAAAACAGCAGTTTATATCGGATGCGATTCTTTAGTCGATAATTTTGTTTTAATGCTAAAAGGTGATTATTGAATTTTTTTGTTTCGACGTTTACTTTTGATTTGATAGTATATTTAGTTTCTATAATGGTGGGACTTCAAATTCCAGATGTTCAGTTCTACCAGTACAAAGAAAGTTCAGATTTGTGCGTTCTGAATTCATTCCAGGCTTATAAAAAGATCTCGTTCTTAATCGAAAAAATCAAAGATGCCAAAAAAGTTGGGCTGATTGTCGGCACGTTGTCAGTCGGCAAATATCTAGGCGCTATATCGCACATAAAAAAATTATGTAAACGAAGGAAAAAAAGGGTTTACATAATTTCAGTCGGGAAGCCAACAGTCGCAAAGCTTTCTAATTTTCCTGAGGTTTGTAAAAGTTTTTGCGTTTGCAAATTAATTAAAAACTGCTGTTTGTACAACTCTTTAGCATGAATCTTTTTTTTTATATTAAATTAAAATTTACTTAATTACTGTATTTTTTATCCTCAGCTCTGATAATATCATTACAACTAAACTACTGTAATTATTACATTTTACTTCAGAAAAACAATTTTTGTTTGATATTTGAAAAAGTTCGATTGACAAAGTTTGATCAATCCGGGTCTGCTTTTTTTCCGTTGGTATTTGTCTGCCAGGCATGTTTTCGCATTTCTCCATTTTCAGTGGTCCTTTTATTTTAACAATTTATCATTCTGACATTAAAGATCAGTAAGAATGTATTTTCTTCTTTGATCATCCTGAGGGTACAAGTTGTACCTTGCCTATTCACACAGTAATGCTGCACGATTATTGTTTCCAATTCCAAATTCCAAGTTGTTAAAAAAAATTTAAATTTTTTTGTTACAAAATTTATTAAAATTATTTTGTAGATCGATGTTTTTGCCATATTGTCTTGTCCAGAAACCAGTTATCTCGATAGTAAAACATGCATGCAGCCAATAGTTGGACTCCTGGAGCTTGAACTGGCTCTTAATGAGAATAGAACCTGGGATAACACATTTTCCAAAGATTTTAGAGACTTAGTAGAAGGTATGGATGATATAACGGTAATAATAATTGAAAGAACAAATCTGATAGTTTAATTATATAGGTGGTGCTGATTTCATTCAGTTACCTGAAGGCGAACCCAGTGATGACTTAGATGTCTCTTTAGTAACTAATAAACTTCAAGGGATACAAGGCTGTACTTTAACATCTCAAGAAATAGCAGTGAATCCAAACATGAGTTTACGGACGAGTGATTTCTCTAGTCGGCCAAGGTATTTATTTTTATTTTTTTATCTCTGTGATTTCTTATGTAAATTTATATACTTTAGGACATGGGATGGGCTTCAACTGACAATTGGAGACACACCTGTTGTTAAAGCTGAAAAAGGAAGGTCAGGAACTGCACAAGGATATGTAACTGAGGGAGAGACAATCAACAATTGTAGCTGATTAACTTTAAATATTTAGAAAAATATACTAGTAATTTTTGAAAAATTTCTCCTCATTAATCCTTTTCATTATCATACTAATGTTAGGTATTATGAAAACGTAAAGTGTTATTTATATCTGATTTACCAAAGATGTAAACCAATGTAATGTAAAATTTGTTAGGGAAGTAAAAGTTGACTATTATTTCCTTAACTTTTTGTAAGAAGTGAAAACACATATAACAAACAATGCAAACTATCAAGTACTTTGAAAATTGTCTTGACTGATGCAAATTAAAATTGAAATTTTTTATCAGTGCCACCCAATATGAGCATTGTGCTTGGGCATGGCAGCGAGTATTTGAGTCCCGGTTCTGAATTTTGGAAAAAAGATCTGTATGTAGTACTGCCAGATATCTCATTTTGGGTATACTGAGAGTGAATGTATTTTTCAGTATTAGAAATATCGACCACTGTTTCACTCATGAACACTGGATCGAGGTATCATCTTGAAGAAAGCAAATTCAATTGTTGTTCAAGCTTTCAACCTATTTTAAGGTCATCATCAGGGCAAAACAATCTTAACTGTCTGTCTCCAGATTGACATATTTAAGTTTTTTACAGGCGATCTCAAATTTCCTTGAAGATCGACTCGGCCTGACATAGTCAAGCATTGTTCAAAGCCTAATTACCTTGAGAAATATTGAGTATTCTGGGATGTATTAACACAAATGGAGCAGCTCATTCCCAATTACCCCAAGTAATATCAAGTACACTGGGGTAATGTAAATTAATGAATTAGTGTGAATGGAGGGACATCCCCAGTTACCGTGTGGGATATCAAGGACTTTGAGGTAATGTGAAAGAATTGTGGCGTGTGAATATAATTTATTAGCTTGAAAGGAGGGCCATATCCCCAATTATCTCAAGAATATCAAGTACTCTGGGTAATCTGAATGTAATTTATTAGTGTGAATGGAGGGTTTATTACCAATTACCTTGAGGAATATTGAGTATTCTGGGGTTATGTGAATGTAATTTATTAGTGTAAATGGTGGGCATATTCCTAATTACTCCTAGGTTTATAGAGTTCTCTGGGGTTGTGTGAATGTAATTTATTAGCGTGAATGGAGGGTTTATTATCAATAACTGTGGGGAATATCGAGTACTCTGGAATGTTATGTGAATGTAATTTATTAGCGTGAATGGGGGGCTTATTCCAATTGCCCCAAGGAATATCAAGTATTCTGGGGTTATGTGAATGTACTTTATTATTATGAATGGCAGGCTAATTCCTAATCACCCTGAGGATTATAGAGTATTTTGGAGTAATGTGAATGTAATTTATTAGTAGTACCACAAGGACTGTCAAATATTCTGGGGTTATGTGAATTTTGTTAGTGTTAATGGAGGGACTTTTTTCTAATTACCATGGGGAATGTTGTGCACTCTAGGGTAATGTGAATGAATTGTAGTGTGTGAACATAATTTATTAGCTTGAATGAAGGGGCTCATTCCCCTTTACCCCAAGAATATTGAGTAGTCTGAAAGAAGTCAATGTGTGAATGTAACTTTTTTTAAGAATGTTTCAAAGTTTAAAGCATAATCGAAAATTATGTAATCTTGCATTGTATTGTACAAAAAGTTGTCTATTTTGCACATTAACTCAAAAGGATGTTGAAAATGTAAAATTTCACGTTTTTTTTAATACAAATTTGTGTAATATTGCAGTTGAGGAATTGAGAAAGGATTTTAATGCGTCGGGGCTTTTTTATGGGTCAAGTGCAGTTAAGTAAGTTTTTTCTGAAGCGGTGAAAAGTTCAGATAAGTTCTCAAACTTAAACTTGTACTTTTAAGTTAATTCTTAGCGGCATTGCTTTGTATTTGTAGACGATTACGTTTAGTGGTTTTTGGGTAAATTGACCAGTTTAAATAATGTGACGAGTTGTTTGAGCGGGGAAAAACGGAAAAAAAATTATTTTTATTTTGCGTCATTGGCGACACAGCCATTCCAAGAAAAAGGGAACTCCCAGCAGAGAAAGGACGGATCGTCGGTGGGGGTCGCCCGATCGCAGATCACTCCCTCTCTCGCCGATATGACTCAGTCGTTTCAACCTGTTATCCTTTAACCATCCGTTTGTTCACATTTCACATCTCCTCATGAAATTGTCGAAATAGGCCCTGACCCCTCAGGAAAAGGAGATTCCCGTTTCCTGTAAGATGGGATCGAGGATACGGTGAGTCAGCCCTTGATTTATTCCCGAATCGGACAAATTTTCCTCTCCGTCTTTTTCTTTATTGTGATCGCCCTTCTTTCCTGTCACAGGGAGAATGTCTATCATTTGTTCGAGTGTTTCTGCGAGGTGGTCAAGCCTCAGGCCGGCGTCAAGGATGCTTGGATCATCCAAAAGTTCCCGGACTCCTACAAAGACGAGGAGGTGCTCAAGTCCGTACCGCAGTTCTCGTATCCTTGCGAATTTGACAAGTAAGTCCCAAGCCGTTTATTGACATAACATTTCAAATATAACAAAACATTTGTAAATGCTAAGTTGTTGGTAAGCACATGCTTATCGAAATATGTTCTCTTGCTCTTTTCATAATAAAGAATAATCTAATCTCTCGGTGAGATATTACAAGTCCATTTGTCAGTCACATATCTAGAAAAATGACAATACTAGGCAAGGAACATCACCACAATCTCAAGATTAAAGAAGTGTGTCAATAGAACAACAATAGCAAAACAAAAGTTACATTATTGATAATTTCCAATAGCCAATGTTTTGGCATCTTCAGTGGAGCATTTATGTCATCTATGTTATATGTGCACTTTTATTTTGAATATGACAAACATAAAGACAACATGTGGAGATCGTGAGATGTGGTAGTGTGGACGTATGTTTAGGAAAACATTTTCTTTATCGTGCCAACGTTTCGATCCAAATGATCTTAATAAAAATCAAAACGTTGGCACAGTAAAGAAAATGTTTTTCTAAACCTACGTGATACCAGATCGCATCTCATGATCTCCAAATAATCATTAATTAACGGTCACTAAACACCACAAAGACAACACTCGATCACTGCAGATGGCAAAATATGACAAATCAGGATGATTAGAAATGACCAAACTTCATTTTGTTCATCGTTCTATAGACCTCAAAAAACCTTGCAAAAACTACTGTAAGCAATGTCTGGACCGTGTTAATATTGGAATGAACTGCAAGCCAGCCACAAGTCTAACTTTACGAACTTGAGGGATGAGCTTATTCACAAAGAGGTCTTATCTCACGCTCATCAACACTAGTATCTAAATCCTTCAGCGTCTTCCAGCATCTCCTATCTGAAACTTCTGTATCCTTGACAGTTTATCTGTATTCATGGATATGTCCTTGCTGGCTCTGGCTGAGCTGTGCCAGATGGTTATCTCCTTTCTTTCAAGGGATGATTTTTGCCGGCCGCACAACAATCCAAAATTTATGGTGACCCTCAGATTTTTTGGGAAACATCTTTGTACCCTACTGGATGGGAGAGCCGATTTACACCCTCATAAGAAAAATATTTTAAAAGCCTTTAAGTATTTCCTTGTGTTGACAACTATTCCTAACTTATTTTAACTTATATTTAAACTGGCTTACACTACATTTCCTAAAAACTCATCATTCAAATACATTCACCATTTTAACATGTTGGAAAGACATTTTTATATTGGCAGTTCAAAGATTATTGTGCAATGTGCAAAACACTCCTGATTAGTCGATTTGTTTGAAGCCAAAAGAAAATGTTGGTGATTAAATATGACTGGAATAATGTCAAACTACACTGCAGGTCAAAAAAGTTTAGCCATTTCTGAATTGTGGTAGTAAAGTCTTTTACCGTGTACAGTCTGATTATATGACAAATTACAATATTATATATTTGTGTAGATTACATTTTTATTTGTAAGGTAAACTTTTAAAAATATCAATGTAGTGTTTTTTCCCCCCTTCTCTGGACTGCTGAAAATAAATTTTGGGCCTGCAACCTTGTCAATAGAGGTAGCCAGTTTCTCGAAAGATAGAGGCATGGACCTTGAAACACATGCTCGTGAATGCTACCTTTGTTTTGTAATCTTTGTAGCAAACCTGGACTCACAACGCCAAACCCGGAGCATCCTGAAGCATATCCTGAAATGTTGTGTTTTTAATCTTATCCAGTTTTGCAGATACAGTCCACTCTTGATAATTCAAATTATCAAGAGGAAAGAAAAAAAAAATATATTAAGAGTTGATAGGCATTTTTAAAGGTTCTTACTTCAGTTGTACATGTTTAAAACATCATAAAAATAATGAAAAAATGGAAAAAGATCAACTGTAGAACATTGTTACGTGCTATTAAAATAATTCATGAGACGGGTTTGTTTCTATGTGGCCTGGCGACCTTTGTCTAAATGGTTGCCAAAACACAAAATCCAAACATAACAAATTTGAAGAAACTTTAGGCCGCAAGGAAGTCAACAATACATGGAAATTGAGAGGAACATTACAAATAAAAAGTTCAAATTAAGAAGGGAAGTGGCTCTATTCCGATTTATAAAATGTTCACTCTTCCCCCCTTTTTCTTTTTAATATTTTGTATTAACGAGTATGTCAAAATATACAGAATTTTTCGATTTACCAAAGTGACCTGCTGATGAGTTTGTGTTATCAAGAAACTTGAATTATCAAGTTTCACATTAACAAGAGTAGATTGTACATATATTACATATATATTTTATTTTTTTAATTTTTAATAGATAGTTCCTACTCACTTTTACTTATAAAAAAGATTGAACAACCCACTCACTCCACCATTTATCATTTCTGTACATATATTTTCCCCAAAAGTTATGGAAATAGATAATGGGGGGCATCGGTGGCCGCAAGGTTTAGTCTTTGACACACTCTCATCACTGTAAGGTAAAGGTCCCGGGTTCGAATCCAGTGGCCCTGCATTCGAACCTGACATACTTACAAATGGGCTTTTTTTCACAAAAAAAAACACCAGCACCCGGAGGGTTTATATGACCTCTGCTGTTGCGAACCCTTGTAAAAAAAAAAAAAAGATAATGTATCAGATGTAAACAGTTTACAGATTTAAATATTCAACATTTTAGTTAACTAATGTATAACTTTTTCATGAATATGTTGTTTCTGTTTTGAATATCTGGTCTAATCGGTTGCAGCAAAAATTTCATTAAATTTAAAATTGAGACTTTCGAGAAATTGCATTTAAAGTTTTTTCCAAAAGTAAAGGATACAATTATCCTACTAACATGCTTTTCTGATTCTCTCGACATTAACAATTTAGCAAGGGGGTTAACATCCAACTTCACTTCCTAGCAGTAAATCACCTATTAGACTGTTGGTGGCATAGCTTGCTAATAGGCTAAAGGGACTACGGTGTCCCCATACCCCTTAGAGTTAGTCATTCAAATGCCTCAACCATCCCTCACTAAATGCTCCTATCGACCACATATGCCTTCATTCCTAACTCCTTCAACATCCACTACCCTCCCCTTGTAAATAGTCTTGGACTATACAGGGAACAGAAAACAGCATCCACCCCCATCAAAGACCCAAGCCAAATACACTTTGGCAGCCGGGATTAAAGGTGGTCTCTAATGGAGTGGCTGTTTAATTCCTCCGCTACCCCTGGAAATAAGAAAATGAATAAGAAAAAAATTAAATGTTACCCTTGTTGACTGGAGACAAACTGTTTGGATATCCAATCCACAGGGGAAAATAAGGGAGAGTACCTCCTCGTTCGCAAGCAATGAAACAGCACCTGGGAAATCAATCCCCACAAAAATGAGGGTTCTGAAACATCAGGTAGACAGCAATAAAAAGATTTGGAAAACCAAAACAACCACAGATTTATACCTGTTAGACCAAATATTGCAAAAATAAACATAATAATCATGGAATAGAATGGTTTGAAGGAGGATGTCATTCCTTGGCTCCATATAAAGAGCATAGGATTTTCAACTTAACGTACTTCTCACTGTAGCACAGAAATGATATACTGAGATTTCCTCTTGGGGTTATAGGGTGTGAAACTGTAGCTTGATTCCTATCATATTTGATCAGTCTAATCTTGCTGTTTTAGTCTGTTAGATACATTTCAGCTTCTTTACTGATTACGGCAGAAGGCCAAATTTGACAGGCCAAAACAGAGAAGACATGAAGACAAAATGACCAACCTATTGGGTTGTCCGGAAAATAATGCAGGATTTTAAGTTTTCATTAAAAAAAATCTATATAAAATATTCTGTTTACGTTTACAGGATTACTCATTTGTATGAATGTCAACACTTATTAATCCTCTTCCAAATGATATTGTTTGTTTACCTCTGTAGCATTCCGCTACTTGGAAATAATTCAGTCATCCTTATAATGTCAAAGCGAGAATTTCGTACGATTTTCTTTTACGAGTTTAAACTCGGCCGAAGCGGAGCCCAAACGGCTAGAAACATTAACCAAGTCTGGGGCGAGGGTTGTGTTAATGAGTGCACTGTGCAAAGGTGGTTTAAAAAATTTCGGGAGGGAGATTTCAGCCTTGAAGATGAAGAAGGTCGTGGAAGGCCTTCCTCTCTTAATGATGATGTTCTGCGATCAGTGGTGGAAGAAAACCCCAAAACAACTGTTCGAGAACTTGCAGAGCAACTCAAAGTCAGTAAAACGACCGTCGCTGACCACCTCAAGGCGATTGGAAAAGTGAAAAAACTCGAAAATTGGGTTCCACACTCATTAAACGATCGCCAAAAAATCAGCGCTTTGATGTTTGTGCATCACTTCTTTGTCGAAACAAAAATGACCCATTTCTGGCCAGAATTGTTACATGTGACGAAAAGTGGATTCTCTACGATAACACTAGACGTTCTGGACAGTGGCTCGACAAAGGAGAAGCTCCAAAGCCCCCAACTCATCAAAAAAAGGTAATGGTTACGGTATGGTGGGCTTCATTTGGTTTAATACACTACAGCTTCTTAAATCCTGGCGAAACCATCAATGCTGAATCATACTGTAACCAAATTAATACCATGCATCAGAAATTGGCAGTAATGAAGCCCTCTTTGGTCAATCGGAAAGGGCCCATTTTGTTGCATGACAACGCTCGACCACATGTGTCACGTGTAACGTCACAAAAATTATTGGAGCTTGGCTATGAAACTTTGCCTCACCCACCCTACTCTCCGGACCTCTCGCCTACTGACTACCATTTTTTTAGACACCTGGACCACTACTTACAACACATAATATTCAAAAATCAAACGGAACTGGAAAATGCATTTATTGACTTTATCAATTCTAAAAATTCTGAATTCTACTCAGACAGAATTAATAAGTTACCAACACGTTGGGAGAAATGTATTGAGAGTATGGGAATTTTGATTAAAGAACATTGCTTTAAAGTAACTAGTTTCTTTTTTTTTGTTTAATACCAAAATCCTGCATTATTTTCCGGACAACCCAATACAAATAGACCAACTCAGTTTTGCATTTTTTTTTTTTTTTTTTTTTAACTGGGTTCGCAACAGTAGAGGTTATCTAAACCGTTAGTGTGCCGGTGTTTTTGATTTTGCTATTATTAAATTTTTTATTGTATAATCTTATTGAATCTTGTCAGTTGAACTGATTAAAGAACTAGAAAAAGTACAATAAATTACAAGTCTGCAGAGCTTGTAGTTTCTTTTTATCATCCATTATAAAATCAACAAAATGACGTAATATTTTATTTATTTTTAAATGTAACCCGACAAAAAATTTACAACTGCCAAAACCATGCGTTTGGTTCTCAAATTTGAATTGGATGACTCATTGAGTGTATCGTGCTTAGTAGGTGGTTTGAAAAATTTGTAACGGGTGAATCAAGCCTACAAACGGAGCAAAGTTCAGGTTGACCTTCTGGTAATAAACTCTATGAATCGCTATTGTGACCTACCACACAAAAAGGTATCTTACAGTCAGACTTGTTAACTGTCAAAACAAACTAGGCTTGTCACATTCAAGTGTGAATTTTTCCTTAGGCACACAAAAGTAAGAGAGAGTAAAAAGCCTACAATTGTCCGAATTTCTGGAGACATGCTGAATGATTCCTGCGAAAACGTCTTATGTGACAGAAACAGGTCAGCATGTTTTACTGGTGACAAAGCAAAGCCAGTTCAGAAAAAAGACAATTATCTATTTTATTTATTTATTTTTATTTTTTTAAATTTTGAAGTAACTATCCCCTATGCAGTAGTATCCAAAGTATCCAGTAAGAATTTAACACTGTAACTAGTTCTTTTATCATAATCTCTGTTGATGATGCTACAGAGGCATCGGTGAGTTTTACCTTATAGCTGATGTTATTGTGGCATCAAGCTCAGAAATTGCTCTTAAAAAATATCTACCTGAAAATAAGTCCGACATTGACAAATTAAAGATACTTGGTTCTTTCAGACTTCATTTCTTTTACTCACATCAATAATGAAAAAACATTTTGTACATTTGGTAAAAAATGAAATAGAAAACTTATTTTTTCCACCAAAATTGAAGGGGGTTGAATAAGCAATTATGTAAAAAATAAATGTTAAATTAAATTTATCTTAAGTGGCTCATTATATTCAAAGAGCAATTTGACTTTTATAATTTATTATTGTGTTAAAAAATTAGTAATAATTAGTAGAAATTGTCAATTATAATTTGAATTGTTTGAGTATGGTTTCTACACACCAATGTATAAACTTTGATAATGTTTAATTGAATAATTTTCTCAACGTAAAATTTTATACATGTATTCATTTTCATTTTTCCAGCTCTGTGATACAACATTACTCATTTGTCTTAACAAGCGTCGATTCAAAATGGACCTTCGGCTTCTGCAGACACGACCCAAAGTCTTCGACTGCCGTTGTCATCCTAAGTTTTCTCCCATGGCACGAAGCCTTTTATGAGTAATTACACTTTTACCACAATTGTAATTTTTATGAAAGTCTACGAGTGACCTTTTCATTTTCAGAATGTTGAACAAAATATCTGAACTGATTCACAACCACACGCAGACAGATTTTCTAACTCCGTTCCTCTCGCATGTATACTCTAGCAAAGTACCTGATCCTGGAACGACTATGGAATATCCGTTAAACAATGGCACTAATAATGTAAGTTTATCGCCTGGACCAATTATATTTTCATTTCTTATTTAAATTTCGTTTCAACCGGCATACAAATAGTTGTAGTTTTGACAAGGTTTACGTACAGTGGGAAAAAATTTACATGTCTATAGATATGTTTGAAGTTGCCCTTTACAGATTAGATTGATTCTTATTTGTCATGTAAATGAATGTCAAAACCCAGTTCCAATTCCTGTGGGAAATACCAACTGACTCCTTTGCAAATGTCGTTTTTATTTTTTTCCGAAATAAACAAAACTGGTGATTTGAAAGGGAAAAGAATGAATTAATTTTTAGGAACTTTTAATATTTTTATTTTTATATTCCAAAATTCACCAAAAAGAGTATTTAAATCTTAGTTAATTATCCTGCAAACATTTTTAATGACAATTTCATTATGTCATAACAGGAATGGAAAATTACTAAAAAAAATATGTTTTCATTTGTAGATGTTTAAATGTCATGCTCCTAAGCAATTTCAACTACCAAGCATACCTGAAAATGTAAGTAGAGAAAAATTTTAAACCCAATTTTGAAGAGGTTTTTGCAATACGTTCGATCTTTTCAGAGGAATTTAACGGAATATTACAATGCAGTCGACTGTGATAATATGATAACAATATTTGCCTCGATGCTCTATGAACGGAGGATAGTTTTCACTTCAAAAAAACTCTACAGGTTGAGCGCATGCGTGCAAGCTGCTAATGCTATAATCTATCCGATGAACTGGCAGCACATTTTCATCCCTGTCCTTCCGTTGAATCTAGTCGACTATCTCCTTGCCCCTATGCCTTATCTTATAGGTGTGCCAAATGCTCTTCTTGATGTAAGTAATATCCCTCTATAATAATAATAACAATAATAATAATGAAGATTTTAAAAAATATTAAAGGGGCTAACCCTTGTTGAAATCCAGCAGAATTTTTATATTAATAACATAAGTCGTCATGAAATGTCCTTAATCTTCTTATTGAGAAAAAAAAAAGCTTTTAAAGTACAATGAAGTCGTTCAGGGTCATTCATTTAAATAAATTGATACTGTTCATTCACACTTTGTTAAACAGTATTTTGCCAGTGAGTTCTCCTTTGGTGCTCTATTGAGTTTGTTTTGTTTACTCTAGAAAGTGAGAAAAGTCGATGTTGGAGATGTCGTTATCCTGGATGCCGACAACAATTCTGTAGAAACACCATTTGATGATGTCTCGAGTCTTCCACAAGATGTTGTAAGTTAAAGTTTGATAATTCTTCATTTATTTCTTTATTGTTGTTGTATCATGAAATATTTACAGGTAAAACAATTGAAAACGCAGCTTCGTAACAGGGCGGCTCTTCTGGGAGATGGGGTCAGTCGGGCGTTCCTTAGGGCGTTGGTACACCTGATAGGAGGCTATCGAGACGCGTTGAATGTCCACCAAGGGGAAAAGATAACATTCAACAAGGACGCTTTTGTCGAATCGAGGCCTCCGAACATTCAGCCGTTCCTTCGGAAAATGCTTGATTTGCAAATATTCCAACAAGTCAGTTTATTTAAAATTTAAACACATGTAACTTTTTCTGATTTTAATTTTTGTTTTGTTTTAATTACGTATTCAGTTTATTGATGAAAGGTTAGCGATGTTGAATGCTGGGCTTGGTTTCTCGGACGAATTTGAACACGAAGCGTGGAACTACTGTGATAAGAACAGTTCACGATTAAAAAATCAATACAAAGAATGGACAAATGCCATGAAAAAAGAAGGAAGTGCATTTTTCAAAAGTGTAAAAACGAGAGTGAGTTTTATATGTTTAATTAATTTGTTTTTTATTTTATTTTTTGCTTCATTTAAATTTAATTTAATTTAAGGACTGTTTTTTGTATTGCATGAATATATTTTTATTTATTTTTTGTTTTGTTTTGGCTTGTTTGGTTTTGCTCAATTTTGGTTGGTTTTGTTAAAATAGGCAAATCCAGCAGTGAAATCTGCAGTAAAAACTGTAAGTAAATGGGTATTTTGATCATTTATAATTCTTCATTAACGCTTCTATTTCTTTTGCCTAACCTCAAGAGTCCAATAACTATTTGAATAAAAAGAAATGAGAACAAATAAGAAATATGTTTTAATTCAGTAAATGAGAACATGCAACAGTTCAGAGACAAAAAAAATAGTTTTAAAAAGTTCATAATCTAAGACATTTATATGGGAATACCTAGAAACACTTAATTTCCACAAAAAAAAAGTACAATCATTTATTTAGGTCGTTACTGATCATTTTGATCTGCCTGTCCCTGCTGGTTTGACACTGAAATGGCACTGAAGAAACATCTACAGAGAAGAAACATCTGGCAGGCCAACCCAGTAGAAGACAGATCAAAATGATCGGTAATGACCAAATTATAGGCTTATCACCTTGCAGATCGCTGTAGAAATGCATGATTTAATTAAAAGCCCTGTTTCAAAAATAACTAGTCACATTGACTTTTTTTAAAAGTTGTTACTGTGGTTATTTCAGTTTTCACCCTAAAATCCTTGTATTTGGTTAACATATTGTTACACAATTAATGATTATTATTATAATTTAATTATTAATTATTATTGTGTATTGGTATGTTTAAAATAATCTAAAAGATTGATTGTGATTTATGCTGGCATTTGCAAATAAAATAAATCTCTGTTTCGATTTTCTCTTATTCCAGGACTATTTTTTCTATTTAAAAAAATTGTAATAAATTATTTGATCTTAGGCTAAAGAAAGAGGAAAAGACTTAGGGAAAGCATACAAAGGAATAAAATCAAAGTTTAAAGATTTTGGAGAAGATAAAGGACGGCCTAGAAGTCAGATATCAACTTCATCCGGTTCATCGTCATTTAGAAAAGATCTACTTACAAAACAAAGAAGAAGTGCTGCACCTGATATAAGGTAGCGATTAATTTAATTTTTTTTTTTCAATTTAATTAATTGCTTGATTTTTCAGTCAAAGCCAAGCACCATACACTGTTTTAACTCCAACCTCTCCTGATCATGGGGAATGTTCAAATCTGCAGCTGTCTCCTTTGAACATGGATTTGATGGGAGACCTGCAAGATGTCCTTTTTAATAAGTGTTCCCTACTTGACACTCCGGTTCAAACGCCAAATAAGGTTGTGTTTCAAATTTATCTTTTAATTAACTATGTTGACATTTTTCTTTTATTACAGATCAAGCCAGTGAGGAGCTTTGACAATTTCAAAACCGGGAATGGAACAGTACTAGATAATTCAATTTTTGGTGAATCAGCAGCTGCAGGGAGTGATGACAGTGTTTTCCTTTTAGGCGCCAAAACGGAACATGTTCAAAAACTAACTCCAACACATAAATCTCAAGTATGCTTCTTTCTCCTGTGTTAACTTTCCAGATAGAGAAAAATATAACTTTTTTTCTTTTTGTTGAAGGTAAAATCATCAAGTAGTGATACAGTCGATTTGATTCGTCTTGATTCGACCCCGAGCGATGAATTTGATCCGTTGGAAAACGGCGAACTTGTCGGGCACAGTTTAACAAACCCACTTTATCCGTATTATACATCTCGGCAAGCATCAGACACACATCGGGATATGGATTTACTTAGAGAGTACGGCTTAGATTTTAATAGCATATCCTCGGCACCGCAGCCTCTAGCCCAGGCTGCTCAAAGCAATTGGACTAAGTTTGAATAAATGGGTGGTATTCACCGATATCTTCCATATTTGGCTTCCTTCAATCCCCAAAACAATATTTTAATTTATTTATTTTAATTCATATCAGATCGGCAATATATATTACAATTTAATTCATAAACATTTGGGGATTTATTTATTTTTTGATAATATTTTTTTAACCCAAAATATCAAATTTAATTTTAATAGAGGTTTATATTTAAATGAATCATGAGAAATCATTATTTGTATATATTATAAAAGTTATATTTCAACTAGTCCAAAGTTGAATTTTAATATATTACTTTAGTTACCGAAATATATTTTATTTGAAATACTCATATAATTTTCATCGCAATTTTAAATGTTAGCAGTTAGTTTTGTTACAAATTTAGGTTAGTTGTAATATTATTTATCTAAGATTTATTTGAAATGTTTCATCTTTTAGTGCAATTTTTAGGAATCTCTCAAGATTGATTTCCCTTATTCCAATTTTGTTTTGTTTTTTTGCATTGAACAAATATTTACACAAATGAGACTGATGTAAGGACTACATTATTATAACAGTTTTCATATTTTAAAAATCCGGCTTCTAAAGTTGGCCTAGGGGGTAAAAAAAGGTGTCTCTAGTTTTCAGAAACACACAAATCTTAGAAAGTTTTGAAAAAAATGTTAGTAGAGCATAAATTCAAACAATGTTTAATGGTTTTGCAAATATTATTTTTATGAAAACAAAATTTTCCTATTATTTATTTCTAATACTACTAAATGTTTAATTTTTTTTTAAAGAAAAATGGAATGTAGTAAACTGTGATAATTAGAGAGAAAAAAAGATATTTATTATTAAATGATTGGAATTATTGTTTTGAAAATTGTTTTTAGTATTTTCTTGTTCACTGAAAAGACTTATTTCTATGTAATAATTTTAAATTTGGGGTATGCTAACAGGACAGTTTTGCTCAAATGTATCATTGAATCAATATCATTCCTTAATCTTGTATTCAACAATATTTATTATAATCATCGGTGCATGGGATGTGAACACAAGATCAATCACCAAATATTTAAATAAATGTATATGCCAAAAATTTAAATAAATAGGTGTTTCTAATTGTTAGAAATTGTATATCTTGTGATATATTTTGAAACAAGTGCACACAAATAAAACCTGATATGAGTTATGATTTTGCACCTTGTAATTAAGAAAAAAAAATGTGTATAAAGGCCAATATTTTTTTTAACAACAACATTAATAACATGACCGCATTGTAAAAAATAATTGTATAAATGTTTTGTTATTGTATCAATAATTTATTTCATTTCTCTAAATATTAATTTTATACATAGTGTTTCATCTTGTTCATATTCTTATTATAAATAATTAATCCTAAATGTCCTAGTGCTCAATTTTGTTCAGTTGATAACATAATTAGTTAGAACAAAATTATTGTTTTCAACCTAGTTATGTGAATCTGAATTAATAAAAGGAAATAAAATTGTGTACATACATATAAAAATACATAATCAATAATGTTAAAATTTGTTCTGTTTATGTTGTTAAATATATTTATTTGGTTCGTATTTTACAAATATGATTCTCTTTAATATCCACCTTGTTTTCATTATTTCAAATTTCAACGACAGGTAATATAATGACATAATGATAAAATGACTTAATCAAACAATTCCGCATCTCGTTGCAACTCAAAAATTCACTTGTTTGAAAACATACAGATATAAAGTTGAAAAATCAAGACTTGTTCGAATGTTCTTTCCAAAAAGTCGTCATAGGAATAGAAAAAGCAAGTAATTTACTAAATAGTATTATTTGAATATCGGTTTCTGTCTTTGTTATGCATATATTTCAAGGTTTATTATACATCAGTTGTATTGTTGTTATGTACGGTAAGAAAATATGTTGTACTAAAAGAGATTAGATACATAAAAAGTTATAAAAACCAAAAGATGCATCCAGTAAAGTACGCCAAAGAAAAATTGCTTTTGGAAAAAATCAAATTCATTATAAACATTCTTTAAATACTAAATACAAATAATTTCCAATGCAATAAAAAATTGACATTTTTGGCTGTATTCGCCATGAGCATTTTTTCTCGCACTTCTGGATTTTACCCAATTCAAAGTTAATTCGACCTCCAGAAAGCTTAATTATTCTTCTTTCAGTCTTTGTCACTTTAATTGAGAAAAATCAGGCTGAAATCAACAAAAACTTCACATTTTATTTTATATCTCCAGTTTATATACCAGAGATTAGTGAAAAATACATTAACCTGCCAAATCCAGCAAAAATAAAATGTGAATTACGCATGTCTGAATAAAGAGATGTATGTCAGAGATTAAGCTACAAATTATTAAGATTAATAATTTGGACATTATAACTTTAGAATTGTCAGGTGATTATCCTGTATTTTATGATTACTCTAAATGTTTCATCAAAGGTTTGATCTGATTTTGTCATCTTCAGCAGTAGGTTTGTGTGTTGTCTCTTGTATCAAAAACAACTAGAATAAAAAAGGACTCAGTTTAAAAAATGATACTAATGAACCTACTGAAATGCCAAAATGTGACAGAATCAGCGATGATAAGCTAAGGTGATAAGAAATGGTAAAACTTCTCTTAACTGAGTCTATCAGGCAAAAAATTCTCTGGTTTAAGGACTTAAAAAGCAAATTTGGCCTATCTGATCGAAAGTTCAACTCGTCAAATTTTTCTGCCAGTGAAATAAAAAATTATTTGACTTCCATAGATACAGCATAAAAGCAATAATTTCAGATTAATGCTAGTTGCCAGTTATACCACAATACCTCATAAAATATATCTTTTGATGACTCAAGAAGTAATTACGAATTATCTTCATACAATCACTCATTAATTTTCAGATGTAATGTTTAACCTTAAACAATAAACCATGGCAAAGAATTAATTAATGTATATAAGGAGAGTTACAATTTGTGATTTTTTTTTTTTAATTTTATTATATTATGCCTTTTCTTCCCAAATAAGTTTTATTTTGTTTACTTTCAACAATTTTTTTATAAAAAATACTTTATAGAAAAATATATAAATCACTTTACCACTGATATGCTTTTAACAACATACAAAAAATTAATTTTGCAAATTCCCATATTTTCATTATATATATATGAAAAATCAAAGTAGATCCTGTAATTAACATTTCTGACCACCTAAAACAGAATAATTAATGTAAAATGTTTTTTTAATTTTATTACTCTGATCAAATAAATTTTACCATTATGGCTTTTTGTCCATTAACCAATGGACTTTGCCATTGGTAGGTAGGACCAAACCAGCTGGAAAATTTGCAGCCTTTTTACATATTTTCTATAACAAAACAAATAAAATAAAAATTAGCTAAATAAATAAACCGATCGGTCGATTAATCCCTTACCCTAAAAACTTCAACTTTTTGCTCTCCGGTAATTGCGAAAATGCATCCTCGCGAATTGTTTAAAACTGGCAAAGTAAAAGTCACCCGGGACGGAGGGGGCTTTGGCGAATCGTTTATAGGTGCCACCCAAACATTGTCTTCCTTCAAAAGTGGATGATCGGGGAAAAGGGAACACGTATGACCATCTGGGCCCATGCCAAGGAGCAGAAGATCAAATTCTGGCCATTTACAATCGGGAAAATGCTTTTTCAGTTTGTCAATGTATTCTTTAGCAGCGTCTTCAGCTGAAAAACAAATTAATAAAAATAATAAATAAAAAACACTTTTAATTAGCAATTTATATTTTGTCTTGCGCAATGCTGTTATAAGATAAGGAAAAGCTAATTAATGTTCAATAAAGTAACTTATCTATTAAATTCTATATTCAGCATAAAAATTTCATACAAATCATACCTGTATATGACAATTGAACTTTGAATAAATGAAAATTGGTCTGACCCCAGACTACCCAAGCATAAAAAAAACTATGTAATTCTTACTTAGTCATAGGTTCAATTCAGCACATATGTGTATGCCTGTGCAAATTTGAGCCTATATAAATCAATCAATAAATAAATGCCCTGTCAAAAGTTTAGCATGTTATTTTAGCAGTACATAATTTTTAAAAAATATTCAAAGGCATTTTTAATGTGTGTTTAATGTAAAAATAATTCTCATGCTGAATCAGCAGGGTCACTTATTGGTCAACCTTCATTACTCAAACGCAGAAACAGATCACTGAGGATTGCACCAAAGTGCATTTAAGTAGTTATTAAACCTGCGAGTAATGCCTGACCCTATGTCCGTCCAGCAAGAGTGCACCATCTCATAAACCAACACCCAGCATAACTTTAATATTTGTATAATTGAATTAATCTACAAATGATTAAATTAGTAGTTTATTGACAATACAATTTGTACAATACAAATTGTAGTGTGTTCTGAGTAGAGAAAAATAACATATTAATCAGTTATGTAGTATTTTTTGTTTGTAACGGAAATTATTTAGTGTTAGACTTATCGACCACTTTTTACTAATAAATACTCTGGATCTTGGTATTGTTTCGAAGGACTGTAATACGAACACTCAGTCCTTGGGGGTTGGGACCATTCATAAAAAACTTTATTATATCAAACCTAATTCAAGACAGCTTTAAGATTGTTTTGCACAGATGATGACCTAAAAATAGGGCAAAAGCTTGGCAGATAACAATTTGTTTTTTAATTTTATTTTTAATCCAGACAATACCAAGATCCAGAGTATAAATGGAAATGACATGCCTAAGCAATATCCTGTACAATAAAAACATAAATCTGCTTATTGACTCTGCACCGTCATCCAGTACCTGTTAGATTTGGATTGATGGGTACAAAGTTCTTTTCGTCCAGAGGTACTTTTCCCATCAGTTTTTTTTTATAAGCACCATATGTCGAATCGGCGTCTTGGAACGGTACGACACGCTCGTCGCAGAAAAACACGACCCACTTGTCCCACTCCGTCGATATGCCAGGAAGACCTTTGGAAAGGTAGTCGACCAAAGAGCCTCCCGACAGGCCGATTTTAAACAATCCACGCTCTCTGACCGAATCGTTTGAGTACGACTCGACAAGCTTGCACAGAGCGTTTACCACCTCATCAGAGGTGTCGAAACTCTGGATTTCCATTTTTACAAGCTCCACTAAGTAGGCTGATTACAGAAGGATTTACAATGTATGTACAACTGAAGAGGACGTTAAATTTGATTAATGTTGTAATGAATGAATTTAAATTTAAAAAAATATATATAACTACTGGTTCTCCATAAAAATACAGAAACTATACTAATTTATTATGGTACGAATAATACAATTGATTTTAATTAACAAATTGTAATGTGACAAAAATTAAGCCAATTACTATTTAAATAATAAAAAACAATTAATTGGTTATTTATTTAAGGCTGGGGAAAAAAATATTAAGCAGATGCTTACTAATGACATAAATACACTCAAAGAAAAAACACTTGATGAAAATAACCTCCTGTCAAACTATCGAATGATATAACCTCATAACCTTAGACGAATTTTTCAATCAGATCTGTTCCCAACTTTGCTAGTGAAAGTTTAGTTTTAAGAAAAAATAAATAAATAAAAAACAGCGAGAATGGGCGGTGATCATCACGATTTGGGAGAAAGGATGAAAATCCCGGATTACAGGATTTACAAAGTGGAAGATCACCCGGAGCTAGTACAACATAGGGATCGCCTGGCTGCAAAGGGGTTGAAAGACCCATGGTTGAGGTGATTCTCCCATTTTCGATTTTCAAAATTTATTGATTTATATTTTTAAGCTTCACAAAACGCTGGAAATCTCATCAAAAAGGAAAGGCAAAATTAGGTATAAACTATATTCGGAATACCATCACCCTGACCTTGGTACTCTTATCTAAAATCTGTCATTTGTGTAGTTTACATTTTCAACTGAAAACACTTTGCAAAATTTGGGGATTTGCAAATTGAACTGATTGTTGAAAAGGTTCAATGGCTTTTGTATATTCAAGCTTCACGGTCGATTCCCTGTTCCATCTTTACTGTCAACTTGAACTTAGCAGTTTTTGAAAATTATATACTTTCAGCATTTGATAAATCTTCCCACATCGATGTAATTTATACGGATTTTCGATAGTGTTAATTTAAAACTTATAATTCAAAAATTAAAAATGTTTGGAATCTGTGGGCCTCTACTTAACTGGTTGTCAGCTATCTTTTTAGTAGAAAACACTGTCAAAATTAGTTCCTTTTCACATTCCTTCTCTGTTTCTTCTGGTGTTCCCCAAAGATCTCACCTTGGCCCTCTTCTCTTCCTTTTATTTATTAATGACATTGCGTCCAGTTTTCATGATGTGCAATTCCTTCTGTTTGCAGACGACTTAAAAATTTATTTCGTCGGATGTTGACTCTACCTGCCTTCAAGCTTTTTTAGATTAATTATTCAGAAATCGTGAGATGTGGTCTGGTGTGATGTAGGTTTCAGAAAAACATTTTCTTTATCGTGCCAAACTTGAGATCATCTTCAGGGCTCAAAGTGTTTGTCTTCTGTGTAATTGTGCCATTCTTGCGTGTTGTGTTGAGAGTGCCAGTTTTTTAGATTCTTTCACTGACTGGTGTTCCGGGAATGACCTAGTTCTCAATCTGAATAAATGTTTCATTCTTCTGTTTCATCGTTCCAAGTCTCCTCCCTCTGTAAATTACTGTTTTCAAGGTGAAAGTGAAAGTTGTCTATTAAATCTCTGACCTGGGCGTAACTTAATTCCTCTCTAACACTCACATAGAAGACATACGCCTTAAATCGTAAAAATATTAGGCTTTATTTCAAGAAACACAACAAATTTTAAAAATATAAATTCACTTAAAACTCTTTTTAATTCCCTTGTTAGAAGTAAGTTAAAGTGCAGTTTGATTTGGTCTCCCTATTCTGGTTAATATTAATCAAATAGAAAAGGTTTAGAATAAATTCCCAAGGATAATAGGCTATAAAGCCCACATCAACCTATCTACTCTATTTCCCTCTATTTCATCTTCCTCTCATCTTAGGCAATATTTTCAAATTAGGTCAATTTCATCCTGCAGAGAACAAATATCTTATTTTATATAAATCTTATTTTCCTCCAGAAAATCTTCCATAGTACCATTGACTGTCCAGACCTCCTTCATTCTATTTCCTTTAATGTCCCAAATTATACCAGTAGATCCTGCCAAACCTTCCACATTCCTTTCCTAAAAGTCGAATTTCTCAAGTTCACTGGAATTAACAGAATATTGAAAGATGCCAATAATTCACAAATAGATTTTTTCAACTGCTCTATCTCCGATATCAAAAGACAATTTCCTGAGAAATCTTTCCAAAATTAATCACCAGCAATTCTTTTTTCCCCCTCTTAATCAATATTATTCAACGTTATATTTTTTATAGGTGTATATATATTTTTTCTTCTAAATTTTACATATTTCTATTACCTACTATATTATATTTAATTTAGTTTGCAATAATGATAAGTTTAACCTGTTCTCATATTTGTAATTGTAATTCGATTAGTTTTTTCAATATTCTTAGTCTAAAAATGTTAATATTATTATGAAAACTTATGTATAATTTAATTTAAATCTATATATATTTTTACTATTGTTTTACTTTTTCTTATAAGTGTTAATTGGGCTCTGCCTGCATGTAAAATAAATAAATATACACGTTACTGTTGGAAACAGGGTTAAACTATGTGTTTGCAGCCATATGACTTAGTTTCAGGGTGAGTTTAACTTCTGCCCTCTCCCCTATATAATTTTTTTTTATTGAAGCTTTTTTGTGAAAAACCCTGACATGACAACATAAACTTCTTTTTTTTCCAGTTTCTTATGAGCCAAAAAGTTTCGGAGTTGACACTGGGTGTTGGTCTGCGAGTGGCGCACTGCTGGAATGAGTTTGGGTAGTTCAACAAGCCTGTGAGTGAAGGACCCAATAAGTGACTGAGTGCTGATTCAGCAGAAAGTTTCAATCTATCCAGAATAGTGGGACACAAATAGGGGCTTAACTATTTCAAATTATACACTTTTTTATACTCTGAATTCAACTATTTTTAATTTGGAACAACCATTCTCAAGCTATTTGCAAAAAAAAAAAGTTTAAAAAATCTTCAATTTCTTTAAACAATCTTAATTTATGTATTTATCATTTTAATTGTTAGTAAATGTATTGTTCATGGTACTGAGAGAAAAACATTGCAACAATTTTTATATAATATCAATTAACTAAACGCTCTGGATGTAGCTCATCAAAACGCACTTCAGCTTGGTGTAAATTTTGATACACTTTTCCAACAGCAGAATTATTTCCACCTTTTCTTGTAATGTACAAAACGTTTTTATGATATGCACAGTAAAACAAACACTTTGATTAAGTCTAAAATTTCTAGCATTGTATAAATTCATTTTTTCACATCTTACATGTATTTGCATAATTTAAACAATGTTTATAAATCCCAGGCCTTGAAGGAGATCTCAATAAGGATCAAAAGATTGGCACGATAAAGAAAATGTTTTTCTAAAACCTAAACCTACATCACACCAGACGGCATTTCACGATCTCCAAATAACCGTTAAAAAAGTTCAATTGGATTTGACAAATGCTTAATTTGATTTGATAAGAAATGTTTTTTCTTTAAAAAAGTTAAAAGATAAAAAAAAAAAAAAACCAGTCCCTTATTTGGAAAAGTTCAGTTTGATTTGCAAAAGTTCAAGTAGATCAGAAACAATTCAATTCTGTTTGGATAAAGTTCAATTCAGCTAACAAAACAATTTTTATTTTTGATTTGTTTGTTATACATTGATTCCTTTAAAATTGTTCTTCTGGACAGGCTAAATCACGTTTTAACCGACCAAAATCTAAAGATCTGTTTGAAGATGTTATTTGAGGAAATATTTCCAAAGTTTGGAAACTTGTGAAACAAAGAATTTACTATTAATTAAAATGATAAATATGAAATTAAAATGATAAATTAAAAAAATAATGTGCCAATTAAAACAGTTAGATATTAATAGCGAAAAATGTAAATGTATCTGCTTCTCCAAGCATCATGCTACAAATTCCAATAATATCAACTCCAATAATATACTTTCAATAGGGATATTAAGGAAGTTGCCAAAATTTTTGATCTTGATGATATTTTTTACTCTAACTGTGATTTTAAGCCATAAGGGTTTTATTAAGTGAATGACTGTGGACTTCACCAATCCCTTTGCAAACTCCTTTATCAGTCCCTTGTTAGAAGTCATTTGGAATATGCCAGTGTTGTTTGGTTCAAATCTGGCTGTCTTCAGGTGGGAGACTTGTCTTACTGTGATAAACTTAAAGCTGTTGGGCTGAAAAGAGTTGCAGGTTTGCTCACTTTTTGCCAGAGAGTTCTTAACGGTTTTTCAATGTGACAGGCCAACAGCAAGGGGTAGGCAGACCAAAATGATCGGTGATAAGAAGTGGTCTTAAGAAACTAATCTTTTTCATGTGCCTTTTCATAGAACTATTTACGGATTTTCCACTTGTATTCCCTCACCTAGCGCGTCTTTACAGTGACTCATCAGATATTGCCAATCCATTCTTTCAGTCACAATTGTTGGTTAACTCATTCCGCAGGCAAATATGGTTATTAATATACGTTGTTTTTAATTTTGTTTTATGCTGAAATCTTATTTTGGGAATGGAACTGTGTACAAATTCCTAATATTGATATTTGAGAATTTTGTATGTTTATTTATTGTTGTGAATGCAACCTAATCCATAGGTCTCTGCTAGTTCTTATAAAGAAACATGATTTTGGTATAAATTATAAATTGTGTTCTGTTCCAAAACATCTTTTTATTATTAACGTTCTTGTAATTGATTTTTCCAGGAATGAAGCCTGGCGGTTCAATAAAGAAGAATTCGGCACGCGTGGTGCAAATTTAAGGACAAGGCTCTTTACAGGATTCAGGCTGGGGGTTGGAGCTTTACTTCTTACTATTGCTGTTGAAACTGCTTTTAAACAATTTTCCAACAGTGACAATTCCCATGGGCACCATTAATTTATGAATGTGTCTTGATTGTAGAATGAGTTGAGTTGTATTTAAATAAAATAATATATAATTACGTTTCATTTCGATATTTGTTTATATAAAACCTGGTCAACAACAATTTAAACTAATTCGATGGATTGTGAGATGCCCGTCGGTCTGCAGGGTGATGAAAACGTAATTTGATTTTTACGATCATCTGGGTCTGCCGATCATCTGGGTTTGTTAGATGCGTTTTGCCATCTCGTTTGAAAATATTATTTTTTGACTTTATTTTTTATATAATAATGCATTGTTTTTGATTAATTTCTCTGTGTGGTCTAAAGTTAAAAACATGTAAATTGATCGTTTGATTTGCCTATCCTGTTGGTCTGTTACAATGAAAAATGTTGAAACAGGGCTAACAGACTAACCCAGCAAAGATAATCATTATGATCAGAAAGGACCAAATTATGGGCTCATCACCCTCACAGACGCAAGAGGAAATCGCATTAGATTAGCCTTAAAAGTAAATATTTGTAATTAAACAAAAAGTGTAGTGTACTTTTAAGAAATGCAAACTAAGAAAACAATTTTTAAAAAATTGTAATGTAAAATTTAATATAATTTTACATTTAAAAACTAAATCAACAACCTGCACTGCAACAAGTAATCAATGATAAAAGTATTTTCTTTCGATTTGATATTTATTTATAGTTTCAATTTAAAAAAAAAAAATAATTAAAAAATATGACAATGTTAAAGAATTGATATTACAGTCATATTTATTCTTTCTTCTTAACAGTTTCTTAATTACTTTTACATGGAAATGTTTAATCTCCTCATATTAATTATATCGTTTGAAGGAGGAATAATTTATTTAGAAAGATTTTAAAAAATAATGTAATTTAACTTATAGCATTAACTTAAAAGATGTGTTATAATTTTGGTTCGTTAATTTTTGGACAGTTATGCGTTCATGGTTATCCAACAGGATGGTATTTAGATTTGGTGAAAGTGGTAACCACAAATCGAGCCACCTTCCCTTTCACCAACGTGACAACGTGTTGATATTGCCGTTTTCCCAACCTAGTTATAGTGCCAATACATTTCCCCTCGTTTTAGCACAAAAAAAAATCTAACATGGATAACAACGACAACCCTCCTGTAAAGACTGCCAAGCAATTAGAAAAGGAGGCGAAGAAACTTGCCAAGCTAGAAAAGTTCAAACAAAAAAAGGAGAAACAGACAGACCAGAAGGATAAGACGGAGGTACACCCTTAACCCATTCTCCATTCTCTAATATCTGTTTTTTTAATACAAAATTTCGATTGTATTTGTTTTAGAAAAAAGATAAAAAAGAGCCTAAGAAGGAGGCCAAACCTACTGTCGAGTATAAATGTACAACTAAACCAGGTGAGAAGAAAGATGTGTCAAATGCGATGCCAGATTCGTACAATCCTGCCTACGTTGAAGCTGGATGGTACTCTTGGTGGGAAAAAGAAGGCTTCTTTAAACCAGAATATGGTGTAATTATCAAAATTGTATAATTTCACTTCAATATAAACAACCTTCCCATATGTTTCTCAGAGGAAGAGTATCTTGGACGAAAATCCGAATGGAAAGTTTGTACTGATCATTCCTCCGCCTAATGTCACTGGATCTCTTCATTTGGGTCATGCTCTGACCAACGCGATTCAGGATGCTCTTGCTAGATGGTAACTTGCTCGGGTACTTACATCTTTATTTCCGTGTTATAAGGTAATTTCGCTTCAGGCATAGAATGAGGGGGCTTACGACCCTCTGGAATCCTGGATGCGATCACGCTGGTATTGCGACTCAGGTCGTCGTCGAAAAAAAGCTATGGCGAGATGAAAAAAAGACAAGGCATGACGTAGGAAGGGAGAATTTCATTAAGAAGATCTGGGAATGGAAAAATGAGTTGGTTTTTTATTTATAATAAATTGTTACCTACAATGAGAATTTTTTTATTCAGTTGGTAATTTTGTTTAGAAAAGGTGATCGCATTTATGATCAACTACGTCGTCTTGGTTCGTCATTTGATTGGGATCGAGCCTGTTTTACCATGGATCCAAAACTTACCCGTGCGGTTGTCGAAGCATTCGTCCAACTTCACGAAGATGGAGATATATACAGAAGTAATAGGCTGGTTAATTGGTCTTGCACTTTGAAAAGCGCCATTTCAGACATCGAGGTGAGTAAATTTTCTTTTTTATAATCATTTTATAAATTAAAAAAAAAATCTCTTTAGGTCGACAAGGTTGAATTAACTGGTAAAACTTTACTATCGATCCCAGGATACGAGAAAAAAGTAGAATTTGGAGTTCTCGTAAGCTTTGCTTACAAAGTTGTTGGAAGCAATGAAGAAATTGTGGTTTCAACTACTCGTATAGAGACAATGCTAGGAGACACAGCAGTAGCTGTCCATCCAAGTGACGATAGGTATAATTTAAATTATTTCCTCTGTAAAATCAACTAAAAATGTTTAAAATTGATGGTTTATTGTGAGAAAGTGAAAACATGTGACCAGCACTGGATCAATCTCCATCTCATTTGTAGGTTTTTGATAATACTCAGACATGTTTCGATTTTGAGCCAATTTCTTCCTGAAGTTCAGATGGCGCAAAACTGTAATGTCTTTATTTTATTTTTTTACGGGTTTGGGGGGTTGATGCAGAAAACAGTTCTTTCCTCTACTGCGACCTAACAGGTCTATCGTGGAACCCCTGTAGCTTATAACCATACCTTGGAAAGTGCACTATTTCTTATAAAACTGAGCACTTTCCTTGGTGCCTCTTTGTGGACCTCCTTTGATATGAAAAATGTCCTACCGAAGTGGCCGTACCGTAAACGCGCTGCATCAAGGGATATGTGCCGATGTCTCTGGTTCCTCTTGACCCTCAGCTCTGCCCATATTCTTAAGCTGTTAGTTGAGAGGACAGTGGCCAGTATAGAGGAGATATAGGAGCAGTCGGGCTTGTCCATTTCTTGCATATATTATTTTTGGATTTCAAATTGGTGAATATGCACCTTTTTCATACCTAAGCTAAAATTTACCCTGTCCATTTTCTTCAGAGCCTCTGCTGGGCTGGTAGAAGTCATTAATTTGTCCTCTTCCTTTCTTTAGACAACCAGTGACATGTGGTTGTGGTTTGTAATAAAAATATGTCTTAGTTGGAGGTGCTGGCCAAAATGAGCCAGAAATAGTCCTTCCCTATCTTTTAAGAGTAAGCCTTAAAAAATATGAACAGACATAAAACAAACCTGGCTTGTTAGAACGTCAGGGGAGGGACATGGACCCAGTAAGTTACCCAATGCCGGTTCAACATGTAAAATATGTACTTTTGTTAATTAAAAAAATCTTTTCTTGCTTTTTGTGTTGATGTCAAATAATTTGTAGGTATAAGCATCTACATGGGAAAAAACTTACTCATCCATTTTGCAAAAGAGAAATTCCAATAGTTGTTGATGAATTTGTGGATGTCAATTTTGGAACTGGTCAGTTGCCCTTGCTAACCTTTTCAGTTCAATTTTACTCAGTTCGGTTTATTGTATTCAGGTGCTGTTAAAATAACCCCAGCTCATGATCATAATGATTACGATGTTGGAAAAAGACATAATCTTCCGTTTCTAACGATCATTGATGAAGATGGAAAAATCACCGGTGACTGTGGAAAATTTACGGGCATGAGAAGATTCGATGCCAGGACAGCTGTTCTTGAAGCTTTGAAATCTGAAGGGCTGTACAGGGAAACAAAGGACAACCCTATGGTTGTGCCAATTTGCAATCGTTCAAAAGACGTTGTTGAACCTCTTATAAAGCCACAATGGTAGTTATTTATTTAAAAAAATATATATTTTTTAAATGCTATACTTGTTCCAAATTTAGGTATGTGAAATGCGAAGGAATGGCGGAAAATGCCTTGGAAGCTGTAAACAGTGGAGAACTACAAATAATTCCAGATCATCATGTTAAAACTTGGCATTATTGGATGAGCAATTCTCGAGATTGGTGTATCTCAAGACAACTTTGGTGGGGTCACAGAATTCCAGCTTATTTTGTAAAAGTCAACGATCCACAAGTTCAACCTGGCTCAGTCAGTATTCAATTTTGTCCTTTATTATTTCTTTATTTTACCTTTTTTTTTTTAAATTTACATTTGTTTTACATTGCAAGGAGACTGACAATAATTATTGGGTGAGTGGTCGTAATGAGAAAGAGGCGAAAGAAAAGGCAGCTAAAAAATTTGGAGTTGATCAGTCTTTAATTACATTAAAACAAGATGACGACGTTTTGGACACATGGTTCTCCTCTGGACTTTTTCCATTTTCATTATTTGGTTGGCCTGAAAAGGTATGTTTTTGAGTGTTTATTACAAATTTAATTTTTTTTTTTCATATTTGTTCTTAAATGCATAGAGTGATGAACTTCAAGCATTCTACCCTGGAACATTACTTGAAACCGGTCACGATATTATTTTCTTTTGGGTAGCAAGGATGGTCTTCTTCGGCCAGAGACTACTTGGTAAACTTCCATTTAAGTACGTAAATATTATTATTGTTTATAAATACTGCAAATTATCACTTAATATTTAATTATTTGTAATTAAAAAAATAATATTTAAAATAAAATAAACAAGATATATAAAAAAACAGCTTCACATAGGAGTTTAGAGTAGTTATGAATTTCAGAAAAATAAAATTTTTGATTTGCTATGCATAAAGGACGAATAATTTAAGAAAAAGTTTTTACGTGAGTATGATTGAAGCACGAGTTACTTTTCTAATCTTACAAAATGTTTATGACTCTTGCCTTTTTTCTCCAGGCTAAACTAACTATAAATTATTATTATTATTTAATATATTAGAAAATACAACTCAATTTATAATTTTAGGAAGGTATTTTTACACCCGATCGTGAGGGATGCTCACGGAAGAAAAATGAGTAAATCTCTTGGAAACGTCATTGACCCGATGGACGTTATAGAAGGGATATCACTGGAAGGCTTGCACGCCCAATTAGTTGCGAGTAATCTCGACCCTAAAGAAATTGAAAAGGCTAAAGCCGGTCAAAAACTCGATTTTCCAAACGGCATCCCCGAGTGCGGCACCGATGCTTTAAGATTTGCCCTTCTTGCTTTTATGAATCAAGGTACTATCGATAAATTTTTAACAATTTAATATTTGATTTGTATATATATTTATTTTTTACAGGCAGGACCATGAATTTAGACATTTTGCGAATTCAGGGCTATCGTTTCTTCTGCAATAAAATATGGAATGCTGTGAAATTTGCTCTTATGTATTTCACAGATGAATTTAAAACAACGGGAGAGGTTAATAATGATTTATTGAACCTATTTAATATTGTCGAAGAATTGGGTTCTTTCAAAAACTCCAATTTAGAAGAGTCTCTCAATAAACATTTAGAGGACAAAAGCTATCTCAGAGGTTTTCAAATGTCTGCGATTGATTGCCGAGCTTATCAAGCAATGTCAGAGACGACAGTTTGTCCTAAAAAATTCCCTTATCTTTCTCGATGGTTTAACCATATGAAGCAATCTTTACCACCAACTAAACTAAACGTAATATATAAATCAAATAAATACAATTAAAGATAATTACAGATGTTTAATTCCAGCTTTCAGGGTTGGAAGAAGTAATGGATTTTTGGATGTTAAGCAGATTATCTAATGCAGTGAAGGCTTGTAATGAAGCGCTGGAACGTTTTGATTTCCCAGCTGCAACTACTGCTTGTTACAATCTCTGGCTTTATGATTTGTGCGACGTTTATTTAGTAAGCGACCAAATTATTTATGAAATAAGAATGGTAGTTTAAATAATTGATGATTTTAGGAAACGTTAAAGCCAAGATTTGCTTCTGGTGACAGCAAGAAATTATTAGTCGCTCAGAACATTTTGTATTATACGTTAGACACGGGTCTGAGGCTTCTCTCGCCTTTCATGCCGTTTCTCACCGAAGAACTCTATCAAAGATTGCCTCATGGAAAGCGAAGGCGTTTTCCAAGCATTTCAGTTGCAGATTACCCTAATCCAGTATGTATTTTACTGTTAAATAAGTAATTAAAAAAACTGACAATTTATTACTCCTGTAGAACGTTTATTGTTGGAGTGATGAACAAATTGAAGAAGAAGTGGAGTTTGCTCAAAAAGTTATACACGCCATTCGTTCTGCAAGGACAGACTATAATATCCCTAGAAGTACTAAAACTCAAGGTAATTTATTATTAAACATCAACTGCTAATTTATCTAATTAAATCATTTGTAATTTTAATCAACTTATTTACAGCATTTTATAAAACAAATGATGAACGTGTGAAAGGAACTTTTGTTAAGTTCAATTCTTTTATTAAATTAATGTCTTCGTGTGACTCTCTTGAAAGTACAAAACCTTCAGATGGCTGTATTATTCTTACTATATCTAATAATTGTGATGTTTACTTAGTGCTAAAGGTATTTTTTTTTAATCATGCCTATGTTGGTATATAATTACTTTCATATTTGGTTTTTCTTTCATCAGGGGCTCATTGATCCGGAAAAAGAGATTGCAAAATTGGAAAAGAAAAAGTCTATTCTTGTACAGAGTGTTGCAAAGCTGGAGCAGCTCATGGCGAGTAAAGATTATGAATCTAAAGTTCCTGAAGACGTAAGACTCTCCAATGTCGAAAAGTTAACAAAGAATAAAGAAGAACTCGAGAGGCTCGCAGAAGCCTTGGTCGCTTTAACTAAACTTTAATTTATACGCTACTTTTAAAGCAATAAACAGATGTGATTTTTTTATTATTTATAAAAAAAACCTTTGTTCAATACCCATTTAACTTGGTTGTTAAATTCTGACAACTAGCTTAACTGTTATTTAACACATTGACAAGATGTTACCTTTTAAATATAAAGGTGGCTACAAACATGCAGGATTTGCCAAATGCCGAGCAAAGGTTCGCCGAATACTGATTAGCGGGGATAGGTACTCGGTTAGGCCTCTTTCAGACGGGGCGGCTAGTTTATTGAACTAATTGAACGGACAGGTGTCAAGGAGTGCTGGTAGCAAAATGTTTGGGAAATGCCTCAACCCCTTCACACGCAGTCAACTCGTCCACCCAGGTTGCCGCTCACGTTCTCATCCCTGCTGGTTGACTCAGCACAAAATACACTGCTCGGTATTCGTGCTTAACACCAGTCACCTAGTTGAGTCAACTGAGTTCACCATGGAAAGTGTTGCAATTGCAAGTTTCAATGAGGAGCAGTACATTAAAGAAATTCGTATTAGTCCCACGATAAGCGATATGAGGTGTGAGGAGTATAGTAACAAAATTAAAAAGAGTGAAGCTTAGAGGGGAGTAGCACAACAGTATTGAGAGAAAGCCCCCCCCCCACTTTTCTTTACTGGGTTTCTTCCTTTATCGCAGAACAGAAAGCACAAAAAGTACTGCTTCCTCAGGTTCTAACATTTATTGAACTCCCATTGGGAAGAGAGGTCAATTCCACAAGTTGTGTGGTGTGAAACCAGCAAAGTAAGTCTTCTTCACATGGCAGTAAACTACTTGTTAAACTTAGTTGAATCAACCAAATAGCTTCGTCTGAAAGGCCTTATTCACTGAGCAACAATATTCGGTGTTTGCCAAATTGTTTTCTTGTCCCCTTCAAAGTGCTCAAATGTATATGAAGTACCAAATACATCCACACATTCAGGAATAACTCATGTATCAACACTTATTATTTACTGATATTTATTTTTTAATAATAAAGGATTACTAACTAGCGTAGATGTATTAATGAAAGAACATAGCATTAATTCTGTTGGCCCAACTTTAGTCTTGGAGTTCCTTGATTTGAACCAAAAACTTAGAACGCTTCTCTCCCGAATTACAAAAATTGGAACAAGGTTTTTGAGGCATGGAAATGGATCGAAAGTATATACTTCTATTTATTTTTCAGTAATAAACTATTCCTAACTAGTATAGATTTATTAATGAAAGAACAACAAAGCATAGTTTCTCCTGGTTAAGAATGGATTGACCCAACTTAACCATCTTGGAGTTCCTTGATCAACCTCTACTAGTAATTTGTAATGCTTCTCTTCTGATACCAAAAAATCGGAAAGTTTTACAATGCGTGGAAAAAGATCAAAAGTAAGATTGGGCAACTGTTTGTGACTGAATTTCAAGCCACAAAATAGTAACCACAACTACACTGATGCCCATCACGATTGGTAGTAAGTTGAGGATTCACACGGCACTTGGTAAATATTCACAGTTTCCTCACAAAATGAGTGGTTGTACAAACATCGTGTGTATAAATAGGCACGCTACTCGGTGAATGCCAAGACAAGCATCTAGAGACTTGGTAAATATTTGGCACCAATCGGCATTCGGTGAATACTGCATGTCTGGAGGCACCTTTAGCTAAGGTGAACCAAAAATTAGAATTTGCAGAAACGGAACTCCTTCAGAATGTTATATCAACTGTTTAATTTAAAAAATTCCATATCGATTCTTCTACCATCTTTCTTTATGTTGGATAGGCAAATATTAGAATAATTTATAATTAAAAAAATTTATTTTATAAAGGTTTTTTATTAACACAATCTTATTCGTTCTCCTCTGTCCTGAGGCGTGCGCTAGGATTGGTTACTCTAACCGAAAGTTGCTGGGCCCTGTCAACAATGGTTTTCCTCTTTTTAGAAGATACTCCGTGGGCAATTTCTGCGCAGAACTTCCTGTTTTGCATCATAAGCATCTCAAGTTCCTGTAATTATTTATTTTTTGTTTTAAAAAAGCTTTTATTTAACGTAACAACTTAAATAAAACAAAAAATTCACCTTAACATTGTGTACAAGGACTTTTCTGAAGCCTGTTGGGAGCATGTGTTTGGTCTTTTTGTTACTTCCGTAACCGATCGAGGGCATCAAGTACTGACCCTTGAACCTTCTCCTGACCCTGTTGTCAATACCCTTGGGTTTACGCCAGTTTCTCTGCAAAAAAGTTTTATTACTTACAACACCCAAAATAAAATTGTGGATTAAATTCAAATATATATTTTTATTGATACAAACAGTGATGATTTTTTTAAACTATTTGCAGGTCAGTTAACTTCTCTCAGACAAATGCCTCCATTTTTGGTCACGAATGATCAGACAATCAAAAAACTTGAATGAATGACCATACCATAATTTCATGGTATAGCTGACATCATTGAGAAGTGTATTCCCTTAAGGCCTTACTACCATATGTTAATATTAATTACATTACTAAATAATTTTAATTCAGCAATTAATACATATCCATTTGTTATATTTGTCATGAAGGATTAAATTTATTCACTTCTAAAATAGAAAAAAAAATATATTAGGTGGTAAAAAGGAAGAGGGAAAAAATGAAAAGACAATACAGGCACAAGTATTATACAAAATAAAGTTGGAAGTGGAATAGATATTACTTTTTTTATATATTAACTTAAACAAAGTAGTGATTTTTAATTTATTTTCAAGACACTATCTTCTCTCAGACAAATGCCTCCATATTTGGTCACAAATGATCAGACAATCAAAAAACTTGATTAAAAGACCGTACCATAATTGCATGGTATAGCTGACATCATTGAGAAGATTTTAAAACATCCATAGGTCAATAATACTAAACAAATTTGTATTTGTTGGCACAGACGTTAGCACAATCGTCATGACACAAACGATAATTTTCACTCTGATGACCAATTCAGTAAGCCAAGTGTTGACACCTTTTGAGGCATAAGTAACAAATGAACCGACTACACATTCTCCTCCAAACATTTGTTTTGTATTTAGGTTACAACTATTATATTAGATCCCTTCTCTCAGACAAATGCCTCCATATTTGGTCACAAATGATCAGACAATCAAAAAACTTGATTAAAAGACCGTACCATAATTGCATGGTATAGCTGACATCATTGAGAAGATTTTAAAACATCCATAGGTCATTAATACTAGACAAATTTGCATTCTTTGGCATTGACATTAGCATAATCGTCATGACACAAACTATAGTTTTCACTCTCTGATGACCAAATCACTAAGCCAAGGGTTGACACCTATCAAGGCATTAGTAACAAATGAACCGACTACACATTTTCCTCCAAACATTTGTTTTGTATTTAGGTTACAACTATTATATTAGAGCTCTTCTCTCAGACAAATGCCTCCATATTGGTCACAAATGATCAGTCAATCAAAAAACTTGATTAAAAGACCGTACCATAATTGCATGGTATAGCTGACATCATTGAGAAGATTACTAAAATTTACATTTACATCTGCATTGTTTTTCCAATCGACATGTTTTGTAATTTACCCCTCAGGCTTTGAAGATACCCTGAATAAAAGTTGAAACGTCGTAAAAAAAAATTGATTTTTTTTCTAAATGTACTTTATTCTTGACCACTTCTCACAACTTCAAAAAATTATTAAACAGGTCACTAAGAAACATACATTACTCTTAAAATAGAATTGATACACAATAATTATATTAAATTAAGTATTCTGTTTCTATCAATCATTATTTCTTTCTACTCTCTCACACTCCCTCCCTCCCTGCTACCTTCTTACTTGGGGTGGTTAGTGATAATCGTTTGATTACCACTGTTTTATTGACCTTTTTAAAGGATTTTTTCCAAATTTGATATGATTTCAGAATCATTAATTCAGCGCTCTTTGTTCAGATATAAAACTGATCCCAAAGGTCCTATTAGGCCATCAGATGTTTGGAAATGAAGGAAGGGTGAGTACAAAGGTTCCATTTTTGTAATGATGGTTCTACTCGCAGATTTGTTGTTTTCTACAATCCGGATTTCAAGCATTCAACGCTTATCATTATGTTGAAGGAGTTACATACAAGTCTCTCGACATGAATTGTAAGAGGGAACGAGGATCGGTAGCTTCTGCCAAGGACGTTCTAATAAGAAGCTGGTTTTTTGACGCCACTCGATTTTGAACGTGTTAAAAATGTGAATTACATGACAAAATATTATACTAATAAATACTGTAAGAAAATAATTTGAAATAAGTGATTCATCTGTACTTCAAATATTTTGAGGTACATGTTTAAAAATAGTTATAACAGAATAATAGAAAGAATAAATAACTATAAATAATATAACATTTTAATTTGTCTCCTATTTTTAACTTGTACCTAAAAAATACTTGACATACAAATTAATCACTAATTTAAAATTATTTTCTAATTCACGTTTTTCACACTTTCAAAATTGAGAGGCATTATTAAAACCAGATTTTCATTGGAACGTCGCAATGGCTCTTACAAATCATATCGAGAACTACTTCGACCTGAGAATTTAATGCTTGAAATCAGATCGTAAACCACAAATCTGAGAATAGAACTATCGTTATAAAGTGCACCATACAATAAACTTTGTAAATTTTGTTACAAAATTATTCCATTTTTACAATATGAAAACTGAGAAACTTTTAAGCAAATCTGATGTTGTTACGTTTTATATATTGTTTATGCTTATTTTATTTTAATAATGCAAATTTGAAGTTAATTTCAATTTTGTGGAAGTTCCATTTTTAAACTACTTATTTTTTGTACTGTTTGTTAATGGGAAATACTGTAATTCTATAGACCAAGTAAATTGTGTTTCTTTGTTCCTTTACATTCTGTCTGGAGAACTCCTATTAAGCGCTTTATGAGCACGAACCAGCAAATTATGGATAGATCAAGTTATATTATTATTTTTTTTAAGCATGACTAATTTGAGCAATATTGGATTAAGAAACTTTTTTTAAATAGCTGTTCTTGTTGCTGAGAAGAATAAAACAAGTATTAATTTGTTTTTTTCAAATGAGAGTCAAACTTTTTAACATTAAGAGTGCTGTGATTAGCCAAATGAACAATAGATAAATTCTAATTTAGCCTAAAACTACAACTTTAAATTTAAAGTATTATAAGGGTTAAACTACCTCTTTTGGAGGTGGTATACTTCTCTCAGACAAATGCCTCCATATTTGGTCACAAATGATCAGACAATCAAAAAACTTGAATGAAAGACCGTACCAAAATCTCATGGTATAGCTGACATCATGGAGAAGATTTATATTTAAAATAGACTTTGTAATATGGAAATATAATTTTTTTCAATTATTCAGGAAAGTTAGTTTTTCGTTGAATTTGAATAAATGTTTGTTTTTTTAGTACAACCCAACACCATTAGATATTAACATAAGCAATTTTTTTGCTCCTAACTACTAAAGGAATATTTTTATATAATCATTTTGTTGTGTTTATATGTGATGCAACAAAGTTCTCCACTGTCCAGATTTTCATCGAGTACAGTTGAAGACAAAACAACTGGACACTCATATTTTTATACCAAATTATATGTATTATTGTCATTGCATTAATTACAACACACTGATTTCAATACATACCAAACTAGCAAGATCAAAAATTCATTAGTTTTTGTTTAAAAAAAATTAATTTTAATGGTTTGGCAGAATGTTTATAGTTCATTGATAGAATAGCTCATAAAATTTAACTAAAATATATCACATGGTTTTGTTCATAAACTTTAACTAACAATTTATTACATGGTTTTGCTCAGAAAATTACCTAATTTTCGTCGAGTAGCGCCAGAACCAGACAGTCATATTTTTTGTAGTTTATTTCAAACTACGTATATGTAATTTTGTCATTATATTAATTACTATAGGCTTATTTTAATGTAAAACCAAATTAAACGAGATCAAAAATTTATGAGTTTTTATAAAAATTATTTAATTATGGTGCTTAGACAGAAAATTAATCAAAACACCGGAATAACTTATCACATTTAACTTACAATTTATAATGTGATTTTGCTCAAAAACGCAGTAAGAACAAGAGGAGTTGCGATTGTGATACTGATTTTTGGTATACGCTGTGTGTGGCGTGCACTTGATGGACAGATGTGCACACCCAACCAAAATGAGACAAGGGGTCACGTCACATAGCGTTTTCTCAGGTGTGCTCCCCGTTTTCTAGGTGACTTGCCTGGTGAATCGCAATGTAACCACATGCTAGTGTGGCCATTTTTGAATGTTCTACACTGTTCGTTTTCTTGGGTGACTCACCAAGTGACGCCTTGTCACCTCCGGTGTTGCCTTAGCCTTACTATATGACCATCAATTGTGGTTCGACATACAAAAACAAAAAAGCACCTAAGACAGTAAACACGTAAGCAGGAATTGCACATTGTTTTAATTCTAGGAAAAACTTTAACATGAAAGATCACCAAAACATCATCTGCAAGAAGGCAGCAGAGGGAACCGTGGAACGTGGAGCTAACATGGAGAATTTAAAGAAATTATAACAAAATCAAATCAAACATTTTACCCTGAGCTTGACATATCGGTCGCTCTGATGCCTGGTGAACTTCTTCGTCCTCTTCTTGACGATTTTCGGCCTGTAAACCGGTCTGATAGCCATGTTCCTCGCGGAGTTTCACTCACCTGAAAAATAGGTTATGGCCAGTTAGCTAAAAAGGTACTTCAGCGGGACCTGGTGTCAGGCAACCTGCGGACGGAATGCAGAATATGCGGATATCCGTCTGCAGTAAGCAGGATCGGAGGATGCAGACGGGATGGGGCGGATTAGACGAGATGAAAATTGTCTTTACTCACCCGACCGAGAGCGAAACACGTTGAAAAAGATGTAAACAGGGAAGGAGTGGGTCACAGTTCGACGGATCACTGCTTGCAGCGCCACATTGCTTTGCAGTTCGCCACGAACAAGTAGGCGCTGCACGCAACGTAACAATCATTGACGTCAATGATTTCCTACTTCTCCCTACAAAAAATCAAATTGCATACAAAATAATTTTATAATATATAAAAATGAAATGAAATGATTTTTGTTTGTAGTTTGAACGAACGTAAATAAGATAGTATAAATGCCAAATTCACATTTTTTTCTGCATTATTTAATTACGATTTTTTAATACAATATATACACACATATATTATATGGTGTCAATAAATACTGATCTAAACTATCAAGCTGAGCATCAAGACCCCTCTCCAACGTCATATCTACTTTTTAAATTTAATAGAACATATTAATATATTAATGTTTAGTGATAAATATGTTTAGTGATAAAACAAGACCAAATTGTTTTTTTCAATTAATTATTCTTTTTATATAAGGTTTTGGTTGAGATGAAAAATTTATTTAATTGAGATGATGATCCCACTTGTGACACTAATTTTTAATCTCAACCAAGACCTTATTACATAAGAAGAATAATTAATTTAATAGAACTTTTGCATTGAGTGTATAGTATTTTGTAAATTTATAATAAACTTTTTTTAAAAACTCAGTTTCTTGCATCGAAACTATAACATATATACATACAATACTCTACATACACATGCATTAATTTCGTGAAAATTATGGGTGGCTAAATTATAGGGAGGGTGGATAAATTAAATCTACCCTATCTTCCAATAGATACCCAAACTAGACCACCTCGGCATATTATTATTATTTATTTTATTTTTTTAATGAAAACACAATTAACACTTTGAAAAATCAAATTAGCAGTTCTCTTTTACAATAGCCGGAGATGAACTGAACAGAAACAAATTATTTCTTAATTCCTTAAAACAGACTCAGAGAAATTATTCAATTTTTAAGCCCAATCCAAAGAATTTAATCATCACAATTGCTGATGTTGGAATAATTCTAATACACCAGATACTTTCCGTGAAGTGTGAGATGAATTCCATAGTAGGATTTTACTTTGTATGCAGATCAGTGGTGCCCTTTTTGAAAATTTAATTTACTAGGAGGGAATTGAATTAGTAATGAATTTTAAGTTACTAGGTGGTAAATGAATGACGATTTAGGTAAATAAAATTTCAACTTTTATTTTTTAATTTTTTTTTCAAACCTTAATAACTCTAACACAACAAATTCTACAAGAAAAGTGCCCAAAGTAAATTCTTCAGTGCAGAGCCCTGAACCATCTTTTATAAATTAGTCCTAAGTAGTACTATTTTAAATGTTTAAAGTGTTAGGGTTATTAGAAACGCATACCCTAGCTAAACAGCTGTAGTTTTAATAAAAACCAGTCTAAAATCAGTACAATTTTCAACTTTTTTTAAAAGAGAATTTTGCCCTGGTATAATTAAACGAACATTTTTTTATTGAAACATTACATTTCTACTGAAACACCCTAGATTTATTGTCTGTTTAATACAGGTTTGTTAATGATTCTAAATTTTTTCTAAATTGAAACTTTAACACTTCTGTTGATAATTTTCAGTGGTTTCCTTTAGTGAGATGGATGAAAACATACTGGAATTAGATACGTTGGAATACTATTATTTGCTTTTCTGCGTGGTCATTATCCCTGTGAAACTTTTTTTCGGTCTCTGGGCCTGGATAGGCTGGGAACTGTTTAAAAATAATTGATTGATGTGTATATTAAAGAAGGTATTCTTGCTTTACGTTATTGTTGTAATGTTTAATTGATTTATTTTTTAATTCATAAAAATTGTCTTTTGCTTTAAAATTATACAAGTGATTTAAATAAAATGTCATAACACAAGAACAATTTAAGTTTTTTCACCTACTTAAAAAATCTTTTAAGAATTTAATTTTAAAAGTTATTGAAGGTTTATGCTTAAAAGCACTTCAAGTGGCGTCAGTGAATGCATCGTTTTGGTGATTCTCATTGCTGTAAAGTAAAATTTGAGGGTTCGAATCTAGTGGCCCTGCATTCAATTCTGACATACTTATCAAATGTGTAGAGATTAGTGACCGTTAATCATCAATACTTATCAAAACAGCGGCATTCTGAGAGTTCATATAACCTCGTGGTGGAAATGCCCTTCTTAAAAAAAATATATAATAGTAATAAATAAATAATAAATCAAAGAACTTGATTGAATAAAAACTATGCACAATAAAATTGAAAAATGTAAAGTTGTAAGCGGTTTAGTTGCACATTATATGAAAATAAAATTAGAATAAAGCTGACTAGCGATTATGACTATTACCCAAATTTCTTAAAAATTAAATATATCCAATTTTAAAAAGCAAAATACTTTAGGACTGTTTAGCTAATTTGATTCAGACAATTGTGTGAGGTATCAAGCTTTTTATAAAATTTAGGATATGTACAAGGCAAAAAGACTAAATGCCAGAATATTCATGAGTCTTCCATACCCTTTTAAGAAAGTGAAGGTGAAATGCAAGATTAAAAATCTTTATTTCATTAGATTTCTTACTGAGGATTGTGGGGTGATGGACCAGTGGCCTCGTTTCAACAACTTGGTCTGTGAATCTTTGCTAATTTTTTATATACAGTGCATTTCATCATCATCAATGGTAGGTTTGTGGCCTTTTATACATTTGTGAAAGATGAGAACTATAAGGCTAACCTGGTGTTCTTTTCTAAAGTGCAAGGTGAAAAAAAAAAAAAAATTAAAAAAAATTTGTAATATAAAAGGCAAAAATTTTTTATTTTACTTGTAACTTTTATATATACATTATGTACATTTAGGTTTAGTTTATTTACAAGACATAGTTTTAGTTCAGAGGTTCAAAGCGTTACATGAACTGTCAAAATGTTCACGTTCAACTTGTTATCATCCTATTTAGGTTTATTCTGCAGATCTGAAGATACAGCATGGGTTATAGGGCTCGCCTGAATCTTCAGGGATATAAAAGTTAAAATAATGAAATTGATTATTTCTCTATTTAGTCATGATTTAGACATGAGAAGAAGCTTCAAGGGTAGGGTTGACTTGTACAACATAGTCGTCTGTAATCATTGTCCTTACTACAAGCATTGTTCCATCTTCAGCCACCAAGCAATAGTTAATAAGGCAAATGTTAACTTCTTTGAAGTATTTGATGAGTGGAAAGTAGATGAATAGTTCTTCTTTTGTTAAAAAAAAATATATATATCTTCACTTGAAAAGGTTTTTCGAAAAGTGAATCAACATAGTCACCCAGCCTTTATTGTTTATAATAATGTTATCTTCTTTCGTTAATGGTTTACAGGGTCACACAATGAACTGTTTAAATGTAATATTCACATGGTTGTCATCCCGTTTAGGTTTAATCCAAAAATTTGAAGATACGACAATAGGGCTGACCTGAATCACCAGGGATGTAAAAATTAAAATAATATAATTGATGTCCTTGTTTAGGCGTGATTTATTCATTTGAAGATGAACTAAGAGTAGGGCTGACTTGTACATATCTATTTTATAATCGTCTGAAATGTTACAAAATTGCTCCATCTTTTTTTTTGCCTTATGGTCTAGCATATTGGCCAAATCTCTAATTGCTCCATCTTCAGTCATCAAATAATAGTTGATATGACAAATATATTTCTTTGGGATTTTAGTGCCCAAACATATTGCATGATAGGATGTTGAAAAATTTTCTATGGAAAATTAAAGAATAGTTTAGCAATATTAACTGTTATATAAATTACATCAAATGAAGCTTTTGATTGAACTTTTGGTAGTGTCGGGCATTATGATTGATTCATCAACCAATTTGGCACTTTATTCAAAAATAAGTGTTTTTCAAATGGCAAAACTATTTTTTTATCTGGCTATTTCAATTAATTCGAATAATTTGGATCGGGCCGTTTCTCGCGCCTGTGCCACGTCGAGTGCGAGCGGGGGTTTCTCAACGAATCGTCAACAAACCAAAACAATCAGGTCGGACTTAACGGATGAGGATTGAGGATTGAGGAGGGCGATGCTGACACGGACGGCGAACAAGTAGGAGTCGCATGACAGGTTAGACGTATTCAAGCTTGTTATTAATGTTTGCCTTCGCTTTTTTTCGACTTCTCACTGACGATTATTTGTATAAAGAGATCGCCGGTAAGTTTGATATGTTTTATTTTTTCCAGTGTGAATGTTGTTGTCCCCCTTGAGTTGCGATTATGGACGATTTCACGCCTGAATTGAGCAATTGGGAATATTACTATTTGCTCTTTCTCGTCGTCGTTCCAGTCAAACTGTTTTTCGGCCTGTGGGCATGGCTCGGATGGGAACTTTTCAAGAATAACTGAGTCATTTGTATTTTAATTGATTTTAAAATATATATTCTTTTAGTATTGAAATGAATTATTCTATAAGCACATTACCGAAGTTGCCGTTTCTGAAACCCTTGATGAAGTGTTGGGCGGCGAAGTCGATGTCCGGAAAGGATTTGTAGCTGCCGTCTGGGGATTTCTTTTTCATCACTTTTTTAAGTTTGGCCGCAGTTAAGACGAGAAGTTCCGTGATGTTGTCGGTGGGAGCTTCGAGGCCGAGGTACTCGACGTACCTGTCGTTGCTTTGTTTGTTGAGATAAAACAGCAAGTAGTCGGCGATGATTTGGACCCCGATGAGGTGGTCCTGCATCGTGGAGCAGATGGCCAGCTTGAGGGCGGTATCGACGTCGGACACGTGGGGGTCCAGGACGCCCGGGGTGTCCAAAACGTAGATCAACGGGTCTTGGCAGATTTTGATCCTCGTCGACACGCTTTTGGTGATTCCTGCGACCGCCCCGACTGCTGCGGCTCTCGACATCTTCATGTTCTTGTGCCTCAGGGCGTTGATGAGGCTCGACTTGCCGACGTTCGGGATCCCGATGACCATAACCGACAAGTCCTGTTCCTCCGACCTGTTGTACCTGTTCGAAGAGCAAATCGCGTCTTTTATCGCCGGGACGAGTTTTTTGACCCCGGTGCAGAACTGGTCTTTGCAGTTTGTGTAGAAAACGCCGTGGAAGCCCTCTCGGGCCAGTTTCTCTTTCATCTCGTTTTCGCGGCCTTTTACGGCCAGGTCCCTCTTGTTCAGGACGAGGATGTGCGGCTTGAGGCCGGTGACCGTGTATTTGAATTTTGGATTACGGCCGATCAGCGGGATCCGGGCGTCGTGCACTTCCACTACGCAGTCCACAGTCTTGAGCTTCTGCTCCATCTTCCTCATGCCTTTACCCATGTGGCCTGGAAACCACCTTAGGATATTTTTGTCCGGATAAGAAAACACATCCCTCATATAATTCAAAAGGGTCCTCCTCACCATATTTCCACGATAAATTCTTTGTTGACAATTGACAAAACGCCGGAAAATTATTTTGATAAAATACAATAACCTGAACATTCACTACCCTCCTCGCGATAACAGCTTTTGGACAAAAAGTCAGTGACGTCATCAATTCTAAACTTTTTTAATTAAAAGAAAAAGATACTGTTGCCACAGATTTTTCAATTTATATTCACCCTTTCAACATAAAATTTACATTTCTGCAAACTAAATGTACTCTTTTTCAAATAAAATTTACATTTCTGCAAGTTAACTCTTGTTCGAATAAAATCGAAATTTTTGCATAATAAATTCACCATTTTGAAATATAAATTCAGTCCTTTTCAAGTCAAATCTACATTTTAGCAAAGTAAATTCTTCATTTTGCAAAATAAGTCCTTTTCAAATCAAGTTTATATCTGTAAATACTTTCCACTTTTTTTTTTTTTCAAATAAAATTTACATTTCTTCAAATTAACTTCACTATTTTTCCAGTCCACATTTTTGCAAATTAAATGCTTCATTTTCCAGAATAAGTTCACTCCTTTTGAAATCAAATTTAAATGTCTGTAAATTCACATTTTTGCATAATAAATTCAGCCCTTTTGAAATCAATTTCTGTAAATAAATTCACTATTTTTCAAATAAAATTTACATTTCTGCAAATTAAATTCACTATTTTTCCAGTCCACATTTTTGGAAATTAAATTCTTCATTTTTCAGAATAAGTTGTCTTTTTAAATCAAATTTAAGTTTCTGTAAATAAAATTCACGTTTTTGCATAATAAATTCAGTACTTTTCAAATCAAATTTACATTTCTGCAGATTAAGTTCACTCTCTCAAATCAAATTTTAATTTCTGTAAATAAAATTCACTTTTTTTAAATAAATTTACATTTCTTCAAATCAACTTTACATTTTTGCAAATTAAATTCACTCTTTTTCCAGTCCACAGTTTTGGAAATTAAATTCACCATTTCGCAAAATAAATTCACTCTTTTTGTATAAACTTTACATTACTGCAAATTAAATTCGCTCTTTTTCCAGACCACATTATTGCAAATTAAAATTTTCAGTTTTCAAAATACGTGCAGTCCTTTTCTAATCAAATTTAAAATCCTTTATTTTTCAAATAAAATTCACATTGTTGCATAATAAATTTACCATTTCGCAAAATAAATTCAGTCTTTCAAATCAACTTTACATTTTTGTAAATAAAATTCACTCTTTTTCGAGACCACATTATTGCAAATTAAATCTTTTTTTCAATCCACATTTTTGCAAATTAAATTCTTCAGTTTTCAAAATAAGTTCAGTCCTTTTCTAATCAATTTTTTAAAATTCATTCTTTTTTCAAATAAAATGCACCATTTTGGAAATTAACTTACTCTTTTTTTAAAAAAAATTTACATTTCTGCGAATTAAATTCACTCTTTTTCCAGTCCACAGTTTTGTAGATTAAATTAAGCATTTTGCAAAATAATTTCTCTCTTTTTCAAAGAAAATTCACATTTCTCCAAATTATTTGCACTCTTTGAAACGAAATTAATGTTTTTGCAAAAAAATCAATTTTTGTCAAATAAATTCACTTTTAATGTTCTTGTTCGGGAATAATTCGTATTTAAATAGTTCGTTCATGTACACATCTCTATAACGTTAGTTAGAAAAATAAATAAGTAATTAAATGTTTTGTAAAATGTGTGAGTCCAGATTAATTAAATTGTTGAATTGAATTCATACAGATTTTGTTTGTTGGAAATCAGTGACGTCACAACACTTCTATGTTTAGTAAGAATAATTTTCTTCAATTTTCGTTTTCTCAAACCAATTTTCAATAAACGATAAATTCTCGAGTGTTAACTCAATTTTCAAAGGGTGCAATTTTTTTTAAATTATCTAAAATGGAAATCTCGTCTCTAATCGCAAAACCTCCCTTAAGCCTTATTGCGATTTAATCGAAAGAAACGTTCAAAAACCAAAATGGCCGATTATTATTTTGTGGGGAAGGGTTTTTGAAAAACAAAAAAAAATAAAAATAAAAAATAAGCAAGTCAAAGTCAGCCCTTTCACCGTGTTCGGCGATGGGCCCCCGTTTTGTGAAAATGGTGTAAAAACACGTGAAAATAGCGAGTGCGTATTTTAACTAAAAGCTAGAATGTCAGCGTCAGCGTGCGAGAAGAAGAGCGAAGAAGAGGAGAGCGCCGAGTGTTCTGACTGGAATCTTCCTTTGGCATTTTCCAAGAAGAGGCACGTCGAACCGATCGAAGGAGAGACGACCATCACCCAGACATGGAGGATGAAGGAGAGGGTGAGTAGTCGAAATCAAATTGAAATTCAACCTTTCACGTGTCGACCGGGCTGTCAAGTGACACCCCCATGTGCTCTCGACTCGCCGAAAACCAGGTTTCTAAAATTATTTCCCATCCCATGAAAAATTTCAAGTGAAATAATTGACTCAAAAGTCAATTTAAATGTTCGACCACTCGTCCAGACACGAGGTCCTGTTTTGCATTTCAACTCGGCCTTTTTTTTTCTCTAACTCAAAACCAATTTTGAACCCAAAACAAACATGTCAAAAAAGGTCAATAACAGCTCAGTAACTTTTGAGTATTGACTCGTTTTGGCCAGTTCTCATAAACACCTGACTTGTCAAACTGACAGTTCAATATTTCTACCTCAATACTTTCTCCTCAAAAACCAATCGATCCTTAAAAATACAAATTTCCCTCTTAATAGGATATTTTTCTAAAATAAAAAGAGTTTGAACAAAGTCAAGTTTTGTAAAAACCTTGAATTAATGAGTCCACATTTTTCCTCAGGGTCACTAATGACTAGTCTCACTTTCTTCCACTGCGTCCTAAAAGATCTACTACACGACCCATATTTATTAACAAATCATGAAAAGTGCACTACTTTAAAAATTGATAACTTTCCAGGGTTCCTCTTTGCTTATTATCCTAGGCTTTTCCGATTTTCTAAACAGGTTATACCATTTCTTAGCTAATAATGTTTGGTAGTTGTAGAAGACATGTTTCAATTTCTCTGCTGTTATGGTAGAGTCGGTAAGATTTGTGTCATTTTTCATACGCTTTAAAGGCCGGTAAATAGATTTGTGAGGGAGTTTCTCATCGTCCATCACTCAGTTCTCCCACGGTTGAGACCTCCAGAACCTCATCCATCTTACCGTCGGTTTCTCTTTCTTCTGCCTCCTACTTTACCATGCATCAGCTTCTTCAGAGTGTCCTGTCTTCTCATCACTCTCGAGTGGCAGTTTGGCTTTATTTTCTTGCAGTCTTTTCTTTCAGAATTTTCCTCCACAGATCAAATCTTCCATCTTATGGCCCAACCCTGGTGCCTTCCAACTGGGAATAACTTCGCTCAAACTGCAGAACTTTGTTGTCAGTGTGATGTCTCTGCTCTTTACTATTTTGTCAAGATTTGCCGTTGCTTTCTTTTCAAGTATAAAGATATTTTTCTTTAATTTCTCCCTGCTGAGAGAGAGGTAGATTTGTTGTTCTAGCCCAAAGGGTGTGGGAGCTCTTGCTAATTGGTCAGGTTTCAATCTCCTCGCAGTGCTTTTAACAACTGTGGGTTGGGCTCATTTCTGGGGGTTCTGTAGTTCTTCTGCCAAACTAGATGATGTGGAATTAGAAGTTTTTATTTTGGATCCATCTGTGTAATATACCAAAATATCCAATTCTGCTGGTCCTGGCTCATCCTTCCGTTTTCTACCCGTAAACACCTGGTCTCCTCTTTCATCTTCCTCTTCTTCGACCACACCTGTATTGCTTATGGTGGGCTTTCGGGGGAGCAAAATAAGTGCCTAAAAAGTCAAAAACTGTTGTGTCAAGTTTATATTCGGCATCCTCTGAGGGTCCAGGTATTAGGGCTGTATTAGGACCTATCCTAGCTCTAACCCTCTTTCCAAAGTGTATTTCTTTGGTTCCTTCCTTTTCCAGGCCATTAACACCCATCATCCTCATTACATTATCCAGTCCATCTGATTCAAATCCTTTTTCACTCCTACAATGCCTGCTCATCTCCCTGTGACCTAATCCTTCCCTGGCATAAAACATGCACCTGTAAACGGTTTTTCCTTATACAAACACAAAAATTCTGGAATTCCTTCCCTCTAACTATCTGCAAAGCCGCTTCCGTTACCTCTTTTAAACATCTCCTGTACCTCCTCTCTGTTTGATCAGTTTCAAATAACTGTTTGATTCCTATTTAACCACAGTTTACATTTACACAGTAATTATTATTTTCTATTAATTTTCGGAGTAACTTTTTTTTATTTTTAACCCCTTTGGGTTTTGTTTTTTATAAGTCCATTATTATGTTGATCACCACACAAGTTTTATTTTTGCATCAAAATATTAACTTGTAATTTAACCTATGTATTATTCAAAGGGGACAGTCCTTTCCCAGAATATTTTTTTTCCTTTTTGTTCTTCTTGAATAAGGCTCCTCTGTTTGCTTCATTGTTACTATTTTCACTTGGAAGGGTCTGTCAAAATTTTCTATTATTTTGTTCTATTATTTTCTATTATTTGTCCGTAGTCGTTAAAACAGTTTATTTTATTTTTATGCTTTGTAGGTGTAAATTTGGGCCAGTCCATATTCCATTATGGATACACCTGAGTACCACATTAAGGCCATTCAATTAGTTTCAGGGTTTTTATTCTTCGAAACCTCTCTGCTTTTTTTTAATTCAACGGATCTGACAGAATTTTCTTTTAATTTAATTTATATAATCATTTAATTTATAGTCGGTAGTGGGTGTTGGTCTGCAACTCGTGTTAAACTGCTACTGGGTTCTGTACATTCGCCAAGATGACTGCTATTTAAAAAAGCCCAAAAACATAGGTGAAAACAGAAATTTGCTATGTAACATAAAAAATGACCCAAGAAATAACTCCTGGACTTACACAGACTGTAAGTGCAGACGGACCCAATAAGTAACCCAGCACCAGTTCACAATTTCATTTATGTTTATCCCTTTAGGATATGGTGGCTTTTTTCTATTTCAGGCTTTATTTCATTTTGTCACAGCGGCCGGTTCGTTTGCACTTTTGTATGCCATTCTCCTGTTTGTACGCAATATTGGCGAATTTCCATTGCTGAAGTTGGGCAAGTATGCATTGCCCATGTAATGAGAAAAACCAATCTTTGTAATTTTTAAAAACAGATTTTATGCCTTCTTTTCCAATACTACCATACTAGGACTCCATATGTGCGAGTAGGCTATTTTTTTTGGATAACTCCTCGATTTACAACAAAATTTTTGGCCTACATTTTTACAGCTTTCTCTTTGTTTACTGTTTTGTCTATGTCTTTTCCCCGTGAGCTTTTGATCTTGTATTATGCCCAGATATTTTGTCCTGGAGAAAGCTATACTTTCATTTCTTATTTTCTGTTATCTTTATGTTCGATGTTTCAGGCGAGCAGGTTTCAATCTCATGTTTTCTCATTTTTTAAAAGTGGTAATTAAATGAGCAATGGCTTTTTTTTGCTTTCCTGGTTGAGATGTTGAAAAACTTCAGTCATTATTTTTCACCTGGTTCATCAAGTGTTTGGTAATTTCTTTTTTTTCATTCATTTGTTCCACTTTTAGCACACTTCAGGGCTTGCCAATTTGTGGTTCTGGTCTAAGGATGTATTTTTGATAGTTTCTCAGCCTGATGTCTTGGCACGGACTTCAGAGCTGATTTTGTTTCCCTGGTAGTTGGAGATATGTTAGGCATTCCCTAGTGTACAACAATGTGTGTATACAACAATCTGTTCATCTTTCCTGAATAGAATATTTTTTCATTTTGAAGAAAATCTAGTACCTGCTCTCTTCCCCACTGGCTAATTGAAGTCTTATTACAACGGATCTGGTAATATATATAAAAAAAAAAAAAGTGTTCCAATGAAAATTTCCAACCCTCGTAATTTCTCTAATTTTAGATCGATTAAGACCAGGCTATTAAAACAAATGTTTGTGGTAGTCTAGTTGAACACACTGAAAGATGGTGAAAGGCTGAAATGCGACTGACAGAAGGGTAGGCAGACGAAAATGATAGCAACGATCAAAGTCTTATTGTCAGCCTGACAGATTAATTATCCAGTGTATTCCTTTTAAAAGAAGCCTACCCAGTGCAAATCAATCAAATTTCATTTTTTTATGAATAAAACAAATAGGCTTTAGTTACTATCTGAAGTCAAGCATGGCTTCATAAAAAAATTTTGGTACAATTAATCTACAATTATTTTCTATCATTTTATTTGTTTTGCACAATAGACCAATATTGGTTATGATGTGTAAGGCCATAAAAAGGTTGACTTTTAACCTTGCCTATTTATTGGGTTGTCCGGAAAATAATGCAGGATTTTAAGTTTTCATTAAAAAAAATCTATATAAAATATTCTGTTTACGTTTACAGGATTACTCATTNTATGGGAAATTATTTTGATTAAAGAACATTGCTTTAAAGTAACTAGTTTCTTTTTTTTTGTTTAATACCAAAATCCTGCATTATTTTCCGGACAACCCAATAGATTAGAGCTGTTTACACATTACGGGGGAGTTCCAGTGAAGATGTCCATCTCTGCTTTTTTTTTGTGAATTATGGTTCTACTCACAGTTATGTTGTTTACAATGATCCAGATTTCGAGTATTAAATGCTCATCAACGGGTTGAAGGAGTTACAAACATGTCTCCCGATATGAATTGTAAGGAAGAAACCTGCTGATCCAACGCCAATGCTACGTTCTGATGAGAAGCTTTGTTTTTGATACTGTTAAATTTTGAATGTGCCAAAAACTTAGATTATAACACAACTACATATTATCCTAATAAATACTGTAAGAAATGAATTTTAAATTAGTGATTAATTTGTATGTCAGATATTATTTAGGTACATGTTTAAAATAGGAGGTAAATCAAAATGTATAATATTAATGCATTTATCTCTATGCTTATTTTACATTTTTAAATTTCAAATTTCTCAAACTAATCTAGTTCCCTCCCTTTGTTCAACACTTTAGGATTGTTCGAGTAGTTTCTAGATATTTTTACTATTTTTGCATTGATAATAATGCTTTTCTTTGGTATTTACAGTTTAAAATTAATCTTTTTGTTGATAAAGAATGTTTTGCAGATTTAAAAAATATCCTTGAAGAGGATAGAAGAAAGGATGAAATGTTTTTCTAATTAAGTTGAATTAATTTTGGCAACTGGGCTGCTAGTGATAACAGTATTAGCAATGATAATTCTTTCCTTGGTCAATAACATCTCGCATTGGGGTCTGTAATCAGATTTTAAATGCCCCCAAAGAAAAAAATTGTTGTTACATCAATTTCAATTAGTCGTGTTCACTTTGGTGTCTACTGAACTGGGAAAAAAACATCGTCCCAGAAAAATTTGATCCAGGATCCTTAGGACCAAACAGCCGTTGCGTGCTGGAGCTCCATCGTGCTGGAATAGCAATCTGTGTCCTACCAGGTCAAATTGAATTAAAGGTCCTAAATATTCTCTCGTTAATCTAAAATCCTCGCACACATCGCTTAAAAAGATTTTTTTTTTGTTCATTTTAATATATCACAATTTGCCAAAATGTTTAATAAACGTCTTTTTGAATCATATTGAAACAGGAATTAAGATATTTTTAGTGGTCTTTGTATGTATTTGTTTGTCGTCTTAAAAGTTATTTACTATCTGAGTAATTTTAATCTCTAATGAGAAAATGCATTGCTCTCTATTCAGAAATAGTAAAAAAAAATTTTTTTTTAAATGCAGTCTATCTACAAAAATATTTAACTAATCTAAAAGCAGTTGCACATCGTTAGATCCATAATCAAAAGGTGAAATTTAAAATCTTAATTTAAGCCATATTTTGTCTTCAAAATGTAAGAAAAAACAAGTTATTGTTGAAACTAATGATACTCTAACAAATGAGACTCTAATTAGCGATAAAAAATGTACAGACTAAATCAGAAAAAAATGAGATATTTAGAAATCTTCATGGACACCCCTTATAATGAGATTTAATCTAGTTGCACCTGGGGAAAATGGGTACTTGATTTCTGTAAAATGGAAAAAACATTCTATTCAGGGAAGGATCAACTGATAGTTTTCTTATAAAATGTAGGATAGTTACGATTAATGCAAGATCCCCCATCCTCAGCATACCGATTTTTTCCCCTGTCTAGATTATGCACATATAATTATGCTTTTTTTCTGCACACCTTGGTTGTCTGGAAATTAATATGTAAAGTATTATTATAGTAAAACATACTGTAGTTTGATAGGTTCCGATCATCCTGATCTATCAATATCTGTGGTTTGGTCATTTATTATCATTTTGAGTCGCATATTCTTGCTGGTTTATATTTCACTCCAACATGATTCTGGTTCATCATCCTCATTGAGAGAAGACAAATGCAGTAAAGTGATTGAGTGTCGTGTGTATACCGACTTGCACACCAACATCCTCCGCCAATTTTAATCTGTAATTTGGTCATTTTCATCCTCACCTGCATTTAAGACTAACATTTTTAAGCATTTTTTCATCATCATCAGTTGTTGGCTAGTTCAAATTACTACAATGAATTACAAAATCGTTGTTAAATACCAACTGCACTTTTTTTTAATTTTTGCAACCAGCACATGTAGTGGCTTTAAAGATTTCAACTTTCCTGGAATTTGAACAATTACATAATGAAGCTCTAAAATCAATCATGATGACATTGAAAAAATTATTATATTATGTACAGGTTTGATCTTTTACTATTGTCCTTGTTTACCTATTCCCACTGTTTTTGTCTGTTAGACATGTTTTGATATTTCAAATTTTCACTGGGTTTTAAAAATCATCTCTGAGAAAGAAAACCAGTTAAAACAGACAAACCAGGATGATCAGAGTTGATCGAACTCAAATTATTACATTAAATTATAAAATTAATTCTTGAGATGATGTGGTTTCTCGTTTTGCTTCTCAGATCGAAGAGTATAGGCAGACCAGCTTGATCATAAACAATTAAGCTTCTTATATTACTTTTGAGTTTTAGAAGTTGTTTTCTTAATTTTTCAGATGAAAACCGTGAGCGTGGCTCTTGTGATATGTCTCAACGTTGGCGTGGATCCACCTGACATCGTGAAAACGCAGCCATGTGCCCGTTTGGAGTGTTGGATAGGTGAACAAAAGTCTCCACCGTTATTCGAACAATTACGTTCAACCAACAAATATTTCAGATCCGATGTTAATGAGCCCTCAAAAGTCGTTGGAGGCCATCGGAGCCAACTTGCAGAAGCAGTACGAGAGGTGGCAGCCCAGGGCTAGATACAAGCAGAGCCTCGATCCCACTGTCGAGGAAGTCAAGAAACTTTGTACATCGCTTAGAAGGAACGCAAAGGAAGAGCGAGTCCTTTTTCACTACAACGGCCATGGTGTACCCAAGCCTACCACAAACGGCGAAATTTGGGTTTTTAACAGGGTAAGTTGAATGTCAAAAACATTCCATAAAATATATATAATATAAATGTTTTATTTAATTAGCAATACACGCAATATATACCACTTTCGATATATGATTTACAAAGTTGGATGGGAGCTCCATCGATTTACGTTTACGACTGCTCCAATGCAGGTGTTATTGTAGATTTATTTAAACAATTTGCAGACCAGCATGAAAAAGATTATGAGGTATTTATAATTTACATACATTTTCAAGTAAAATTTTAATTGATTTTTTTTTCTCCCTAAGCAAAATGCACAAGCAAGAATAGCCTCTCCTCCACCAAATTTTAGAAATTGCATTCAGCTTGCTGCTTGCTCTGCAGATCAGATCCTTCCGATGAATCCTGATCTGCCTGCCGATTTATTCACATCTTGCCTTACAACTCCGATAAAAATTGCCCTTAGATGGTACTATTTATTTTTACAGATTTAATCTAAATTGGCTATTTTTTTTGTTATTATAGCTGATTTATTATTTTTATTTTTAGGTTCGTTATGCAAAACAATACTTGTCTAGTCCCAAAAATAAGTTTAGAAGCAATCGATAAGTTTGTGATTCTTAATTAATTAATTTATATTAAGCATAAAGTTTTTTTTGTCAAGTTGTATTTATTTTTTAGAATTCCTGGTCAGTTAAATGATAGGCGAACAATGTTAGGAGAGTTAAATTGGATCTTTACAGCTATTACTGATACAATTGCCTGGAATACATTACCAAGAGGTAAAATAAATACAGTACATTAATTTTTTTGAAATATTAAGTTAATTGTATTTTTTCCTAGATCTGTTTCAGAAACTATTTCGTCAAGACTTGTTGGTGGCATCACTTTTCAGAAATTTTTTATTAGCAGAAAGGATAATGAGATCATACGGCTGTTGTCCTGTCTCTTCACCAGCTTTGCCTTCTATGTACCAGCATCCGATGTGGCAGGCTTGGGATCTCGCAGTTGACTTATGCTTGGCCCAGTTGCTACAAGTCGTCGAGTCAGAGGACAATTTTGTCCACTCGCCCTTTTTTGAAGAACAGCTCACTGCTTTCCAAGTTTGGCTGACACTCGGCTCCGAAACAAAAAGCCCTCCGGAACAGCTGCCTATTGTTCTTCAAGTAGTAATGCATTTCAATTTGGAATAACAGGTTTGGCTTTGTGGCATTTACAATTCCTGTTTGCAGGTCCTTTTGAGCCAAGTGCACAGATTGAGGGCATTGGAATTGCTGGGTAAATTCCTTGACCTCGGGCCTTGGGCTGTCAACCTAGCGCTGTCTGTCGGCATTTTTCCGTATGTGCTCAAGCTGCTTCAATCTTCAGCTAAAGAATTAAGGCCGCTCCTTGTGTTTATTTGGGCGAAGATTTTAGCAGTTGATAGTGTAAGCTTTAAATAATAAAATAAAAGTTAACCACCAGTAGAAGTGATTTAATTTTCAAATTACATTTTTAGACTTGTCAGACTGATTTAGTAAGAGACAACGGTCATAGATATTTTCTCTCAGTTTTACAAGATACGGGGATGCCGGTTAGTTTTTTTTCTTTAATAGAAAATGGAGTTTTACATATAATTTTTATAGAGTGAGGAGCGTACGTTGGCAGCTTTTGTCCTGGCCTGCATGGTTGACGATTACCCAGGCGGCCAAGAAGCCGCAATGCAAGGATCTCTCGTGTCGATATGTCTGGACCAACTTGAAGATGAAAGTGATCTGCTAAGACAATGGTTGGCGATTGCATTGGGCAGGCTTTGGAGACGGTACGATAAAGCAAGATGGTGTGGAGTGCGGGATTCAGCACATGAAAAACTCTATCGTCTACTAAAAGATCCTGTCCCTGAGGTATTTTATTTTTGACAAATTTGTTGTAAATGCTTGATTTGTCATGAAGGGGGGAAAAAAGTGCTATACATTTTTATTACATCTCTCTGGAACTCCAAACATTTATTCTATATCTGGATGTGAATTTTATTCCTCCAAACTTCCTCACATATAAAGTACGAGGGTAAATTAAATATAAATGAGACTTAAAAAAAAGACCAAAATTAGTGAAAATTAGTCCATTTCATTTTCTCAAATTAGAGACCAGTTAGCGCTGTTGTGTACGGTTTAGCATTTTTGTGGATGATTATGATGTCATGAATCGGTTGCCACGTCTTTTACCTTTCTAAACTGTTGTTGAGGGAAGAAAGAAACAAGACTTAACAAGTACTTTGCCAGCAGACAAAAATGTCTTGGGACTTTTGCCACTTCATACAGGCTTCCTTGGACATGTTCCACCCAAATTTTGTTTAATAAATAATAATTATCGGTACTAATTTAAGGTAATAATACTTTTAAAAAGTATGCCCTTCTGTAAAGTGTGCTGGAAGCTCCTGGCCTGCCTGTGAATGTTTTTACTTCCGTTCTGCTGCCAAAAGGCGACACATTTTTTTTTAGAACCCTAAGTTCTTTGTGATGTTTTGACAGTTTCCATAGCTCAGGGCTTCCCAAAGCGGGGTCCACCAGGACCTTAATAAAAAGAATATTTAATTGAATTAATATAAATATTTTTATTAGCGATCTTACCAGTTTTTATTATTTTTAACGTGCAAAGGGGTTGAGAAGAAGATCGTGGGTTCGAGTCCTGCTCAAGACACTATTATTTTCTTCTCAACCTTCTTTGCAAAGAGCATGTTGAATAGCAATGATGTTTGAATATTGGCAATAAAGGGGAAAAATGTATATAGTAATCAGTTGAAACAAAGATTGGCGTCTCAGGTACTGAAGTCACAATAGCTTAAGTGGTAGAGTACAGGGGTATAAAACCGGAGGTCATGGGTTCGAGTCTGCTCATGACGCTAGTTTTTCTTCTCTGACTTCTTGCATAAAAATTAATATAAATAAACAAAAGCAATAAGGCATGGATAAAAATCCATTGGCCATTGTCTAATGTCTGAAATTATACATATAGCTAACAAATTTTTATTTATTTTTTAAAATTTATTTTAACTATTAAAATTAAAATGGATTAGGTGAGAGCAGCTTCAGTGTTCGCCTTGGGTACTTTTATCGATTCAGTTTCCGAGAGAAGTATGCATGCGAACAATATTGACCACAGTGTGGCTATGACATTATTGAACACAGTTGCAAAAGATATGAGTCCTTTGGTCAGAAAGGTAATTTTAATTAAATAAATAACATTATTAAACAATGATTGTTTAAATAAATAATGAATTTTATTTACAGGAATTGGTTGTAGCATTACAAAATATGGTTTTAGTATTTGAAAACTCGTTTTTATCAATTGCAATGCAAGAATTAAGAGATGGTGCTCAAATCATGCTAGGGAAAGGTATTTTTTTTTCTTTTTAATTTTATTGTTGTTCATGTTATTAACCTGATTATGTAATTATAGATGTTATGCTTTCTCCTGGTGGAAGTCTTAAAAGGAATTCATCACGCGATCGTCTCATGAAGGCTTTGACACCTTCCCTCAGCAACAATTACAATACGATAACAGGAGTTATGGCAATGCCTGTGACTCATTCAGATCTTGACGGGTCTTTTGAAAGGCTTAAACGAGTCTCTTCTTCATCCTCGATTTCATCGCTTGCGACTAACACGACAGTGAATTCTCCCGGTCCGCCTGCCGTCCCGTTCGGGTCGGCTTACCAGAAAGTCTGGGTGGGCTTGACATCCCTTGACGTCGACCCTTTCCCTGGGGTGTCCAACCTCTCAAGATCGGTTACAGATCACATAAGAGATCAGGTAAAAACAGGGCTGCAGGATAGATATTTGCATGAGTTAGTTTTTCTCTCTGAAATTACAATTTTTTAAATGACAAGCGAAAATAATTTTTACAAGACTTATAATATTTTGCTGCTTGATTTTTTTATATTATTTTTAATTGATTCATTGATTTCTTTGGAAAATGTAATGTTTAAAAGAAAGGTTAAAGCATTCAATTAAGAAGAAAATATTTTGGCCCAATTCTGTTTCGTGTCTCGTTGAAAACAATTTTGTTGTGGATGTCTTAAAGGTATGTGCTTGGCCAGGGCAGTCGAGTCCACCTCATTCATCAGGAGCTTGGGGAGTCTCCCTCTCCATGAGCCATCTCACTGTAAGATTATCTTAACAAAAACACATTAAAAGAACGATATATAAATTCACTTTCTTTTTCTATTTGCATGATTATCCTTCTGCCTTCTTTGTCGCCCATAGTTTAATGTTCAGTCTTCGCCAATCGGGCAATCCGTTTCTTTATGTTTGAACTCTGTCTGTCTGTGTCTGTTGCTAAAATTCAGTAATACAACTTGCTACAGTTGTTTTGTATGCATTTGCAAGATGCTTATTATTGAAACTTTAATCGCTTTTGTTTCTTAGTCTGCCAGTTGAAGCAACCTCCTCTTATAGATTAAAAAATTATCTTAAGATATTAGGGTGAGTAAAAAATAAGATAGTTTCCAAGTTTTTTAACAACTGAATTCGTTTTGCAATTTCCTTCCAATGTTATAATTATTGGTATAATTTTAATCTTTAATTTATATTTTATCATTTCAAAAACAATGCCACCACATCACTCTTAGTATCTTTGACAGTCCTGCCAATTAAAAAATCTTAGTTGAAGAAAATTTACAGCTGCTGAAACCAGAAGTCTGTAAATTTGAAAAGGACACTGAATGAAGTGTTTTTTAAATGTGGTGATGCAAACTCTAAAAGGGTGTTATCGGTTCCTCCTCGGATTGTTGACAATCCACCCGTTCTCCAGGTACCTGGGGCTCATTGAAGATTTTCCATGACTATTTCTTTTCTCAAATAAATGAATAATAATCAGGCTTTCACCTGAGCTCTTTGAAACACTATTGAAATTTACAAAAATTATTTGTCATCTGTCAAACTAAGTTGTATTTATGTGTGTATTTCCACTTTCAACAACTAAGGGAATGTGAAAAAAGCTTGTATATCAGTTTGACATGAGCGCACATCACAGTCGTCAATTACAGTGCTGGGGACTGCAGTAGTAAATTGCTTAAAGCGGGGAACACTTACCTGAAGCCACCCAATGCAAATCCAATGTCCAATTTTCCATAAGATTGCATTACCTGTGTGCACATCTGCCCAATGCCATGCAATGCTACTCTACTCTACACTACTCAATGCGACCAAGTTCACCACTGTCCAGATTTTCGTCAAGTAGCGTCGAGTACAGTTGAAGACGAAAGAATCCGACACTCATATTTTTATTTCTAACCATATGTATTATTGTCGTTATATTAATTACAACATGCTTATTTTGATGTAAACCAAATCAAACGAGATCAAAAATTCGTAAGTTTTTATAAAAATGACGGTTGGGCAGAAAATGTATCAAAACATGAAATAACTTTATTTAAAACAATTAAATTTAACTAACAATTTGTTACATGGTTGTGCTCAAAATTTAACTAACAATTTATTACATGGTTTTGCTCAAAATATTGCATTAAGAACAAAAGAGGCATTGCGACTGAACACAGTGATGTTGAAGAGTGGCGTGCGCTTGGCGTTGAACAGATGTGCACACCATACCAAAATGAGACAAGGCGTCGGGTCACGTCGCGTTGCGTGGCATCGGTTGTGTTCTCTACTTAAAGCATCAGACTTGTGTCCATAGTTGTGGGACCACTGTCTCTCTCTCTCCTCTGTACCTTTTTTTTCTATCAGGAGTGGTAGTCGCGATGAAAGTTGACACAGTATTCCTAAATGGAAGGTCTGGGACAGGATTGTGGCTCAGAGACCCTGAGGTGAATTCAGTCCCGACCTCCTTCGAAGATGAGTTTCTTTGATGGAAAAACACCGGCACACTGGGAGCTCAATGTTATGAGCTTCCAGAATGGGACCAGGAAGGAGTATAATAAATGTAAAGCTCTAGTGCTTACAGAAACTTCTCCAGTTCCTGGTATCATCAGTCCATTTTAATAAAATTCAATTTGCTTTATTTGATTTATTAATTTATATAAATAAAGCTTGCTCTACAGGATTACAGTCTATAATATAAGAAAATGGAGAAAAGATGCAATTTTTGAAGAGAAAAAAATATTTAAGTTAGAATTTAAAAGAAAGAAATATATTGGCACAAGATTCACAACAAATTCTCTTAGTCCCATGGTTTTCTCGCTGCCATTGTCAACTCAGCTGTTCTGATGACACAGTTTTTAAGCCAGCACAATAGGAATGACACTTGATTCCAATGCGTATATTGTTTTTCTAGCAATTTTGATGGTGTTTGTACTGTATGCTTGCTCAGTAATTTTGAGTTCTTTCAGTACAACTGAATTTTGCGATATTTTTGTAACAGAATATATATGCATATCAATTTAGAGGAATAGGAAGAAAGTTTTTTTTAATAAGACAACCCTGTCATTGTTATAAATCATAGTTCTGATCTTGGTTCTTCACACTACCTCCTTTTTGACCCATTTCCTTTAATGAAAGTGGTACATAGGAACACAATAAAACCTGTAGTAGGGGGCTTTTATCGACCCAAAGTACAAGCTGGTTTTGTCAAAGGACAGCTAATCTTAATTTGTCGATGACTATTAGGTTGAGCTGCATGATTGGAAATAATTAGTTAGAAGTATATACTAAATTTTCACTTACAAAAGGTTATTTTATTTATTTTTTGCTCACCCATGTAATAAAACCTTTACAAAGTATAAAAAGCACATTTAAAACTTGAAAATGCTTTAATTCGTTATCACATTACTTTTTGGTCACATTAGACAAGCAAAATTTCTTGATTATCATGTTCGTTACAGCACTGATTTGTAAAGACTCCCGAGATATCTCAGAAATTTTGATTAATTTTTTTTTCCTTTAAAAAAATCGTAAAAAAAATTCACAAGGTAAAATTGAAATAAGGTCTTCACAGTAATGATATTAAGGCATGTGACACTGATTCAATTCCAAAATACAAAATACTTCCTACAACAAGCTTTGAAAGCAGGGCTTTTCAAGAGAGGTGTGTCATTCTGGAAGCATTTAGTGCGTCGTTCTAGAACGGCAGCTGTAACGAATGTGTTAAATAAAAAAAAAAAAAAAAAAAAAACGCTTCTACAAAAAGTTTCAATTATAAAATAAATTCTGTTTGCATTTCTTGCCCTTATAGCTCCTTAAATTATTAAGTAGTACTTGCACATCCTTTTAGTTGATCTAAGCCAGTTTACATATTTTTCCTTTTAAATATCTAAACAGGCTTTGAGATTAAGGCAGTTTAAACTCAAATATGTCTTAGTTTGAAGTTGGCAGGGTGCATTGTTTCTAAATTAAATTGTTAGTTGTCATTTATTTTTAAGGTTTCGTTCCATTTAGAAATTTAACAATGTTTATCGTACATGTTATTATTGTTGTTGATGGTGTTATTAGCTGTTTAAAAGACATAGCTTGATTTGCTGTAGTCGTAGGCAAGGACATGCCTTTTTTCCTCCTTTGTTTTTCCAAAATGCACTTTTTGTTTTCTTCTCCCAGATATGAACACTAAAATAAATAGCGGCTTTTATTTAAACAAAAGCATGCAATTGTAGATAAAACATATAACGAAAGATTTTTCTATGTTGTCTTAATTGTTTTTACAGGCTAAGGAGTCCACATCTCCAAGGGAGGTGACAGAAGTGAAAGCAAGTTCTTTGCCACCTTCACCTTCAAACCGTTCCTACCTCAAGTAATTTTTTAAATAAATTATTTATAATATTAAATGAGTTTTTGCTATGTATAAAAGTAAAATTATTTTGTTTATGTATTAGTAGTGAATCACCTCCACCTATCAGTACAAATTCAAGGGAAAAATTAGGGATAAATCGTTCAGTTCAACTCACGCCTAGATCGAAGAAGCCGCTTCCGAACACGGTAAGCATAAGTCATATTGTGTTTAGTAATTAATGTAAGTATGTAAAGTAAAAGATCATAAAAAGATTTTTCTTTTGTTCTAAAGGATAAATTTGTCTTTCCTTTTTACATGCCAATGAAGACAATTTTCTTTTTTTTTTAGTTATCTAGTTTTGAAAGTAAATATTTTTCGTGTTTGTCTAGATGATTACGAGTGTATTATTTTGTAGATAAATGAAGATGCCGTTGAAGAAAGTACGAATGGGAGAAAAACTCTTGTTTCAACACAGTTTGTTGATTGGAGCTGTAAATATTTTGCCCAGCCTATTAAGGGCGATTGTATAGATGCAGACGTAGAAAGTACGTTACACTATCAGAGAGAATGGAGGTAAGCAGATATATTTTAATTAATATTTTTTAAACTTTAACTAAATTTTCCCCTCCCTTTTTGTTAAGGTTTTTGAGAAATGCCGAATTAAGACGAGAAGCGAAAGAAGAGCAAGTTAGGTTATTCTCGTCAAAACTTGAGACACAGCTGTTTTACACGAGGTGTAGCGCCCAACCAATCTCTGTGAAATTCCACCCCTACGAGCCACATTTAGCCATAGCATACAAAGACACATTCACGATATGGGATTACCAAAATTCTGCCAAAGTTGTTACTGTACGAGGCGAGAGGAGCATGGGAACGAACGGACGAAAGGTGACCTGCCTTGAATACATCAACGCCCACGATGTATCATTGATGGCCACCGGGAGTGATGACGGTGCAGTCAGGATATGGAAGCATGACGGCAGCCTGTTAACGGCATGGCAAGCGATGCCTCAACCTCAACATAGTGTATCAAAATCTCATCATAGTAAGTTGCAGTCAGTTTTTTTATTATAATGCTAATATTCAATTCAAAATTAACTGTTTTAAAATTATATTTTAGATGCTTATAGTTCAAGTATTACCCCTGGGATTGGGGTTTTAGGTTGGGATCAAACCAGGCTGAACTTCATTATTGGCGGTGACTCAAGATCTCTTAAAATATGGGATGCAAATGCCGAATTATCACTCTCAGATATTCCTACTGGAGCTGATGCCCCTGTTACTTCAATTTCTATTGATCCTTCAGGTATTTTTTATATATTAATCTATATGTTTTTAGTTAGTCCTACTTAACCAAAATGATAAATGAAATTTATATTTTTTGTATAAAGTTTGGTTAAGATGAAAACTTTGTGTCACGAGTGGGACTCGAACCCATGACCCCCTGTGCTCTAACCTCTTAGCTATTGTGACTCGGTCCTCCAAGTCACCAACTCATCTCATCCTACAACTTTTTCAAATTTCCCTTTTTTTGGCTGCAAATATTCAAATTCCGTATAATCAAACTCGATTCTCAGCGAACATGAATTGTCCGTGGGGAGTTGTTAGTGAAGTGTAGGTCCTTCAGTAATTATTATGTTAATCTATGTATTTTTAGTTGGTCCTAATTAACCAAAATGATAATTTAAATTGGTTTATGATTTTTATGTTGTGTGGTTGAGATGAATAATATAATTTTTTTTTATATTTAACACATTTCCCCATACTTCTTGAGTGGAGAGACTAATAAACTCAAACGTACCTAACCCGTTAAAAAAAATTCTGATAAAATTATTGAATTATCTGAAGCAATATGTACATAATTATAATTTGTTTTTATGCATTAAGAGGTGTCAACCAGTTTTGGCATTAAAGTCAATTTTTAAATTTTTTTATATTTTTTTTATTAAACTAAATTTTTTGTAAAAAATTTGCAATTTTACACACTGGAAGTGTACCTGTTAGATTTAAAAATTGAAAGGTCTACACAGATCAGAATGGTCTCTGCGAATGGATAAAGCCCAATATAATGGGCACCCTGCATTCTGATGAAAATGCCTCAACATTGGCCGTACTGCGTGGCTTCAACGTATCAAAACGAGTGCTCAAAAAGTGGAATTTAATGTAAACTAATTTTTTGAAGGTTGAGGGGGGGGGTTAATTTAGAATTATGCCAATCCTTAGTAGAGCCATTAAGCAGGGAATACAATTACCCGATGCAACATAACAGCGACGTGTGACAGAGCAACTATTGGACTTCCTAATATCTAATTTAAATTTCTAATTTTACTTCGAAATATAAAACAATGATCATTTAGTCAGGCTTGTAATATACCAGTGTAATTTCGAGTGATTAAACATTTCTTTGTTCTTGTAATTTGTGTGCCACTTATTTGTGCTGTTACACGTAACGACTTCAGTTTGGAAAATAGTTGGGGTTATTCCAGGGGCTTTGCTAGTGTGTAGTTTGGCACTTTTATGGAGGACAGTTTAACAAAAATACTAAAATAAATATTTGCCTTAAACATATACCAAAATGTGGTGATTAGTGACCGTTAGTTGATAATTATTCAGAAATTGTGATATACAGTCTGGTGTGATATAGGTTTCAGAAAAAAATTTTCTTTATTGAGCCAACTTTTCGATCTTTATTGAGATGTTTGTAAATCCCAGGCCCTGAAGATGATCTTAATAAAGATGAAACGTTGGCACGATAAAGAAAATGTTTTTCTGAAACCTACATCACACCAGACCACATCTCACGATTTCTAAATAATTAATATACCAAAATGTTCATAAGAAAGCCATGAATAAAATGGGACGAGTCTCATTGTGATCGGACCATTAGTTCACAAGATATTAAAGGAAGAATGGAAGGATAGGAAAAAGAATTGGTTGACCCATGACCCTTAAGGCGGTTTAAATTATACGGTGTTTTCCTCCGGATGAAGCCTATTTGTTTCCTCTTTTCAGGTTTCTAGCTTTACATTTTCAGCATCTCATTTTTCTATCATGATTTCAGTATCATAAGCTGATAATGTTTATAGTTTCACAATTTGTAATGTATGTAGTTTTTTGGTTATTTTACACCTTTTTTAATTTTTTAGGAGGATATAAAATGAGTATAGGCTGTGCAGATGGCACAGTAAGGCTGTTCGATCGAAGGTTGTCACCTCATGAAGCCAGGATAATGACATACCGAGAACATTCGGCCCGAATAGTTAACGTCCAGTTGTCTCATGATTCAACATCTCTTCTTTCTGGAAGGTATTATCTTTTACAATTTCAGTCATCCTTAGGTAAAATTATGTTTTTATTTTTAGCACTGCAGGGGATGTGAGAATATTTGACACAAGGAAGCACACAGCATCCCTCGCCTGTCAGTCATCACAAGGGCAGGGTCTTAAAGCGATGGCTGTCCACACCCCTGCTGAGATATTTGCCTGGTAAGTCAAAGATTTAATAAGCTTATTTTTAAGAAATTTTCGTGTACGTTTTTGATTTTCAGTGGTTCGGTGAATCAGATAAGCCTTTACAAATGGTCGGGTGCTCCACTTTACATTATAAAATCTGTAGCACACGAGTGGTTCTCTTCTTCCAAGTTTGGCCCAGTCGGTTGTCTTTCTTTTCATCCTTACAAAGCTCTTCTCGCTGCAGGATCAGCAGATAGCACGTTATCAGTTTACTCATTGGATCCTCGAAGATGACGGGTAATTCAAATTGTATATATTTCAACTACAATTTTTGAGTAAATAATTTGAGAACTAATATTAAATGTTTACATTTTTTTTTTAGACGGGTAACTAGCTTTCAACATCTAAACTCTTGCTTGCCTGACAATGGGCTTGGTACCTAGATCCATTCACATATTTTTGAATTAGTTAATGTTATTTAAAGAAAAAAAATGTATGGTAAATAATTGTATATGTGTCTATATGTATATATTATATGTATGATTTAAAAAAAATTGTGATCTCTTTAGTGCTAAATATAACCAAAAACTGTTAATGTATAAAAAATGCGTTGTACAAAGATTTTGCTAGAATTTATTGCTTATCGTGTTATAAATTGAAGCCATATTTTTAAATTATGTACTATTCAAAATTTGTACATACAATTTTACAGTCAAGTTTTCACTATAATTTTGTGTACATATTTGTGTTTTATACAGACTGATATTTATTTTTTAAGTTATTTATTGATAAAGAAGAGGTTATTTCTACTTTATTTTCTCAGTTGTAAATAAATAATTGAAATTTAGCGAAGACTGCTACTGTTGATATATTATTAACTTGAAGGATGAAATGTGTAAAAGAATATTATAAATATGTTAATAATTGTTAAGGCAATCTTAAATTAATTAATTAATTAAAAAATGGTTTAAGGGTGCAAACTCTAGTCTAGCTTTTGGTCTAATATTTGCTGTGCATCACCAAATCTGAACAGGAAATTACTTTCAGAAATAAAAGCTAGTGCCATAGGTGCTTTCTTTTATGTAATTAATAAAATTGTTCTGAATAACGAATAAGTAAATGCTTTTGGTGTATGTAAAAAGGTCTCAGGATATTGTTGCAATGAATTGGAACAATTTTCAAGCAAGAGTTGAACAAGATTTAGCTAATTTATTAATTAACTTGATATTTTATTTTTTTAATTTAGTGAGAACAAAAATACTATGTAAAAAGTTGAATAAAAACCCAATTATCATGAGTAAGCGAAATTATTTTTGTACTATTGATATGAATATTATTTAATATAGCTTTTCTTTCCTCTCCTCAATTTTGGTTTTCTCTGGAATCATATAGCTGTATATAATTGAACAATGATTTCATGCTAAGTTGCTGCAGAGTAGCCGACATGGAAGTTCTACAGCAAGTTGCTGACAGTTTAAACAACTGGAGAACAGTAAAATGAGTGGAAACTCATCAACTTTTTCACTTTTCAAACGCAGCAAGACGATGTAACAATGACTAGCAACTCTGCACTATTCAGAAGCAAAGCATGTGTTATGGAAGAGGACAAGAGGAGGGAAAAGAGGCGCCCCTCCGAAACATTAGAAGAGAACCGGCGGCAAGACTGGGACGGTTGGCAGCGCTGAGGGGTTGGTGTTGACGAGAGGGAAGAACAAAGAAACGGGACTAACGGTAGTACGCACGGAGAACTGCGCAGTTGTGGTTGTTTGGGACAACGGCGTTTTGTATTCTAGCGNCGGCGGCAACACTGGGACGGTTGGCAACGCTGAGGGGTTGGTGTTGACGAGAGGGAAGAACAAAGAAACGGGACTAACGGTAGTACGCACGGAGAACTGCGCAGTTGTGGTTGTTTGGGACAACGGCGTTTTGTATTCTAGCGACTTTAATTAAATTACTTTATATCAAATTCTATTTATTTTTAATAATCCTTACACATGATTGATTTTCCATTGAAAAGAGGTCTTTAAATAAAACTCATTTAGAGTACTGAAAAAATAAAACTTAAAAAATACCACTTTGAATATAAGTGTTTAGTTTTTGTGGATGTGTGTTATGCTCAGGAAACAACACTTATGTTGACTTCTACTCCAAAATTTTCAGTGTAAGCTGTATTAATGGCCTTTATTGAATTTTCTTTTTGTAAATAGGATAATCATGCAGTTTGTTTATTTTTATATTTTAACAATCCTCATCATTTTAGTAATCTGAAGAAGTTGCATTTTCAAATAAGCTTTTTGGTTGATTTGAAAGGCTGTTGATTACTGACTAATCTACCAAGTAATTTGAACATACACCAACGAACAATGACCATAAAAGATTTTGAAAAAAATGAAACACATTAGTGAGATAAATTTTGTTCTTGTGGCAGGATTAAAAAAATAAAAATCATTTGTTAACTTTTCTATAAAATTTGCCTAATCGGGCTAAATTCGTCAATTGAACATAGGGTTATTAGACATGTCTTTTAAGTTGGCGCATCTGATTACATTCCCTATGTTGAAAATCTTTTTATTGGCTCATTTCACTGAAACTATACTAAGTTAGTCTGTATAGACTATTTAAAAACGAAAATGCAAGTTGATGACTACACAGACATGGCCAAAGCTTTTGACCTAGTTAACATAACATGCCTTGTCTCTGAATTCTTGTCATGAATTCAAAAGTATCTAACGGACAGCCGACAGATACTTGTTTGTTGAGGACTTAGTGGGTATACTAAACCCGCATTACATTTATGTAGTGCTGGTTTGCCTATCCGACTAATTGAAGGGGCAATACCACCCGAACCCCTTTTGACGCTCCCAAAGTGCCAAAAATGAGTAGCAGAGGCCCAGCCCACCCAAGAACCTCCTCCAGAGTAATATCAATCATATTCTTATAGCCATTCCATATCATCAATTCCCCTGAGGGGCTAGTCAAATGCAAACAAGCTTCCAGCCAAAAGCGCTGCTTCTCATACAAATGCAGCAAAGAAGAAATGAATGATCACAGCATCTAGCAAATAAAGGGTTAAACACTGTAACGAAAATGATGATCATGAGGAAAAAGCGCCTAACCCCTCTGTGAAGGAAATTACATTGGACCCCTCAGAAATTGAAAAAAGTGGTGATGTTAGGGAAATAAGAGACAATTCAATCAAAATTGCTGTGGAATTCGTGAACGACCTGAGTATGAAATTAAAACAGTTTTTGAAGCATTGAGAAAAGTTCTGAGGAAGAAGTCTCCATAAACAATTCATACTTCATACTTATAAAAGTTTATTACAATTTATTTCATTTGCTGGTTCACTTAAATCTTCCACTCTAGTCTTATTGTATAACTACAAAGAGCATTATTTTCATTAAATATGTACCTAAATATTGTAGTTTTAATTGTCTTTCAGTTTTATTTTGTTTCCTTTGCCTTAATTTACTTAATAATTATGTCTTTTTGTTTTTATTGTTGTTCAGTTTTTATTCTTTGAATTGTATTTTTATATTTACCATTTGTAACCATTTATGTATATCCTTATTCTTGTTTTAAGTAAATATTTTTAATTTTTATTTTTTTGTTATTGTAAAATGTCTTTTTATAATGGATTTCGATATGTAAATAAATAAATAAACTAATTAACTATAGAAGTGATTCAGCAATATGTACCCAAGAGTCCTTAGTCTAAACAGATGAAGCATGGTCTGTATATGAATTAATGAAAGTCTGTGTCCAATTAATTTCACAATAAATTATACAACAATGATATTTCCATTAAAATAAATTGGAATGCAGAATTCCACGGTTGCGTACTGCTGCTGACCGTCGTGTATATTTATGATTTATGAAAGCGTGACGGTGATGATCGATCGCAATGCTCGATTCCTGCCGGTCGACCAAGCCAAACAAACAACAATTGTGTCACCCTAATCAAATCAAACCGTGAACCGATAGGAAAAGCACCGTGAACAGAAGGAAAAGTCCATCGGTTTCGACTGTCATAGCAGTCCTCTTGGTCAACTCCTGCATGCTGCTGGGAATGCTGTACACGTCGAGATCACAAGGGTCGCTATGAGCGTCTCCGCTGTCCATTCGGAGTTGAAAATACCAAAAAAGTACACAAAGCCCAATCAGGGACATGGACGTATCGAAGCTGTTGTCAACAGAAACTGGCTTAGGTAATTTTATGCTTTTATGCTGGATATCAACCACCTGTCAGATAGTAATCTAGCCCTTCAAAACAATACAACTGAATATGATTACTCCTGTCATCTGCATTTCACACACTTATCTCTACATGACACATTCACTAATTTTTGTCATCAGCTATACTATCACACATATATATCATGGTTTATTGATTTTACTTTTAGTCTGTATTATGGAACATATGGACAGACAATTTTTAGGTTGTAATGGGTAGTCTTCTGATCAATTCATACTTTACATTAATATTGTTTGCCACAAAAGAGGATTCATCTTAAAATGGATCCTTAATGAGTTCGAAACCTAGTGGAACAATACCACAGGTATGAGGCATGCAAAGAGATTCATAGAAGGACCATCCGCTAAACTTACAAAATAACTTTTGGAAGGCAACCGCAACCGAACCAGGATTCTGGTTGGACTCCTGATGGGGCACTGCCACTTAAGAAAGCACATTTACTGATAGGAGTACAGACAGAAGAAACACTGTGCATGTACTGCCAGGAAGAGGAGGAGACTGCAGAACACATTTTATGTTTCTGCGAAGGTGCAGGTTCTGGCAACTAGGACAAGAAAAACCACAAGCAGGGAACTGCTGGCAAAGCTGTGGAGGCTGGTTAATAGCCTGAGCTGGCGAATGAGTTATAATTAACAGAGGAGCACAATAGATGTATTTAGGTCAAGGTGCAGTATGGCCGCCTCTCTTATCCCTATCCCTATTGATATTGTTCTGAGATTCTGTTTGTGATCATAAATAATCAATACTTGGTTGTTACAAAAGTACTGTTAAATAAATACGTAAAATGTAATCATCACGAGGGCTGCAGAGGCTGAGTCATGAAGCATCTGACTCCTATTGCCTTGTTAGTGGTTCTGGGTTTGAATCCCAGCATAGTTCTTGGGCTTTTACTTGAGAATAATTGAATAAAAAGTATTGTAGCAGAGTTTTGGTTTAGATGTTTATTTACTGGTTCAACTAGTTGAATGGATGGGTATCAAGGAGTGTAGAAATGTAGCAAATGATTAGGAACGGGTCAAACCATTCATACATGTCAATTCATCTAGGCTGGTGGCGAGCAGATACAATTCTCACGTTCTCATCCTTACTGGTTGACTCAACTCAAAAGATGCAAGGCATTTCTCCTTTACACCAGTAGCCTAGTTGAGTCAACTTAGTTCACTGTATAAAGCATAGTCATTTCAAGTTTAAACTTGGAACAGTTCATTGAACAAATCGTATTAGTCCCGTGACATGGGACATGAAGTGTGAGGAGTATAGCAACAAAATCAAAAGGGTGAGGCTCAAAGGGATGTGGCACGGCAGTAGTTGTGTGAAAGTGTCTGCTTCTCGATTTTGTAGCAAAGGATGAACCCACACTTCCCTTCGACTGGGTATCCTTTGTTTTTTGCTTCTCTTGCAGAAAAGCAAACATAAGAAGTGCTGCTTCGTTAGGTTCTAGCATTGTACTGACCTCCAAAGTTCTCTGCTGGAAACCGGCCAAGGACTTCACATAGCAGTCATTTAGTTGAGGTGCAACCATCATATCTAAGTCAGGATTAGGCTACTATTAAGGTCATCAACACTGCCTTAGTAAAAACCTGTGTCTTTGTAATATCCAACAACAAAATAAGTTCTTCAGAATTTGTCTTATACAATATTGAACCAAGAGAATCAATGTAATTGTTGAAAGGAGGGTGTTTTTAAAATATCAGCAGTTGGTATAATGATGATGCTTTAAAGTATGACTGGTCGTACGTTCACTTGGACATTAGTAACGTTTGACAGGAAAAAAAAAATCAGTGTTTTGCCGCATATGAGGAAGTTGCACCAGACTAGATCTTTTCTGTCATGACACTGGTTCATTGAAACACTGCTAGTCTTTTTCTTCATCTTTGCACAATGTTGGAGGTACTAAGTCAGGATTCATGTGCAACCAATCTTGTATTAACAACCACTATTAGGGTCACCAAAGCTGTCTTAACAAAAATCCGTGACTCTGGAAATCCAGCCAGGATCAGATCCTCAGGATTTGTCTGTTTCATTTTTAGAGAAGAGATCATTTGTGGAAGAATCAATTGAGTGGAATGAAAGGTCGGTATGTATGGGTATCAGTAATGGGTATTCCAAGGCACCATACAGGATGGCTTAAGAACCAACAACATGTATGTTCTGCAGACGATGGTAAAACCAGTTTGCAAAATCTTGTACATATTTGGAATTAAAATTCTATGGGCTGTGCCGGGATTCAAACCCAGAACTGCTAGTGTGGCAAATACAAATCAAATGTCAATCAGACCACTTGGCCACCACGGTCCCCCCTTACATAACTGTGAAGGTGTTCTAAACTTTGAGCTGGTCACAGATGACTCTGATTGTTATATTTAATAAATAGGTAGGAACCAGCTTTACAGTGCACCTGAAAATCATTATTGTTTGAAAAATTTTTAGAAATGAAAAAAGGTCAGTGTTTTGCGTCACATGGCAATGTTTGTCTTAATATTTGCCTAGATATTTTCTTATTTTATATGTTACATATATATTATTTTTCCACCCCCTTTAGGTATATTTTATATGTATCATTCGCATAGTCCAGTTGCTGATGATGGGCCAGGAGCCCAAAACATCCATGTCATTTACTAAATTGAATAAAGGTTTTCAACCACGGACAACTTGGAATTTTTCAACCTATCAATAGACTAGATATTTTCTAATTAATGGCACTGTAAACATTGAAATAGACAAAACCAAGCTTGGGTTTATGAGGGAATTTTTAAACATACAAAAAAAATAATTTTTTCCAAGTATAAACAAACATCATAATTACCTAAAACCGGGAATATTTTACAAATAAAGGTGCAGCTCTACTTTAAACAATAAATTAAGAATTTACAAGCATGCTTATGGAAAATTAGCAGAATATTTGTACTGTCTTATACACAATGATTTGTGCGATTTTTATAGGCAGTTGCTGAAATACAGACGAGTTCCAGAGTTTGTCCACCATGAAAAACTGAGCGATGATGAAATTTCTTCATTGTTCAAACAAGATGAGCAGTTCTCTCAGGGATGGCAGAAGATTATTATTATTGTATGTTGGGTTTTTAACAATTTAGTTTTATTTTACATTTGTCTTAAAAAGTTCAAAATAACTGCAACCTGCTTATTGTTAGAAAGATGATTTACAACTTTTGCTTGTTATATTTTAAGTTTTTATCCTTGTTTATCAGTTGTTATCAAGTTTGCCACATTGGACCTAAAAAGACCATTTATTTTATAATTAAACATTTAAAATTTGTTTTCTGCATACTTAAATATGTTTCGTTTAATTTTTATTTTTTTAAGTGAATTGTTTTGATTTTCTTTGGTAATCTCTTTGTCTCACTACAAAGGACATGATGATGCTATTTCTAATGGATGCTATTTCTAGTCCTAAACTTCTTGCTGTCTTGAGGCTTTAAAGTAATTACACTTAAACTAGGAAAAAATATGCATAAGTATTGGAACAATTTTTGCAAGCAAAATTAATTACTCAATTAATTATACACAATTTTAGCGAAAGAGACGTATTTAGCCAAAAATCGTGGGGCTCCACCTGTGACACAGATTTTTCATTTTGAAAAAATGTGTATAATTAATTAAGTAATTATATAATTAAGAATAAGCTGATAAAAATAATTAAAAGAAAAAATAGCATTTGAGGGGGAAGGGAGAAAAACTTATTAGTTATAATTATAACATGTTATGCTTTTTTTTTAAATTATACTTTCCAGGTGTTAAAGAAGGAAGATACCCGAGTTATCCCTTTGCCCAGGGTAAGACTCGTTGGGAAACCAGAGCCACAGCTTTCTCTCTCACAAATTCTACAGTATGTTTCGCATACCAATTACAAAAATCTCTGGAAAGAAGCATCTCGCAAGCATAACAGTAAGAATGTAAAATATTTCCCCAGTTTCAATGTTAATATTGTATTTTCTAGATGCGTTCACACAGTGGGAGCCGTGTGAGGATTCGTACGTTCAACTCACAGACCAAGCGTCTTTGGTTCGTGAAGTCCTCTCAAGAACATACGGGGCCCCTCTGATCAAACTGCAGGAGACTCAGTGTTATAACGACAATAATTTCAGCCCTCATGCAAATCTTCTCCCTTCAATGTTTTTAATTGAATCCAGCAAGAATTTTTTTGTTATACATGTAATGTTATAACTGTTTATTGTTTTTATTTGTTCATATTTGTTAATAAGAATGATTTATTGTAGGAACGTTCATTGGAACATACCGTAGAAGATTGTGTCACTTTTTCCCCAGCACTTTTATCCGGAAGTTATTCAAAGCCCATGTTTATCATTTATCAGCTCCTTCGACTCATGAGGCATTTACATGATATGGGTCTTGTTCTCGGCAACATTAGCTTGGCTGACATTTACATTGGATCTAATCTATGGATACAAGTAGGTCTTTATTTTAAACATTTTTTTTAAAGTTTAACCACGATTTTCTTATAAGGTAATTCCAAACTTGATGGACAATATGTGCCCAGCACCAGAACCGACATTTGTCCAGAGTTCAAAGACATGCACTGAAGAAAAGAAAGATATGGTGGACCTTGTAGAGCTTACCGCAGCATGGATTTACGGCGCTGTTTCCAATTATGACTACCTCTGTAAGCTTAATTCCCTTGCTGGGAGAAGATTTGGTGATCCGAGGAGCCATTATGTCCTACCGTGGGTAAGCGACTTCACATCACGCTCGGGCAATGAATGGAGGGACTTGACAAAATCAAAGTTCAGGCTGAATAAAGGCGACCGGCAACTTGATCTGACCTATGACCTACCACCATCAGCCAATTCAGCTCAGGTATTAAATTCAAATTAATTGTAAAATTTATTGTTAATAATGTTACGTTTCAGATCCCACATCATGTTTCTGATGTTCTATCAGAAATCACGTACTATGTGTATTTGAGTCGGGTGACACCGAAACCCGTGCTATGTAAATATGTAAGACCACAATGGGTGCCTGCTGAGTATCCTGCTTCAATACAAAGGCTTCAAGCATGGTCACCAGACGAATGCATTCCAGAATTTTTTACAGACCCCACAGTATTTAAGGTGGATAATATATTTTCTCATTAAATTTGCAAGATTCATTTTTAAAATAAGATGTGACCTTTTCTAGTCGATTCACAGTGACTTGGGAGATTTGGAGGTACCTCCTTGGTGCTCATCACCTCAGGAGTTTGTGGCAAAGCACAGAGCGATGCTAGAAAGCCAATATGTCTCAGAAAGACTTCATCATTGGATAGACCTCACTTTTGGATACAAGTATTTTTAATGACTTAGTTGGTGTAATTCATCTTTTATCTCATGTTTTACATTCTTTTGTAGGCTTTCAGGTCAAGCAGCGATTCGGTCGAAAAATGTCTGTTTACAACTTGTTGACGGTCATAAAGATCTTACTGGCTTTGGAATTGTTCAGCTCTTCTCTTATCCCCATCCGCATCGATTAATGGCTAGTCCTTACTGGGGAAAAACTCCTCCAAGAATACACCAACAAAGAAGAAGTAAGCCTTAAATAGTTTAAATTAAACTAAATTTAATTACATATTTGTATTTAGAGTCTGGCCAAGAGGAAGATGATTGTCACAGCTCAGGGTTGGAGGAAGAAGAACCACCACAGTCATCTCCTTTGACTCTCTCTAGACTTATTAGTCGTTCAAGAACATCTCTTATTGTAATAATAAAATTATTTATTGTGGTGTATATAGGATATATTACTAAAAAATAAACACTTTGGTATTTACACTTATAGTCATCGCCATTGAGCTCCACACCAGATCCAGAAAAGGTCGTGCTGCCTATCCCGAAAGATTATAATCCAGTCGCTGCTCTGAATGTTGTCGAATCGCTTCATGCATTTTCGTGGTTTTCGAACTTTCAACCGCCAAAGATGGAGAAGGCCTGTCAGGAAAAGTCAGAAATTCAGCAATGCAAGCAGATTGTGGCTGCAAAGCGTGCTAAGGAGATGCAAGTCCTTGGATGCCTAATTGTGGAACTGTTTCTCGCAGAGAAGATAAGAGTTTTTGGAACAAGTAGAATGACATTGGAACAGAGACTCGCAGCAGCCCGTTCTGTTGTTTTTCATTCCAACACTCTGCTTCCTCGCTGTGTCAAATCTCTCGTTTATCTTCTTTTGCAGGTGAGAATTATTTATTTCTAACCTTGGCTTTTGTAATTTTTTGGACTTTAATTTTCCAGGATGATTACCCGATCGTGACTAGCTCTGGTGTGCCACCTCCTTGTGCACACCAACTCCTCCAACCCCTTATAACATCATCCTCTCTAGTCCATTTTCCTAAAGGGTTTTCTAGTTTATATTTTTCGTTAGTTTCACTAGTCAGTTATACAAGAGCGATGGATGAGTTAGGCGGTGCTAGCACAGCAATTGCTTTGAAAGTCAGCCAACTTAAGGTATTAATGTTTTTTATTATTTTTAATTATACAAAATTCTAATTTACAAAATGTAGTAATTGTAATTTTGTAAATAGGTCATGAGCTTAGCAAATAACATAGAACAGTTGGTTGAAGGAAATGATATTTGTTTGAATCTAATTCTGCCATTTATAACTGAAATGCTGAATTCATCACAGACAGATGTGTTGGCAGCATGGTACTTGTTTGATCATGTCGCCAGGTAATTTTTTATTTTGAAACATGGTGTTAAACATTTTTCAATTTTTATTTTTGTGACAGGGCTTTAGGGCCAAAAAAGACAACGAAATACCTGTTAGAAACGATGCTCCGTCTTTATGACTGTGAGTGTCCAAGGGAGCCGCACCTTTTGAAAAAACGCGTGAAGTTGTACCATCGATCGTTTATGATCAAGCTCATTGTGAGATTTGGCCTGTCTACCTTTTTGGACAATTTTATCCTCCCTTTGGTCGAAGCAGTTGGCGGATATCACGATGTAGATCAGACTGGACATTCCCACCTTGGGTATGTTGCATTTCTTATTTTATACACTGCATCAGTTTTTGTATTGTATACGATTTAATTGTATTTCCTCTATAATAAACTTTTCAAGGTTTTTTGTTTCATTGACTAATTTAGCAACAATCTAAGTAAAGTGCAATAAGTTACATAAACAATAGAGATAATAATAATAAAATAAATTCAATTAATTAAGGTTTTTAGTTGAGATAAAAAAGTCAGTGTCACGAGCTGGATTCGAACCCATGACCTTTGGCTAGATTCGCCGCTGCTCTACCACTTGAGCTATCATGACTTCGATCCACTCGGACACTAACTTCCCATCTCAACACCACCTTTTGAATTTTCCCTCCTTTTTGCCATTTTTTACTTTTTTTTAATCTCAACTAAAAACCTCAATTAATTGAAAGATATTAATTGGTCAAGTGGACCACGAAAATTAATGAATTTAATAAAATACAAACATTTTGCAAGAATTATGATCATTTTATGGATCATTATTGGAGGAAATTAATAAAATCATGAATAACATAAAAGCGCATAATTATACTATATTTTATATAATTTTTTTTTACAAATGGCACCCGATACATGATGCTTGATAATATACTGAGATTGAAAATTTTTGGTATTCCTTTGTGAAAAATGTTTCTTTTATTTTATTTAGAATTTTGTGTTTTTCTGAATGAACAAATTTATAAGAAATCATTAAATTAAAAAAAAAAATCTATTTACATTCATAAAACGTTAATATTCCACAAATTATTAGTAAGTAATTCATGTCATACAGGAGGGCAACTACCCTTTGAGGTCATGTACGATGGGTTAAACCACTTTACTTTTTATTCTTTACTTACGTTTTCCAAATTAATCTAACATTAAATTCCAAGGGCTAGAAATTTGTCAAATACACATCCTATATGTACTTATATTCTTCATATTTATAGGGAAGTTGAAGAAGCAGTTGAAGCTGATGCTTCAATGCTACTCTCACCCCTTGATGAAGATTCATCAGCAGATTCTGAAAAAGCATCGCACAACCTGTGTGAGAAAGAATTGGAAGAAACAGAGCCAGGTATGTCATTGTGCACATTTTATTCTATCAGTCTCATCAAGTTATCATTTTAGAAGTGTTTCACCTTGAGGAAGACTCAGTAGAAGACAACTCTAAATCTGGACCAAAATCTGCAATTTCAATTCAAAATCTGCTTATCGATAATCTGGATTCTTTATCTATAGATGAAAGAGATGTAAGTTTATGATAGTTTCATTTTTTCTATTGGTTACATTTCATTGTTTTGCCTTGCAGGGAGACGAAAACAAGGCGTTACAAGTGACAGAAGGGAGTTTGAGAAGGAAAAGTTATGCGAGTATAAAACACTTGCATTTAGACAATGAGCCTATAGACATTGAATATTCAAAGGTGAGAAGATCTTCATCAAAACGCTTATGTTTTCATATTATTCAAGTAACACTGCAACAGTAGTTTCCTTAACATTGATCTTGCATCCTTACTAAAACGGCAGATCCTTTGTTTACCCTCCTTAAAACTATGGCTAATTGGTGTGAGGAGCGGGACATCAAGATTTGTCAAAGGATCAATATGTGTTAATAATTATTATAAAAAGGTGTATGTCGGGGAGGTGTGTGAGGTGAGCGGAGAGACTGTCGTTTGGCTGGCGCAGCGACTTGGGCCAGTCCTTACTGCTAGGCACCTCTCAAGGAACCTGTTGAGGATGCTCGGTCTCTGCTACACTGGAAGGGACAACCTCATTCCCATCGATGACTTAAGCCATCAAGCAGTCAGCACTGGCACTGTTTCACTAGTCGGAGACACCAATGCATTTCATGTACTGCGTTGTTTGACTTCGATAGCAAGTAAGATCAATTTGATATTATTATAATCACATCAGATCTCTGAAAAATTCTAATCCCAAGAGTCGAAAAAAATTATGAATTGTTTTTCAGCGTTATATGGAGAGCAAGTGATTTTGGTGCAGTACATGGGCCATGTAACCGATCTGGTCTTGGTTTGTCGGAGGAAGATCACAGGTGTATTGGAAGGTGCTCTCATCGGTTGTTTGTCATTGGTGACTCAGTGCATCGGGACATTAAGCGATCAGTCTTTGGCAGAAATGCTCAATGACAGTCTTATCAAAGGTCTCCTCCTACCTTCTCTCAGGCTACTAGCTTCTTTTTCAGTAGTTCTCCCTTCCGGATTGAACGGGCGGAAAGCCCTGGCTCTCAAAACGCTATCTGCCCTGGTTTGCCTCGTGAGAAGAGCCGATCACAAGCAAAGGCTAGTCCTTTTGCAGACTGTGCAACGGTTTTTTCTTACTTTCAGCAAAGTTTATGACCACACACCAGAGAGGTAAAACTATTGTAAATTTTTAAAAACGAAAATAAAACTAATTTGTTATGGTTTCAGACAGCAAGAAAGCAGTGATGTTGAGTTGAAACAAAGAAACAAACTGAAAGATGATATTTATGAATCCCCTCCTAAGTCTACTGTGTCAAGCATGTCTGAAGCTGATAACCTCAGATCACTTGTATGTATCTTTAAAAATTGGATTGTAATATTCTATAATAATTTATTGGAAACATTTATTCTAAATTAGGCGCAGGAAGAGCTGAGGGAAACACTTAACCCAGAATTTGCTTTTTTAGCCTACAAACCTTTCGCAGATTTTTTCGGTGAATCTGTCATGGAACAGAATCTGAAAAACTTTGACCTCGTAAAACATCTTTGTGAAAAATATTTAAAAGAAAAGTCTGAAGCAGGATGTCCCATTCCAGGTATTTATTCGTAAAAATGTAAAGTTATACTGAAATGGAATAAATATATAATATAATAAAAATAAATTATATAGGAACATGCAATATAGAACCACCAGAGATTGTCGAAGGTCTCGTGGAAACACCTATTCAAGTGGGTAGTTTCAGTAATGTCGTCGTGGTAGGAAACAGAATTGACATTCAGGTACATTTTTATATATAGTAATACATACTACGCATTCACTACTTTTTATTATTATTATTTTTTTTTTTTAAATAGGACTCTCTTGCCAAAGGGTCAAGCCCTGGCATTCAGGAAGAGAGTGTTAAAAGCAAGAAAGTGGAATCGCACAATAGGCATTTGCATGGCAACTGGCTGGCCTATTGGGAGCACGAACTTGGTCGCAACTCAAAGGATACAAAAATGAACATTAAACAGATCAAATTACAAACATTTGTTGGCCACTGCAACTCTGTCAAACATATAGTAACCCTGGCGTCAGAAAATAGTTTTATGTCAGCTTCAAGGGATAAAACTGTCCGGTTGTGGTCACTCCGTAGTCAGGTAATAAGTTTTCTATATTGAAGTAGGATTGTTTGATTTTACTTTTATTTTTTAGGGTGATGGTAGCCATATCTCACAAGCCCAATGGACATACAATGGCCACCGTAAGTCAGTTTTATGCCTTGGCTGGTTGGAAAGGCATCGGCTTGCAGTTTCTTCAGATTCGTGTCTTCATCTCTGGGATCCCTTTGTGGGTCGGCCAGTAGTCTTGTCACTCGGAGATTCGTCTTCCTCGGGTTTAAGTGGGAGTGGAAACAATGGGCCGACTGTGAATGTCTTGAGGCCGATTCATCCTCCTTCCTCCTGTATCGCCTGTGGAATGACTGACGGAACTGTGAAAACTCTCGATGCTAGAACTGGGTCTTTTGTAAATGAACTGAAAGTAAGTTAATATTAAAATTTAAAAAATAAGATTAGATTAGAAAAGGAGTCAGCCTTGTTAAGACCTGCGCACCATGACCAGTATTAATTTATTGTGCATCTTCATTATTGTGTAGAACTCCTCATTAAGCTTAAGGCTTTCTACCAGATCCCGAAGCTTTTACAAGGACTCATGTGTATCCTTCAGGCCCGTGCTTTTTTTCTCAGGCATAGGAAGCCTTCGCATCAACAGAGGACATGTCCCACAGTCTTAATATAGGCAAAATCTGCACAGGTTGTTTCTGCCACTCCGAGTCTGTACATACTGGAGTTGGCTGTGTCCAGTTAGAAGTTCAACTATTATTCTAGCACTAACACTTGCTAGATTTAGAGCCTTCGCACACTACAGACTAAACTATCGGCCAACTCTGGTTGGGTTGGAAGTACGCAGTAGGCTGACTAAATTGCCGATTTCTATGTTTATTTTATGTCAAAGCTGCAGTATTTATCTAGTGGTTTTACAACTGATTATTATTGTGCTTATACAAAGGAGAAAAATCATGACAAAAAGAAATAGTAATTATTAGGTGCATCCAACTTATAGTTTAAATAATTGGCTCAAAAGGTGTATTTAAAATTAGATAAGTTGATGCTGGGTGTCGGTCTACGAGTCAGCGAACTCACAGAACTGAACCAGCAAAACATCTGCAGGGTGTGTTGGCACTTAGTAGTTTTGCTGTTAGTTTTGTACGATGGTTGTTTGATGGATTTTTTGAACAATCTTTTGAAAAAGGTTAAATTCGTGTGATGGAAAAAATTCAAAAGTAAATACTTTTCAGGTATCTCAGAATCCTGGTGGGCTCATAAGATGCATCGTTGTCTCGCCAAATTCAAGTTGGCTTGGGATTGGACAAGCATCAGGAATGCTTACAGTGCTGGATTTGACCTCTGGTGCTGTGCTGTCATCTTGGAAAGCGCATGACGCGGAGGTACATAAAAATTGGAAAATTCTAACACATTTTATTATTTGATTCACTTGTTTCACAGATCCTCCAACTAGTTGCAGTTGATGAACACAGAATTATGAGTTCAGCTTTGGACCAAGCTGTTTCAGTTTGGAACATTCAAGACGGAAAGCTTTTGTTTAATCTAAAGTAATATAATTACAAATATATTTTTTTCTGTTTAATAATTCTATTTGTAAATATTTAGAGGTCCAACGGAACCAGTGCACTGTCTTGAAATGGCAGGAGGAGAAGTGATATCAGGGACAACAGCTAACCGTATCGGAGTCCATACATCAATTGACATGGCTGCGTCATTCAGCTCAACTCGTTTAAGGTCGGATACTTTCAAAGGTGTTTTGACATCAATGGCAGTTCTGCCATTAAATCGGATTCTCTTATTAGGCGCTGATTCAGGTATTGTTACATTAATTTGTTGAAAAACTGGTTGGGCAAAAATAAGTATGCGTACTGCTTGATAAAAGAAATCATTATTTGTTCAATCAGTGGTTATACGGAATAATTTAATTTTTGGCTTCCTATCCTGTATGAATATTTCTAAAATATTTTTGTTTGATATCATTGCTTTTTAATCAGGTTGATGAGATGTTTGAAAATATATTTTCCTTGTGTAAATTGGATACAATTACATTTGTAATTGGCATGTGTGCCACATGTGTGTAATACCTTAGTTTTATTATTTTAATCTGACTTTATTTAATGAACTGTACTCACATAGACAAGAACAAAAATCTAAAAAAAAAATAATTATGACTACGTTAAATTTAATTAATAAATGAGGAAGCTCTTTAATTGAATATTTTCCCTTATTTAAACTAGTTTAATGTACAGGTCAACAGGCCATGATATTTGTTATAAAATTTGACTAACAATAAGATCATTTAATACGTCCAGTTGAATGTTAAAGAGTCTTTGTTATTTTTAATGGAAAAACCCCTTAACAGAAACATAAATCCTGTTTTGTCTGCCTGAACTTTGTGAAACATTTTCATGCGACTCTATGCCTAAAGAATATTTTCCTGATGTAGTACAAAAAAAGAAAGTTGAGCGAATGAAGTCAGACTTTGTGCAGCTCCGTCCTGAAATTCTGAACATTCTTCGCTAGTTGTTGGTTACCAAAGAAATAATTATTTTCATAGAAAATAACTCTTTAGGTAATAAAAGCCAAAGATTAATGTTTTAAAAAATAATCGTTGTAACTTATTAAAAAATTATTATTCAAAATATCTTCCTATCTGTAAATAATGTAATATGAAGGCAAGTGATACATAACATGTACTTATTTTGATTAATTTATATGACAGTATTGATTTGATTTGTGATATCATTTATTTTAACTGTGATTCATTATTTTTGTTATAACTGTATGCACATTTTATCCTATGTAATTAAGAATTGCAAAATTGATAACAGTTTAAATTATTTATATATAAAATGTAATTTTATTAAACCCATTCAGAAAATATGGAATAATTAAATTATAAAAATAAACCAAATTGATTTGATTGATTTATGTAAGATACCACACGCATATGCATATATACATATGTATAAAATTAATCTTATGACTTCTCTTCAATAACTGTTTTTGAATTGTGGCAGTCCATGGTAGGGCCTCAGTATTGTCCGATTTGCCACTGAAGTTAGGCAGGCTTCAGCAGTGTTGTCAACAGCTAAGTCCTTTCAGCCTCCAATACTTGTAATTTTTAAACCTAGAACACACACTTTTACTCATTCTTAAATACATTTTTTTCTATTTACAAATCCTTCACCATTTCTCCATCACCCTTTCATATTATATAACTAATCTAATTCAGGGTCGATGGGGTACTTAAATATTCCACCATCCAGCATATTCACAATAATAATAATATTAACTCTCATTATACACAAAAGGAGAATCAAAATGAGACATTTGTTAGTACTATTATACAATAAAACAGCCCTGTTTTCTCCAAAAATCTGACTCAAATACTCGCTGACATGCTCAAGCATAATTATCATATCAGGTGGGATTCTTACACACTCTATGGAGCCAAGGATTACCTTCAGTTGTGGGACGGTTTGTCCTTTCTGTACATGCGCAACACATGCAAATTTTAGTCCAAAAGTAAGTTCATGTATCAACCTCCCAAGGATTATTATTAATTGGGTAAGGATGATTCTTAAATGCAGGATTTATATTCTGGCTGCTATTTATTTATTTTTTTTTTATTTTTTTTAATTTTTTTTTTTTTAACAGCTATTTAATATACTCTTTTATATAGGAGCTTCTCACCCTTTTCGACATATTGCTGCTGCCATTCTATTTTATAATATTTTGGATTACATTTTTAGCACCAGATCACTGTGGTCAGGTTGAGACATACTGACATTAGTTGCCTTGTCCACCTTCTTGGTTGACAACTATCACTGTTTTGCTTTCTTCTTGAACTCTTGAACTGCTTCTTCTGAACACTTCTAGTTCAGTGTAATAACGATAATGATGTTTTTATTTATCTTTTACATATAAATTCAAGTAATATGGGATACAAATATTAAGGTGTTTCTCTCATGGTCAACTCTGAGGGACTGTCTTTGAGCAATGTATAACAAAAGGAGTAAGCAGATCTTTCACAGCTGACTAAAATGAATAACGATAGTACAAAATAAAACAAGAAGAGAATGAATAAAAAAGTATGTACTACTACAAACTAAAACGAGTAAAGAGAGAAAAGAAACAAATGAGGATATATCATTTACATATTTATAAATATTATTCGGAGATCGTGAGATGCGGTCTGGTGTGACGTAGGTTTTAGAAAAATATTTTCTTTATCGTGCCAACGTTTCGATCTTTATTGAGATCATCTTCAGGGCCTGGGATGGCTCTCTCAACTCTACACACAAGAATGGCACAATTACGCAAAAAAAAAACCAGAAATACTTTGATTGAATATAAAAAATATTTTTTTTTTATTGTATAAATTCACTTTTTTTCCACATCCTACATGTATTTGTTAAATTTGAAGAATATTGGCACGTTAAAGAAAATGTTTTTCTAAAACCTACTTCACACCAGACTGCATCTCACAATCTCCGAATAATCATCGACTAACGGTCAATAATCACCACACATTTATAAATATTATATACAATACAAACACAAAAGAAAACTATAACTAAAATTGGTGTTAATAATTGAATTATGAAACTAATTTGAACCTGTATATCCAGGCTGTTTTACAATAATTAACTAAATTAATATTATTTTCATATACATATTAAACAAATTTATGAAAACTGAGCTCCTTTTTCTTAAAATAAATTGAATAAAATTCCTTTAATAGGGGGCATATGGCAATAAAGTGGAATATGTATTCATCATACTTATAATTACACATTGAACAGAACTTAATTTCTTTTTTTATTGATACTTGTTTAAATACAGTAGTTCACCTCATATCTTCAATAATCACCAATTGTGTAACCATTCATATCGGAAGAAATAATTCTAGTGTCTGCAATTAAATTTTTTGCAGGGTATGATTAGTGAAATGATTTTAATTTATACTTTTCAGTAAGGTGTACTTTTAATTTACTAATAATACAACATTCGCCTCACACTTATTGTATTGCAAATCGACTGCATATGTTCATATTAAAACTCTTTGCAATGGCATTTTTTTATAACAATGTTTGTGAACCTAGAGTTCTAATTATAAATAGAAATCTGGTGGGTTCCTGGGCAGTTTTAGGCATTTTTTAATATAAAAACTTAAATATTGATCCAAGAATTATATAATTATTCTTTTTGTGTAAGGTCTTGGTTGAGATGAAAAAGTTAGTGTTTGATTCCTTTGATTCCTGCTCACAAACTAACTTTTTCATCTCAACCAAGACCTTACTTAAAAAGAATAATTATATAATATTATTGGATCAATATTTAAGTTTTTATATTAAAAAAGACCTTACATAAAAAGAACAAATAATTGGAAGAAGTAATTTGGACAATTAGACCACAAAACATAATGGATTTAATATTATATAACTTAAATCCCCACATTTAATTTTAGCGTAGTACTGAATGTAATATAGATTTGACGATTTTCAGTGTTGGAGGCAAATTGTATGTCATTGTATAATGTAATTTTGTTAAAAACAAAGAGGCCAAGTTTAGTCATTTCTTCTTTCTCTTTGAAATGATGTTCAATCGAGCTCAGAATACTCTCTAACAAGAGCTCAGTATTTGCAGTCAACGAGTTGAAGCAGACTGGTTAGGCACAGCCCCCATCATTTTGAATCACACCAAGAGCATGGCTCACATCACTTTGACAGTACAAGTATTGCAAAGAAATATTTTCTTTTGTCATCTACAAGCAAGCTACTCAATTCTCTTCTTTTCCAGTTTTCACCTATTAATTTAAGTAACATTCTTCTTTTAATGAAGTGTACCACTGCTTGAAATGGGTGGAAGTCTAAAGGAGCCAAGTCATAAGTTAAGGTTGGTTTGGTAAAAGCTCGATTCCATCCATTTTAGAAATAGTTTGCCTTTTAAGTAAGGAATTATATTGGTGTTGCCTTTTTTCGTTGCATGTACCAAACCCCATTTGCAGGAACCATTTACCATGTGGATCTTAAAGAAACAGCTATCATGTTTTCAAAACATGTTTTGCAGTCTTTTGAAACAGTTGCATTAATCTGAATTTGGCACAGTTGGTCTGTAAATTATTATATCTTGTAGTTTGGTTGTCTCAATTTGTACTCGTCTGACCGTCCTCTTCTGATATTCTAGATAAGATATTGTTAATAATGTTCAAGACAAAGGAATCTAGTATGCGCACCATTAAAATTGATTTAGTAAATGTTTAGACAAAATAGTTTCTTTCGTCAAAGATCAAAATCAGTTTTTGTTAAATTTAGGACAATGAATTTAAATAAAGAAATAAATAGGTCGAACCTTTTGAAACAGCTTACAAAAAAATTGTCAGCAAGAAATTTGGTTTAAAGTTAAAAACAGACTGGCTGGTAAAGTACTGAACTAATTTTCTTGGCACTTTGGCATTAACATGTTTTCATCCAACTTATTTCTTTAAACACTTGTGTACTTAAACATGCACACATGCATACATTAAAACCAAACAAATTCTTGTAATATATAACAAGAACAGATTAATTTGATTAATTACATGTACCGAGATCAAGAAACAAAACATTTTAAAACAAAATGTATATTTAATGTACAAAAACGTTTGCCTTAAAAATAAAATTTCTTATAAATACTAGGAATAAATAGAACCTTAAATAAAAAAGATGAAGCCTAGGAAAAAGTATTTGTCGGCAGAGATGATTCAACCGGAATGCGAGGGACGCCTGCCCGCTCTGCAAGTTGATACAATTCCGAGGTGAAATTTGTCACTATGGTCGATTGGTGCGGTGAAAGTTGGGCGTCTGACATGACTCCAAGCTGCACTGTGTCACCGTAACTGATTATCGTAAGAGAAAGGCCAACATTTGCCTGTGGGGGCCTCCAGTACATTATTTTCTCAACTCTCTGCCCCCAGAGCAGCTGCCTTGTTTTATTTCCACTCATCCTTGATGTTGAGTCAACCTTAAATTCACACAAAAACTTTGATTTTTCAATTGAATATATGAATTTATTGTAAATTTATAAATAAAACCTTACAAAAAATTTTATTTTAAGATGTAATAATTATTTAAAATATATTTTAAGGTAAATACCTGAGTTACATTGACCGCGTATCTCCTTGAGAGCAGATAAAGGCATGCTTTGGCAAACAGGGTTGGAAAAATTGTTGTAAAAAGGCTATAATCAATTTGATAAATAGATGCTAAATACAGAGGAGCTTGTGTTGATCTGGCCCTGTAAAAATTATGTTTATTACACCCATACACATGTGGGCACGATTCATGGTTTACTTATAAAGCGAATGTTTTAAAGCCTGAAGACACGCCAAAGGGTCATCTACAGGGGTCTGCGTAGGAAGTGGCAGACAAAGCATCCCTGATGTGAGTTGGCCTCGGTGTGCTAACAAATCTTCCTGAGGTGTGAAATGGCATGTCGTCATTACTGCTTTTGGCACTGAATAATTGGCTTCTGAAAAATCATTTAATGTGAGAGTTTTATATAAGACAGTTAAACCCTCCAAAATTTGATACAATTTCTCCATTAAATGAAGTACAAACCAGAAAAATAATTTCTCAATGCTGCCGATACTGCTGACATGACTACTTCTGAGGTAGTGGAACTGGTCGCCCATTTGATTTGCTTCACCATCTCAAGAGGGATTGGATCTGACCAATGGACAACCTTTCTACCACAGAAAGACATCGTCTGTAGCTGATGGACGTTGCAGGGATATTCAGGAAGGAAGATCTCCTCGAATATGACCCTAGGTGCCGTGTAGAAAATTTTAAATAGATAAAGAGTCTCTTTTATGACATAGTGACCGAGATAAAGCCAGTAGAGGTACACTGGAGTATCTACTATCATTTTTGCCAGTCGGATCGGGAATTTGATTATTGATATCGGTGTACTCCAGATGAATTGGAATAATGTTTTTATTATATTAGAAGGCTTGAATGTATTGTAGAAACTAGACCAGAACAATTTTTTAGAAATGTTTCTCTTAGCTACCTCAATTTTTATGAGGTCATTTAACTTGACATTTTCACCTTTCATGTATTCTTTTATAACGGTGACTGTCATTATTGTCAACAAAACAATAAAAGTTTTGATCGTTGGTTTCTTAGTCGCATTTGGGTTATCAATGGGATCATACTCGTAGAGAAGTTCATTCCACCAATTGGCTAATGACTCACAAGCCTGCTCATAAACTTGAGGTATAACAACAGGTGTTCGGAAAACACCAGAAAGTATGGAGCTATCGACCCAAGGATCCGAGTTGCTAACCGTGACATGTTCGTCTCCCCTTAAAAGCAGCAGTTCTCCTAAAGATAATTTGTCCTCAGAAAGGTAAAGGTGGTGTAATCTGATCAGCAGATATGTTTTATCTTGCAGAGTTGGGATTAATGTTATCTGCCATGGAGGGAGATCTGTGGGAAGGAGTTTTGCTATGATATCACTTATGTAGTCCTGAATGTTGCTGTCAGAAACTGGCCTGCCTTTGAATGTTGTATTGGCAAGCACAATGTGATTATCAATGCAAAATTTCTTCTCCGAGCCCCTGATCCAAGCATAGGTACCCCATCGACTTGTTAAAATTGTCCTCAAATGTGGGAAGACGACTATTCCATTTTTCTCCCTTTCAACAATATCGGCCTGAAACGGAAGCGAATTAGGGATTAAATTTAAAATTTTCTTAAAGAAGGTAAAATACCTGTATTCGATTTTTTATAAAATGTAATTGGCAGGGGCCTCGAACAGTAAGGAGTGCAGTAATAATCCCTTGATTCCTTGGGGTATCGACAGCCGTTCTTACAGTCGTCTTTTGCACAAATTCCAAGCCGTTGAAATTTTTCTCCAGCCATCTTATAAACAGTATCCGACAAATACGAACAACTGAAATAAAAAATTCAAATTTTCATCCAAAATAATTTTTACAATTAAACTTGTCTTAATTAAAAGCATTTTGCAAAATAAGGAATTCATGTAAAAGCTGATAGTAATAAACTGAACTTTTCAAAAACATTGCAAAAAAAAAAGAAAAAACTGAAGAAAACATAATACAGATTTTTACACAAATCTGTTTGCATTAACCATATTTTAGTATAAAAACTACTAGAATTAGTATGAGATTTACCTATAAACATAAAAAAAAGCCATGGTATGAGGAATAGAGCCACAAGAAATGCTAGGAATGTGTAAACAGCCGATAAAAGTCTCACAACTACGTTGATCTCTTTAGTTGACCAATTTACACCTGAAGGGACCTCACAGTCATAACTGTAATTAGAATAAATGTTAAAAACATTAAAAAGTTTATTTAAACAAATGAAATAAAAATCAACAGGCAACTCACCCATTCTTTTGACTTTGTCTCAGGTTATACCTGAAATTTTTACTTATATTAGTAAATCTGCCTCAACATATTTTTTCAAGCTAGTAAACAAGAGTCATTAAAATTGTGTTGCAATTGTTGTTGTAAATATCAAAGGTCAAGTAACCAATGATTATTCTGTTGTGCGATAAAACTACATATTGACTTTGGTCTTCTAAGGTATTTAAAAAAATCTCATTCATCTCAGAAATGTTATCAGGCATGGTAAGATTGGAAAAGGATAAATAAACAATTCAATAACATCAAATGTAATGAAGAGTTAAACCATTCAGTGAAAATGTTTATAAGCAACATACAATACGTGCCATACTTTTTGAGTAATGCCAGTGAAAATATCAAAATTTTGACAAACCTATATTATAATTTAACAGGCAGACTGTATTCACAGAAGCTGGTCAAGTTTTGGGTTATCAATATTTACACTGTACATACATCATAAAAATGTAAAATTATTAAATTAATTATTGTTGTATTAATTAAATGTTAAACTTGGAGGTGATTAACCTGTCGCTTCATTATCCTAGTCTGCCTATTTGTTGACATTATTTTAACACTTTCAATTCAGAAGTTGGTTTATGTCTTGTTTAATAATTAAACTGATAAGTGTTGTCGTACAAATTAGATAAAAATGTTCTCTTAGGAATGTTTAAAAATAATTGTAGGATCGTTACGTTGGATGTAATTAGTTTAGTTAACAATTCTAAACTGACAAAAATTAATTGAAATTATTGTTTTTGTATTGTAATAAGGCCTGGACAAGAAAATTAAAGGTTATTATATATTGTGTCTGTACAGCTTAACAGTTTCCCAATACACCACTTTCTTTGGAGGTAAACACTTTCAAATTTATATAGGGGGATTAGGGTAATAAAGTTCATTTTGATTTTTATGTCTTCATTTTTAAATTGTAATCATATTATATATTTTGAGATAAATAATTTTAGGCCTAACTGAATTTATATACTGTCAAGCAAAACCTGAAACTGTATTGTATGTTCGTAATTTTTATTTTATTTATTTATTTTAAATTTGGCCTTTACATTAGCAATTAACTCAAGGAAACTTGATGAAAATGAAATTTACATGTAAATATAACTATAAAAAAAACTCAATGAAATACCCCACATAAACATACACATATGTATACATACACATATACATATAAAATACACTAACATATAAAATACATAACACAGTCATAAAGGACATGAACTGTATTACACATGTGCATAATAAATATATTAATAAATAAATAGCTTAACAGATAATAGATACACAGAACACATAGACAAGATAAATAAATAATTACATTTTAATTTTAAATTGTTATATCACAACTATATACAAATTTAGAAATCGTGAGATGCGGTCTGGTGTGATGTAGGTTTCAGAAAAACATTTTCTTTATCGTGCCAACGTTTCGATCTTTATTGAGATCATCTTCAGGGCCTAGGATAATGGTTACTAATCACCACACACTATATACAAAGTGCAGAATACTTTTAAAAATGTTCAGGTCTCTTATGTGCAACTTATTTGTTATTTATTGGATTTGCTTCATGTTTTATCATGTTTATTTAATTTAAAAATGTTCTTCTTTTGTGTTAAAATTTATTGCACTACATTCTAGTATGTTCTAAATCTTCTGTTGTCTTATACATGAACATGTATCACTTCTTTACTAGTTAATCAAGTATAGAAAAGAGCCATTTAACCCATGGTTGCATTTCAATCTTGTTAAGAGGAACAATACTTCTTACTGAATTTTGTATTTAAAACCATGGTATATTATTAAGCTGGGGGTTAACAGAGTGGTAAAACCGACCTGTGACCAGAGCATTTTTCTTTTATTTTAAATTTTATGGCGTTTTTCGCATTCAAGTTGGGATAAGAGCTTCAATTATTTCCCCATCCTGAGTGGCCTTTTGCTCTTTTATCAACAATCTCATTACGTTAGATACCTGAGTTTCCTCTTACCCAGCAGAAAAAAGTGTGTATTTCTTTACTGGTTTTTAATTTCAATGAAATATCCACTACAAGGGGTAATGGATAATGACAATCAGTTTTGTGATTAAAATTTTCAAACTGTCTATGGCACTTTTTGAATCTGAAATTAGCCTTCTCCCAAATAGCTTATTACTTTCAGAAACATAGCTTAAAGCTCTTAAGATACCCATTAATTCCACAGAGTATACATTCCTTGGGTAGGTTGTACATGCTGCTTTTTTTTGTTTGTGATGATCATACCAGGCACAACCCACCCCGTTGTCCATTTTTGACCCATCCGTAAAAATTAAGTGTAGGTTTGGACAAATTAAATTTATATCTTCCAGGAAGTTTGAACTGACTTCATATAGATATAATTCCGAATAATCTCTAAGAAAGAACACAGATTGCTTGATGTGGAACACTTCATAATCCAAACAAAATTTGGTTGAAGCTTGTCATTGAAAATTGCATCCAAAGATCCAACCAAGTTCAAATATCCTTCAATGGTGTCTTTTTCTTTTCCCGAAATGTTGCAGTGAGAACGTCAATTTAGAGAAGAGCAATAGTCTTAAGCAAATTACTTTGGGTAGAGTACAATTTTATTATAAAATTGCTTGCTAGTCATTGAATGCAAAAAATTAGTGGGGGGGTTCACAGCTTTCATAATCAAGAACTTTTATCGGAGTGTCCGGTAGTCAAGCAAGACATGTCATTTGGCATTTATTTCAAAAAGGTTAATTAGATTTAAGTGAGATTTAAGTGTATATTAGTAATAATTTAGTTTTTAAAAATAAATTTTCTACTTAACAATCTTCTATGGAACAACATAATTCTGAGCGAACTGGTAACTAGCAAGTGAAACACACTCTTATGTTACAGCCATCCTAATTGTTTTACTGGCAGCAAATTTAATTTAAATATAACACATTTTATTTTCTAATTGTGAAATGCCATGAGCCATTTTATGACATCAAAATAAGAACGCAACACAACATGAATACAGAACAAATTATAATGTGAATCTCTACAAGTGCAAGAAGCCTGAGAATGGCAGAGAAACACTTTCAAAACGGAAAGTAATTGAACTTGAATTTTTTTATAACGTTCAACTTGTGATATAATAAACCACAATCAATCAAGAAATTGAAACCTTTAAAAAAATCATACATTTTTTGTGTGAATCCAATTTGTAATTAAAAGAAAATTATTAACATTAAATTTATTATAAATCAAAATAGATAATTTAAAAAAAAATCATTTATATTTTTAGTTTAGGCAGTGTACCTGTCAAAATCATGAAAATTAGTGAAACCCCAATCGTCAAACATTCAGATTCTTGTGTGTGACTTTTTAACAAGTGAAAGGGAGAAGAAGAAATTGAGGACTACTGTTGAAATTAGATAGGACGTCTCGACTGTGATAAGTCAGAGATTAGTCGGTTGACAGTCTGAGTCTACTTAAGAGACCTCACAATCTCTTCGTGAGGGGTATGAGTGTGTTTACATTTCATTTCTAATCGGTACTTACAAAAACATCCTTCCTTTTAAATCTCTCACAGTCTATGTCACTGAAACACACATTGTTGGTACTAACCACAACATTTTTTTGTTTATATAGAAATGTGGTTTATTTCCTTCTTGGGAGTCGATGCGAAAAGGCCACTTTCAGATATTCAACTCAAATCTGACTAGTGAGATAACTGGGAAAAGATTCTTCTTTATCTCCCCTGATGTCATCAATACAAGTAATCCACTTCCATTATCTGGCTAATAATATCGTCCTGTGAAAGAAAAAAAAAATTGTAGTATATTTGATGATAATAAACAAAAAGTTGTTCTTAGTATAAGAAATTCAAATAATACTTATGATGATAAATATAATAATGAATTCAAATGATTTGATTATAAAGTAGAAAAAGATAGTCGAGTCTATTGAATTTTAGATAATTAAATAACGTTTTTTTAAATTTAATAACTAAAGTATTGTAAATCAAATTAATTATATTTTGTTCGTTCAATAGAAGTCTCACAAGCTAGGTCATCTAGAATCACCTTGGTCTTCTCTTGCTGTGTTCTGGTCAAATACGTTACTATATTGTGTTGTGACAAACAAAATATTTGTAATAAAATATAAAGGGATGATGGTTAAATAAAATTATTATATTTATTACACACAACTTATGGTTAGTTGTGAAAATTGCAGTAGTTGTAAATGGAATTTAGTAAGAAATATATCCATTGGAATACAAACTATATGTGTGTATTTTTGTATATTTATATATTTGGGGGAGGGAGTGAGAGGGGGAGAGAGAGAGAGAGAGAGAGAGAGAGAGAGAGAGAGAGAGAATGAGTGAGAGATTTATAATTTACAGTTAAATAAAAATACATTACCTGGTAGGTTGAGCGTGTTCTTCACTGCCAAGGGAAAGAATTTCTTTTAATTAAATTAAATTTAATTTAATTAAACCCAGCACGCAAGGAAAAATTTTTTTAGTAAATAAATAGAGGGACTTGGTTTTGATCATGGTTTTATCAAAAAATAGTGGGAATATTCAACACAAGCCCGTATTTTTTTTGTGTTTTGTTTTTGTTAAAGAAATATTGTTGCTAAATAAATGTATTAATGTGAATGGTGGACATCTTGAATCTTATAAAAATAAAATAATGTATTCTATATTGTATAAGCGAATTGAGCCTTGAAATTGAAGATCGGATATTTTATTTGAATAAACAGATCTGACACGAGTAACCATTAAATAAGTTAAAAACGCTCTACTTATTTGACAAATAGGGTGGAGGCGTTATTTTTTGAACATTTTAAAGCCTGTTCATTTCGCTGTACGAAGAAACGAAGCAGTAGGACTTAAAAAGGGTGAGATTCCCCTGAAGATTCGTGACCGATCTTCTTCGCCACTAGTCACGAAGCGTTTTTGAATTATCTCCCATTTTTCCGGAACTGCATCAAGCTGCAAAGTGCAGGTGGGGAAAAAAAAGGCGATTCCGAATCCCGGCACAAAATTAGGACGAGCCGTTAATCTCAACTGCTATCCGAAGAGACTTTGGACGATTTATCACCGCACCAAGGGTCAACAGTTTCGATTATTGCCAGAATTGTAGTTGAAATAACAAAATGATTCAACAATATTTTCCATGGGTGGAAGAACGTTTTCCGTCCCTTTAATAAAAACATTACATACTAACTATGAAATTTTGTCGATAAATTATCAGGCCGATGCAGAGATAATAGGATAATAATAATATTATAACATAGATAAAAATAATATTAAAATAACATATATAATTTTAAAATACAACTAAAAGCCTTTTACAAAAAAGAAAATAATAATCTCTTATCGTAGCAATATAATAACGCCCTTACTTTAAAAAACAATCAAAGAAATATCTTGTAATTATTATTACAGAAAAGAAACGAAATTTCGTTTAATGATATTTTTAATATTGCAATACTTTAACTTGTTACTCCGGTACCGGACTTGATTCAATCTCCATTGTGTCTTTTTGTCCAGGAATGCGATAAACGTCAAATTACAATTTTGTAAGAATGCACCTGTTAATTTTGATACGTTGTTAGATAACCATGTGAGTGGGCAGTCTGTGTAGATCAAAAATTTATCTTTAGTTAAGAATTCACTAAAATGTCGAACTGAGTGAATTATTGCTAGAGTCTCTAATTCGCCGGCTTATAATTCTTTCGTGTTTGTTGAGAATTGGTATGAGAAAGAAATTGGTATTTTATGTCCATCATGTTCTAAAAAAAAAAAATCCAGCTACCGCGATTGCAGAAGCATGCGTAACCACAATAAATTGTTTTGAAAAATCAGGCTTGACTAGAGAAGGTGGGGTTTGTAGATAGTCTTAATGTTATCAAAGGCCTGTTGACAGTCTGTGATCCATATTAATTGGGCACTTTTCTTCTTTAAATCGTTCAATGGGGAAGAAATTTCCGACAGTCTATGTATGAATTTATTATAGTGCCCAACGGCGCCTAAAAATCTGGACAATGATTATTTGGAGATCGTGAGATGCGGTCTGGTGTGACGTAGGTTTTAGAAAAAACATTTTCTTTGTCGGCCAACGTTTCGATCTTTATTGAGATCATCTTCAGGGCCTGGGATTTATAAACATTGTTTAAATTAAACAAATACATACAGGATGTGAAAAAACGAATATATCAGGGTCGATTTTTATGAAGTTATGCGATATTATATGTCCCATGGACTTAATTTCTTTACGAATTAAAGTATTTATGTATTTATGTAAAGTATGTATTTTGTCTGCATTGATTGTTATACCTGCATTACGGAGAGTTGATAATACATAATTGACATGTTTTAAATGGGCAGCAAGGTCTGAAGAATATATTAAATGATCATCAATAACATTCCAAAGGAATTTATATTTAACATTACCGAACAACTTTTCTATTAAAATGCTTAAAACTACAGAACCTACAGTTTATCCAAAATGAACAAATTTGTACTGAAATGTGGCCCACCGAGTGACAAAGGCTGCACATTTTTTGGTTTCCTCGTCAAAAGGAATTTGATGAAAGGTTTTATTTAAATCAATTACAGTAAAATATATCGCTCCCTGTAAATGATCTATTACGTTCCGGATAGACGGTAGTGGTCAATGTTTATGCTCTATATTCCTTTTGAGGATCGTCGGCAAAAATAACAACAGTTGAGGAAAAGGGGACGATACACACAAAATAAATGAATGACAACATAAAATTGCTTTCTGAAGAAAGATGTTTACCAGCAGGTTCAAACATAACAGCAGCAAATTATGAAAAATTGAAATTTACAAGTTATAAATATTTTATAAAGACTTTCAATTAATCTTTATGTAAAGTATTGGTTGAAATGAAAAAGCTAGTGACACGAGCGGGATTCGAACCCACGACCTTCGGCTAAATACGCTGCTCTACCACTATCGTGAGTTCGATCCACTCGAACACCAACCTCCCACTTCGACCTACCTTTCGAATTTTCCCTCGTTTTTGTCATTTTTCAATTTTGCCATTTTATAAAGACTTCTGAATGTCAACTAGACTTTTTCCTCCTTCTGCGTCAAGCAGGTTGATAATTACTAATTCCAGTCTGTCAGTACTGTTTACTTTTGATCAGATCCGTTAGCACAATTCCGGCTGTGCTGGATCAACTTCCTAGGCCAACTGAACAATTTTTTTAACTGAAGCTTCAATAATTACTAAGATTTCTATTTCGTATCTAATTGTGTATGCTTGAATCTTTGAAAAATTACATAAATGAAGATCAATTCAGTGTGTGTTTATAAAATGAAGATTCGTTTTGTTACCAGGTTGGATCAGGCGTTTGTTCCAGTATTCTAATTAATTCTAACAGACTGAAATGCATAATTTAATGATTTGCCTAAGTGTGCACGATATTGTCATAATGAAGGAGATATCAATCGATTTGGCGTGAAATTTCGAAGATGCCGAGGATAGGGGCGGCTTTCATAAACCGTTAGTTAGATGTCCCCATTAGATTTTCAGTCAGGATTATTCCCTGCTTAGTAGAAATCGTAGGAACGGGATGGAATTTAACGAGCAAAATTCAAGGTGCTACTTCGCCTGGAATCCGGCCGAACGCGACCCCAACGGGTGGTGTCCTCTTTTTCAGAACTGGCATTTGAGAAAATATTTTTGTTTATGGTTTTTCGACAAGCAAACGGAATCGGCATTGAGAAATCAATCGAGGGGAGGCATGAGAGGTCGGTCGTCTTTTACATCATCGGTCTTTTTTAACTGGATAAATACAAAACTCAAAATTAGGTTTAGCAGAAAAATATTCTTTACAAATCTTGTTGCAGTTTTGATTCTGACTTGATTTCTTTGATTTAAACCATGATTCAGATAGAAAGTCTTGTTTTGAAAATTTATCATGAGCAGTCGAGACAGTTGAGCAAGCCTATAAGTTGTCCCTTTAGAACTACCAAATTTAGGGGATTTAGCAGGAAATCTAATTCTTATGCAAACTAATATCATATATCACCCCAGATTTTTCGAATATGTAAAAATATCATATGACGTTCAAAAATCAAACGTAAATCGTGCTTTAATTTAAAATTTAACCAATTTTCTGCCAGAAATGACACAGATGTTATACTTTTGCTTTTTAAAGAACTGACAGCAATAGGTATCGCTATAGGAAGTAGATCTGGAGCTTTCTTGGTTTTTCTTCTTTTCTGGTATACTTTGACCATCCAGATGGCATAATTTCTAAGATAAAATATTTGCTGAAAGAAGTTGGTTACTGAATATATAGTTGATTACCAATAGTCTTCTTGATCATCATGGGCTAGCTTCGCTGTGTTTCCGTCGGAATTTTTCATTTTGTATTGGGTGTCTTCATATCATCTTAAGTCAATCTCTTGTTCTCCAAGGTATAGGTTTTGCATGATTTTTGTCCTTTGTTGTATGTATTAGGAAAATCAAATTGTGGCCGTGATGGGCCGCCTAATTTCGCTGTTCCCGTTGGAATTTTTCATTTTGTATTTGATGTTCACATGCTCTCGACAGTCACTTGAGCTCGAAATTCTGTTTGATTTTTGCCCTTTGTTGTTTTGGAAAAATTAAATTGTCTTAGTCAAACAAAAAGAATCTGATAAGTCATTCCCATCAAATTGAATTATTTTTGGTACTATCATTATCACCATACCTAAGTCATCCAAAATCTCTCAAACCTGGGGAAACACAACAACCTGATGATATCTGCCAGGGCACAGGGGAATTTTGGGTAACGAAAGCAGACAGTCTGGTCAGAGGAGGATCTGCAAGACCATACATAGGCCCCGAACCTATTCTTGGGATGACAAAAACAAATATAGAATCCTCCATCGCAGAATGGATCCAAACAAAACAAAAGGAGAAGTGGATAAACTCTAGCGGTGCTAGACACAGTAAACTTATGATGAAACAAACCTCACCAAGACTGGCAAAAACACTGCTGCAATTGGAGAGGGCTAAACTCAGAGGAGTGATAGGACTACTAACCGGTCACTGGCGGCTGAGAAAACATCTACACAACATGGGTATATACAGCGATGATCCCATTTGCCCATTATGTAATGAGGAGGAGGAAACAGCCACTCATATCATCTTCGAATGCGAAGCAACAGCTCAATGGAGATTTAACCTAACATATGGAAAAAACTTACGGAATCAAATTGCCGCAGCGACAGTCAATGACCTGATACTTCTAAGGAGAAGGATTGAGTCTATTGCACTGAACTAAGGAACTAGGAAGGTACAATATGCCAGAAGGCTGCAGTGCCTGGGGAGTACAAACCCCGTTTCCTAGTATCCTTATCACCATACCATTCCTAAGTCCTTGGACATAACTCTAAGCTTGTTACTGAATAATTACTCAGTCATTGGACAGAGAAATTTTAATGTAATTATTCAGAGAGGTTGGATTAAAATTTATTATATTTTTCTTCTAATAAAAAGCATTTCTCTTTTATACCAGATTCAGGCAGATCTCGATTACACTTTTATTTTCCTCATGAATTATGGAGTGCATTTAGTGGATTCCACAAGTAAAACTTTGGAGTTCAGTTATTCAATATAATTATTGTTTTTATATATGTTTAGAACTACTGAATGGGTGATGCCAAATCTTTTACTTTTTCAAAAACCTTATATATTAGTGGTATTGGAAAAACTTAAATACTGCTTCTTGAGAACAGAATGGTTTGCAACTCCATTGAATATCTTAAAAATCAAAGGTTTTTCTAATCAACCCATCGGGATAATACGGTTTAACGGTATCAAATAAATTTTGTTCGAAGAATTTGAATTGATGTAATGCCATGTCAAGAATGTCAGAATGTTGTGGGCGAAGGAAGTATTCTCATATGCATTCAAGACATACCGAAATAAACAGACTCTGTCCTTAATTTAAGATTTCATGCAAAAATCAAAACATAAACTACCGAAATATAACGGAAAATGTTTTATCTGCCATAACGTCATTGTAGGCCTTATTTCGTTTTAAACATTTACAGATTCTTATTATTGACAAAAACAACCAGCGATAATTTTTGAAAGTATCTTAAATTTGGGTCCACACCGTAAAGGCAGTCCGAGTTCGAGGCCAAGACAGGTTAAATCCCGTTAGTCAAGCACAGGGAGAGCAACCTCT